AAAACATATATATAACAACTATGCCAGCTTGGTGCGAACAGGTTGGCAAGTTACCAAATTGGCAATTTTTCCTCCTATGGAAGGAAAAATGAGGCGTCCCTAACCCGTGTAGCCGGAAAAAATAAGTAAAACGTCAAAACGGAGTTGCCTACATTGGTCAACTCGAAATTGAACGATAAACACCTTAAATGAACGCCTTAAATAAAAGCTATAAAGAAACATCTTTATGCCAAAATTCTCTACGTTTGCAGCACCATGCAGGTTCAAAAATACCAAATGATGCCGTGTCGGGGGGAAGGAATGTTTAGCAATAGCGGCGCACAGAAACGACAAACCATGTGGAACCGCCGAGGAAAGGGAACCTTCCCCGCTGTGCCCGCACACCCACCGTAGATGAGGAGCGAGAATAAAGCATAAAACTCTGAAGATCCATTTTTCTTCCCCTAACCGCTGTGAACAGAAGTACGACAAAAATGTGGTGACCTCAAATGCTTTTTCTCACCTGCTAGCACCCCTTAACAGTGTTCTTCATAATTAAGTAGAACGCTTGGCACAAGCCGTGCACCTCGAATCGCACACCGCGGACCGCGAGTCACTACCTTCACTGCGTGTGACATTGGAGAAGCTAATTGACAAACCAAATGAGCAAGTTTGAAAAAATTTAAAAAAAGGGAGAAAAGCACAAAGGGACAAATGTTTGATTAGAAAATAAAAGAAGACACAACGAGCGAGCTAAACTATTCGCACTCCACAGATACTATTCGTTTGAAATAAATTCATCAATGGGGAGCGGTGTGTGTCAGCATGGCCACGCATTGAGAAAACTTCCCACAGGGAACAAATACGCAAATGTAAGCAGAAAAACGTAAAGGGAATAATTTGATCCACTGGAATATACACACGTACAGGAATGGTCCCATCTCTAGGGGAAAAATGCCGTAATCAATCAGCTGCTTAGTGAAATCAGATGAGCAAAAGAGACGTGAACGGGGGCTGGGGTTTTGTTCATTGGGGGGATTCAACCCAATGTGCAACCTTCCGGGTGATGTCTGTGTCTCCATTGTCCTCCCTCCTTCTTCCATTCCTCCACCTCAACTCGGATGGTTCACCTTCATGCTTCGCAACATGCGCTGCGACCCCTCCACGGGCTGCTTGTCCTCGTTCTTCTTATCGGACGAATTATTACAGTCGTCCAAATCGGGTCCCGGGAAGCAGTGGTTCAAAAGGTCCAGAAGGATGAAATTATCCACGGGCTTCTTCTTCGGGCACACAACAGAGTTTATGACCAAATTTACAAGAAAGATACTTTTCTGATATTGATACACAAAATACGGCAACTGCGTAATTTTCTCAGATTGCAAATGAAAAATTTCACAGAAAAAATTGTGAAATAATATCTGAAATTTATTTATTATATCTTCCTTCTTGCCATCTATCCATACGCTTAAAAATAATCTGTTCAGAAATATGTCAATAATTAGCTTTATCGAACTAAATGGAAGATATTTTAAATTGTTAAAAATTAAATTGAGGATTTCAACGGCCAAATAAAATTGCAGGGTGGAGTATTTTTTCTGATTATATATGTACGACTTCATTTTAATATTTCCCATATTTTTTTTGCTATTTTTTGTGTCAGGCGAAACCTTCTGATAATTTGTCGTCACCATCTTAATTAATTTCGTTTTGCGAAAAATGGTGTAAAAACATGAATATATAATATAATCAAGAAAGTTATATTTCGCATAGTTGGTGTCTTTCTTCATATCTTTCTTAAAAACATGACTGATGAGCCATTTGTTGCTCTTTTCAAATGCTAGGGGCTCCGATAAAAGGGAGAAAATAAAATTATACGAAAAATTAACACAAATGTTGTTTAACTTTTTTAAGTTTTCCTTCAAATTTAACGAACTTGTAAGAACTAATTTTTTTTTCTTCTTCACATGGAACACCTTTTCTATATGTTTGTCCGCTTTATTTTTGTAGAAACACCTTTTTGGAAAAAAACTGTAATTCTCCAACTGTTCACCATTTTTTATACATAAAACTTGTTTTATATTTTTCCTGAATTTTTTCTTGCTAAATTGGTTTACATTTCTGTTTTTCTTTTCGTCTATAAGGTTAATTAAATATTTCACTACAAACTTCTTCTCTTCCTCCTTTTGTCTCTTGTCATTTGCTGCCGCTCCCGTTCCGCGCAAATCGCTTATTTTGTTTTCATTACTTCTGCTTTTTCCACTAATATGTTCCACTTTTTTTCGAAATTCTCTTTTTTCGCTTCTCCTCCGTTGGCATCTTCTCATTTCCTTTTGCCCCTTTGTTTTGTCCCTACTCAACGTTAATATGAACTCCTCCTTTATCTTCACTTTTAACAAAAGGCACATTAAAATGTACACAAATGACAAAACAAAACTAGTCAATTTTTTATTCGCCTTTTTCTGTAGTACCTTATCTATGCCTAAAAATAAAATGTTCTTCAAAATGCTGTAGTTGTCTTCGTAAAAAGTTAAGTAGTAGAAATAAAAGGAGCACATGAAATTTATGTACAGGTTAATCAGGTTCAGGAGCAGCTTGTCTGTTATTTCTTTCTCTTCTCGCTCGTTTCGCTGGAAAAGGAGCACCTCTCGGGGGTGGAAATAATCACTCGGCGTTACACCGCTCATCGCACTGGGTACCCTGTGACTTCCGCTGTTCCTGCGGCCACTTCTGCAGTTGTTCTCGTAGTAATTATTTGTTGGTTTCGCGGTCGCCTCTTCAGTGACCATGGCTTCAGCTGCCATGCCTTCAAAAACCATCCCTTCAGTGGGCATCTCTTCTGCGACCATGTCTTCAGCGGCTATCCCTTCAGTGGGCATCCCTTCAGTGGGCATCTCTTCTGCGACCATCTCTTCTGTGGCCATCCCTTCAGCGGCTATCGCTGGAACCATTTCCACCGTAGCAGTGGCCACTTGGTTGATTCCTCCCTCCTCCGCTAGGGCCTTATTCGCAATCACCTGCTCTAACGTTACCACCTGGGCAGTCGCTCCCTCCCCCTTCTTGGTGTTCCTTCTCGAGCTTCTACTGGCCCCTCTTCTGCTACTCCCCTTTCTGCTCCTAGAGCGTTTACTTGTCTTCTCCTTGACCCCAACATCCCCTATGGGCGTCACGCCATTTAAGCCACTTAAGTTTGCTACGTCTGCTGCTACGGCCGTTTCTAGGCCTGCTGCTACGTCTCCTGCTACGCCCGTTTCTACGCCTGTTTCTACGTCTGTTTCTACGCCTGTTTCTACGCCTGCTGCTATGCCTGTTGCTTCAGCAGTGGCCTCTATTGGCACAATGGTCGATGCGTCGGCCAGCCCCGGTAGTTCCATCCATCGTTCCACAGGCTCATCAATGGTGCACTCAACCTCAGTGACAACCTTCTGACCCGTATCTTCCACAGGAGATGCTCCAAACTTGTCATAATTCTGTCCAACTTCTGTCGTTCTTTGCTCCGCTTGTTCAATTCTCCTACGATGGAGGCTCCTAAACCACATGCGACTTCTCCTTCTGGTGTACGTTCGCTTCCTTAATGTGTCAATATAATTCAAGCAAATGATAATAAAATTTTGGATAATTATTTTGTTCACATCTTTCTTCTTCGAATGTTTAAAGAGACAACAAAAGGAAATAAAAAAAAAGGGGGAATCCGAAATTTTGTACATTGGAATGTACCAAAACGTGCTGGTAATTAATTTTATCATTCCCTGGATATATTTTTTGTTGTTTTTTATTTCACTTAAATAAGAAAATAAATGCTTTATAATTTTTTCTATCCCTCTATCGATATGATGCCTCTTGCAGAACTCAATTACTTCATTTATTCTGTCAGAATTTTGCCAAAAAAAATCCGTGCTGTTCAATTTGGTGCTCTTTTCAAATAGGAATATGCTTAATAGGAACAGCTCCAAGTTGTCGTAGAAAATTTTTTCCACCTTGTAATCTTTGTAGCTGCTTAGAGCGCTGTTCTTCCTAAAGTAATTTAACCTGTTCATCTCGGCTATCATGTTACTATTACAGTTTAGGACAATTTTTAACCTAGTGCTTTTCTCATTTGTATGTTCCAAAATTTGTTCTCCTCCCTCGGCTTTGTTCGCCGTTGAGTCTCTTTTCTCATCTACCAAAATGTCCCTCGTCTCTCCTTTCTGAGTTGAGGCCTCTTCGGGGAAGAAGCCATCTGTCGTTATCTTCGCAGGATCCATTTCATTATTGTTATTGTCACATGTTTTGTCGCTTTCCATTTGGGGTTGTTCCCTGCTTGTGGCATTTCCAGGAATATCGCCTGGAAACTCACTGGGGGGGGCCATCGCCTCTACCGCTGCTCCTTCTGCAGCTTCCATAGCTACTTCTACCTTAACTTCTTCCTCCTTCTTTGCTCTGTTTCTCCTTCTCCTATCCCCCGCACTTGAAGCCTTACTCCTTCTCATTCGCCTGTGTTTCCTTTTCTGCTCATGTTCCTCTTCAATCAGTAGGCTAAAATTTTTCTCCTTCGTGTTAACGCCACTTTTTCTACCATATCTGCTTCTCCTAATTTCCGGCTCAGGTGTATTACTCGGTGGATTTTCCACCTCCGCTTGCTGCTCCATTTTTACTTCACTTTCTGTTTTGCAATTTTTCGTAGGATCCCATTTGTTCTTCTCTTCCTCCTGCTCCTTCAGCTGCTCTGCGCCGATCAAGCAGCTTGGGTCAATATCAATCTTCACTTCGTCCTTGGTCGTGCTACTGCATTTCCTCCTCCTGCTTCCACTTGCTCTTGTCCTCGCGGTTGTCCTCGTTGTTGTCCTCGCATGTGTATCGTCTGCATCGTTCGCACCTTTTTCATCGTTTGCCCCTACACTGTTGGTGGCGACGTTGGTGGGTTCTACACCCTCTGCGTCGACGGCACATGTACTGGGTACCGTTTTATCCGCTTCCGCGGCGATGACATTATCACCGGTTGCGTTGCCCCGTTGGCTTCGTCTTTTACTTCCGCCTTGGTTTGGCGTTTTCCTGTCTTGGTCTGCGCCGTTATTTTTGGGATTTGTGTCTTCTTCCTTGGATACCGCTTCTATGGCAGCCGCCATGGCCTGCTCCGAATTGTTCCTCCCAGGTTGCCCCTTCTTCGCGCTGCTCCTGCTCCTTCGGCTGTTGTTTCCAGACCTCCTCCTGGTCGACTTCCTTTTCTCGTTTTGGTTAGCCGTTTCGGGTGGCAGCAGTGGAGTCTCCGGTTGTTGCGGCGCCTGCGGTTCTTGTGTTTGTTGCAACAACTGCGGCTCTTGCGGTTGTTGCGCTTGTTGAGAGTCTTGCGGTTGCTTAGACTGCTTAGACTGCTTCGATTGCTCCGCTTGTAGTTGGTGCGCCTGTGATCGTGGTTCCCCCTTGGTCGGGGGGGGCATCCCCGTTGGTTCCTTCACTAGCTGGGGTGCATCAACGCGGGGCTCCTCTAGCACCTTCTCCTCTTCCCCCTCTGCTTTGAAAGAATTGTCGTAACCATACGGATGATTGTATCCCCTTCCGAGGGTGCCGCTTACTTCCCCTTTGCGATCATCAACGCACTCTGAGTTAGAAGCAAAAATGTCATGCTTTCTGATGGAAGAGAAGTACAGTTCCTGTTTTTTACATTTCTTTTTCGAAAAAATGTCCGAGATTTTCTTCCTCTTGCTTCTCAATTTGGAATAGAAATGGTTAATCCTGCTAATGATGGTATCCTTGAACTTTTTCTTGTAGGAGAAATATTTTAAGAATTCTAAAATTTGTCTTTTGGTGTTAACCCCTATCAGTTCATTGTCTAGCAACTGTATCAGTTTAAAAAAGAAAAACTCAAAGGGGGTTATGGAGTTGCCATTTATTCTGTTGAGTAAGAAAAGGACTTTTAACAGTTTGACGAAAATGAAATAAAACTTCTGTAACTCTAGGATGACCAATCTTCTGAGGCTTCGTATATTTGTCAATTGGCTTCCTCTCGTTTTTTTCTTCACCAAAGATTGGATATTTACACTGATTAAATTCTCCTCCATCACCGTAATAATGTGTAAGAAATCTCTGAACAGTGTCAGAATTTCCGGGATAAGCTCCAACACATACTTTTGCTCATTGATTTCGCCTGAATACTCAACGTCTTTGCTGTTGTTGCCATTGCTGCTGCTATTATTGTTGAAGGAATTATCAGAGTAAATGCAGCTGTTGTGATGGTTGCTCTCGTTTTCAATAAAGTAAAAGAAAAAAGTGAACCGATTTATATATATAGTCAGAAAACAAAAAATGCAATTGAAAATGTAATATATAAAATTATTGTCATATGTGCTAAGTTTTTTTAATTCTGCGATGTAGAATATGTTAATAAAATACAAATTGTTGTACGTCGTTCTTTTCTTTTCTTCTTCATTTTGCTCTTTTATTTCTAGTTTTATCTGCATCTCGTTGGTGAGAAAATCCTTCATGTTTATGTTTTTTACTCGAAACAATTCTACTTTGCTGCTTTCTTTTCTTTTCCTTAGGCTACTCGATTCCTTCGCATCTACGGGGTAGCCGCCGCCGTTTTGCGCCTCCCTGGGCTGCCCGTTTTGTACTTCCCCTTCCGAATCGACCGTCAAATCCGCGCTCACATCCACGGAGAACACGATCACATCATCTCTAACAGCGCCGCTAACCGTGCCGCTAACCATCCCGTTAGTCGCGCCCACCCTGTCTTTCTTCTCCTGCCTGTCCTTCCTCTCGGAGCCATCCCCCTCTCGCTGCGACACCAGGTTTCCCAGTAACACCTTAAGCTCCTCCGATGAAACCTTCAAAATGCCCTTCAAAATTTTTAAGTTCATAATATTTCTGAAATTCTTAAAAACCACTAAGAAGGCGAATAGGTAGAGGTCCTTTGCGTTGCTTAGGAACATGGCGTATATGCTCCTCAACGTTCTGTCATCATAGTGATCGCGCTCTTTATCAATCAGGAAAAGACTCTCCTTGTATCTGTAAAAATAGTCAACACAGCAGAGCTGGTAAGAAATAACTTTATCGTAAAACTCATTCAGAAAACTGTAGGGCAGAATTTTGGAGCAAATAAATAACAGACTCACACACAAATTACGAAACTTGATATAAATAAAAATGTTCGTCTCTGGTTCTTTTAAAATGTTAAAAATACAGAGGAAGAAATTCTGATAAATCGATTTTATGATATAATACTTAAGCAGCTTCTCTTCATAGCTTAAAGATCTATGTCTGATAAATTCGATAAAGAGTATTGTCATCATGTGGAAGATTCTAAGGCTCATAAATCTCACAATGCAGCCTTTGCTAATGCAACATTCCAGCAAAAAATTTATTATATTATTTATTAGAAAGTTCTTCCCATCACGTAGGGACATCAAATCGTTTTCATTTTCTGACGCGCTTACGCTGTTGCTTTTCATTTGATCCACTTTGAGATGCTTACTCTTCTGCTTGCTTCTTATCAGGGACGATATCAGTATTTTTGTAGCCAATTCACTATTCTTACATTTGTTGTTTTTTATATAATCATTCACGTCAAGCATATGGGGAGGGTACATGCGAACCTGCTGCTCATCCCCCTTGATCGACTTAACTTTCATACTAATCTTCTTCCTTTTCATTTTATTGACATGGATCTCGAATAACAAGTACCATATGTTACTTCTTTTCCTCCTTTTGTTCCTCTTAAACAAATTAGAAATCAAATTCAGCAAAAAATAGCAGCTGCTGTTGTTCAGAGTCGAGTTATTCTCTTCATACCTTTTACTCTTAATAAGCCTGTCTATTTTGCTCAAAATGAACATATAAATTTTGTACTTGCTCAATTCGCTACAATATTTTATGCTCTTCAACATGCACGAAAAAATTCGATTAATTAATGTAAGATTCTCATCTTTGAAATTCACTTCTACACACTTGACCAGGATGTCCAGCATCTCTAAGAAGCCATTGCTAAATAAGTTATTTATCATATCTGTGACAATTTCGAATGTACTCTTTTTTACACTTTCTCTCAAAAAATCACGATTTAAAATTACGTCCTCCATCTGAAATTCGTTTCCTGCACTCAGTTCTCCTTCCCACTCTTCTTCAATTTCTCTTTTTTTTCTCTTCCTTCTTTCTTCCTCTTCTTCGTCCTCTGCCCCCTCTACAACTTGGGCTCCTTCCTCACCGTCCATCTGCCCCTTGCAGTTGCAAGTGTCTCCCAATTCCTCCCTACTTTTGCTGGCAAAGGGGAAGCTGCTGCCATCGTAGGGGCAGCTCTGCCCCGGGGATACCAAGCGAACCATGTCTGGATTGGTTACAACCATGTTCGCAAACAGGTTGTTCTTCATGTTGCTCAAAAAGATGTCGTTCATCCCTTTGGCGGAGTCGTTATTGATAAAGATTCCCGGCGAGTAGTGGCTCCTGACGGGGTCTTTTTCCACGCTATTCTCGCTCTGTAAGGCCTTCCCAGGTGAAACACGCTGATGGTTGTTCCGATCGTTGTTCTGCACGTAATACGCACCGTACGTGCTGTAATCGGGGGTCCTATACACCCCCTCAACCATCCCATTGCAATAACTGGGATTTACATTACTGTATGGTTCATCGTTTATGAGTCCATATTGACTGCCACTTGTGGGAGGATCTTTACTGAAATGGATAGTGCCCTCGTTAGGGCCACCTACAGAGCCATCATTAGTAACATTTAGCACACCATATTGGTTGCCACATGAGGCTGCATACCTAGTTGAAATTATTACGTCATCTGGACTTCCACTCGTGGTTGCGTTAAACACACCACTGTATTCGTTGCTGCCGCCCATGCAGTCACTCCCTCGGTTCCTACTCGTCATGCCATCGCTGTAGTCTCCACTGAAATTTTCGGAAACGTTACCGATATGGATGCTGTTTTCGTTTAAGTTATTATCCATAGTGGGGGTGCTATTACTACCATCTGCGTACGTGCCACTGTGGTCTTTCGGGTAGAGGCTGCGACTGCCGATGCCGCTAACGACGTCGCTTCCTACACCGGTACCACTCATTAAACTTTCCTGCAGCGCGTTATTAACGCCAAGGTCGTAGCCTGCGATGTTGTCGCAGGCACTGCCGACCCCATCGATGCTGCTCCGCACAGACGCCGTGTCCACATTGTTGATCATGCTGCTGTTACTTAGGGGGTTGACATAAATTTTGCTGTCCTCCGCAGATTCGTTCCGTCTCCACACGGGAAAGAAATCCGACTCTTGTGTGTTCGGGTAACCGTTTTGGAAGTAGTTCAGGTTTCCCTTTTGGAGGTCGTTCGGATTGCCGTTGCACTTCTGACCCCCGTTACCAGCGTAGTAGCTTCCAAAATTGTTATGATACCCATGGCCATTCGCGTAGTTGTTACCACTAGCATAGCTATCGCTGTTCACGTATCCACCTCGGCTAGGGACCTGCTGGTTGTCCCCGCCTAGAACGGTTTCGCTTTGCTTCTTAGATTCTTCGTCGGACTTCCCCCCGTTGGCACGCTTCGAGTTTTTTTTCGCTAACTTAATCAGAAACAGAAGAATTAAAAATTTGAGTTTCAAAAAATAAATTATGGATTGACTCAAGTTGTTTCTGATCTTGATCAGCATTTTCTTCATTTGGTCAATCACAATTTCAACGTTGTCGAGGAGGAACTCGTTGTAAGCCATTTGATTGTCACGATAGAACAAGAAGTTCTTCTTACTTCTCGTGTTAAATAAACTTACGTACACGTTTAGAAGGACATTCACGAACATGACGTTTTCGTGGTTTAGGTCCTGTTCACTGGGGTAGGGGTCTCTCCGCTCGGTAGTCTCTTCGGTGGGGTGTTCGGACATAAGCCCTGTGGGGTGACCGATTGGATACTCGCTTGGGTACCCTCCTGCGTACCCGTTTGCACATCCTCCGGTGTATCCACCTGGATGTTCGGCTGTGTCCCCCTTTGCGAGGCCTCTCCACACGACTCTCCCTTTCTCGCCATATACCTCCGCCAACTTCTCCACCCCCTCATCACCCAAATGCACAGACGGACAAGTACACGGCGGAGCATCAGTGTCCTTCCTTTCACCTTCTATTAGTTCATCTACATCCTGCACTGCTTGCAATTCCTGGGTGTGGTTACTGCTTATGTTGTCATCATCTCTGCTATGGACTACACTGTGCTCCCTACTTTCTGTACATTCTGCATTCAGCAAGGTGGAGCAGTTGGCTAATTGCACCCCCTCATTATCCCTTTTTATTTTTTTCTCCTCTTTCTCACCACTTTGCGCATGCAACCGCTTGTTCACTCTGGCGTAAGTTTCGCTCATCTCCACAGCACTGGCTTGGTCGTCACCTGCGTTTTCAATTTCGCAATTGGCACTGCTTTCGACGGGAGGGCAGCCTTCAGCGGAGTGGACACCCTGTACGGTGTAATCACCCCCATGTTGTGAATCACTCTCTTCCTTGTCCCCACCAGCTGTATCAGCTCCTGGCAGAATTTGACCTTCAAATAGCGGGTCGTCAGATTTCTTGAAATTTTCTTCTACTTGCTCGTTCGGGAAACATTCCCCTTTTACATCTTTCGAGTTTTCGATAATTTTTCTTTCCCTCCTTTTTCTTTTTTTCTGCAAATTGTTGCTCTCCTTTTCAGCCGAAACGGACACAGGAGCAGTCACAGACGCTGACTCATTTGTTACGTCGTCTCTTCTCTTATCGCTAAAAATAGGATGGACATTATAGTAGGGAAAGCAGCTATCCTTATTTAGCAATTCACTGTAGTAGGAAGATGATGTATCATCCTCATCCTCCTCATCACCATTTTCCTCCGGGAAAATATAATTCTCATGTTGAAAATGAAAACTTTTCGAGAAATAATTCCAAAATATTCTATAGATAAGCTCCGAAAATTTCTCATTTGTTTCGCTAAAGGTATCATACTTGGATATTAATATGCACATACAGGACAGAGCACTTATTAAATTGTTCAGCAAATGGGGTGGCAGATTGGATGAATAATACAACAGCTTAATAAACGCAAGGATGTATTTTTTATAAACCCTTTTACAGATGACCTTGAAATTGTCTTCTGCATTTTTCCGATTTTCTACCTCTATGAAGTAATCCCTACTCAGGTAGGAAGCTTCACTTCTGGCGTTCCTCTCTTCTAATATTTCGCTGTATATTATAGGGATCAATTCCATGTGGCATATTTCTTTTACTATATTTGTTATGAACAGATAATGGGCTTGAAATTTTTTACACTCAAAATTTTCACAGCTTTTTATGATTTCAATTAATTTTTTTTCACATTCAGCTAGGCAGTTGTACTGGAACATAAACCTCTCTAGGTAGCTCCTCAATTCTTCATTTCCTATTGCGCCGATTACATACTCCTCGTATTGGGTAAGTATAATGTCTATGGTGAACAAGTCTTCTTCTTCTTCCTCCTCCTGCGCCTCCTCCTGCTCCTCCTCCTGCGCCTCATCCTGCTCCTCCTGCTGCTCCTCCTCCTGCTCCTCCTCCTGCTCCTCCTCCTGCTCCTCCTCCTGCTCCTCCTCCTGCTCCTCCTCCTGCGCCTCATCCTTCTCCTCCTCCTGCGCCTCATCCTGTTGCTCCTCCTCTTCTTCTTCCTCCTCCTTCTCCTCCTCCTTACACACATTTTCCATATCTTATATATGAGCCCAAAAAAAAGAAAAAGGGGGAAGGGGGACGGAAAAGGGAATAATAATTGAGGGCACCTATAATATGCTCTTACTTAACAAAGCACAGACAAACGGAGCTAAACACAGGGTGATGCTAAATGCACTCTACCTAATCGGGCCACGGTGACCACGCAAAAAAGGAAAGTGCGTGCAAAAGGGGACAGACTATTATGAAATAAAGGCTGATTAAACATAACCAAGAAAAGTTAAACAAAAAAAAATAAAAATAAAGATAAAAATAGTAAATAAAAATAAAAACCTAAGTTCAACTTCGCCTTTATTTTTACACATTAAAAGTTACATTTGCAAAATAAAAGACGTTAAAGTGTCCCTTCCCGCTTCTAGCAAGACGAGGCCACCCCTGTTCTCAACTCTATATGGTATATGGAGAATCTCTTCAATTAGTGATATCAAAAGAGATTCATACACACACAAAAAAAAAAATTCACTAAAAGGAAAAAGGAAGCCAAGTACAGTGATACAAACCACTTAATTAACATAAACATAAATTATTAGTTTGGAGGAAAATGTTAATTTTGCAGAATATATTTTTATCAGAGAAAGAAAAGGGGGGGGAGAGGCGGGGGCAATTGTAACAAACTAGTGCTTATCTAACAAAGGGATAAAAAAAGCCATAGGTAAAAAAAGGGTTCTACTGTTTATATGCAAAAATGAAAAAAAAGATATAGGCATTTTTCCCGGACATGCGGTGAGCATAGATGCGAAGGGCGAGCGGCGTCTACCTCACGTATCACGCCTCGGGTAGCTCCAAGGCGCAGAACGCTAAAACCTTCCCCGTCACTAAAAACGGGTTGATAATATATAACATATAAATATATACAATAGCGCTAGCGCGAGCATATGAATATGCGCACTTTGCATACATGGTTAAACGTGGGGCGTACATGTATGCAATCCATATTTACATAAAAATGCTTATATTGTACTGATATATATATATGTGATGAGCTAAGCGCGTGGGTCCATTGAACGCTGCGTACAAAGGGCCATACGTGACGCTATGATTTAAATTAAGGGCCGAATATAGAAACATATGTACACTTACATATGTGTAGTACTTACATATGGGTAGTACTTACATGTATATACATATAACTTGCATATGTATATAGTACATATGTACCTGCATTATATACATATACATGCATATGCGCGCTTGATTGTTTCCGTTTCTACGTCTACATCCTTGAGAAGGAAAAGAAAAAGGGAAAGAGGGAGATTTTCACTAAACAAGGTAAAAAAAAAAGGAATTATTGATACTTAACAATTATTTTGACAAACAATTTTTTTCTTTTACTCGTTTGTATGGATAATCTACGGAGGCAATTATACATGTGACGATGCCCTTCGCTGTTATTATAAATTATCCATTTAAAAAAAAAAAAAAAAAAAAAACGTTCAGAATAAACCACATACGATTCATTTGCGCATTTTTGATAGATGCTGGCAGAAATTAAACAAAACTGTAACTACAATTTGAAGATAATATTTTTATGTTTAAATGGTAAAAATTTTCCATTCACGACAAAGGGAGAAATTCTCTTTTTCAAATGGAAATGTAAAATTGTGAAGCAGCAAATATGAGTAAATAACGTGGCGAATAACATTTGTAATTCTGTTTTGTCGTAACCCCAGAAATAGGAATTTTGGGTTTACTACATAATGCTATTTTTTAATTATGCCGTCCAATCAAATGCGTTTTTGCAAAAATAGTTGTACCTTACTAATGAAAAGAAAAGGCATTATTTACATACCTGTTGCGCGGGGAATAGGCACGTTCTTATGATAAATAAAATATATTAACATTAGTACCACTCATTGAGTACCTTTTTTTTTCTTATTTTTGCGCGCCCACCTTTTTTTATATATCCCGATTATTATATAGTTTTCAATTTCTCCCTTATTCGGCGTCTTCCCCATCTTATGGGGATAAAACAAACTGCGAAACCTTTTGCTTCCCATCGAAACAGACTTACGAACAAGTAGCCAACGGAATTGCAAAAGTCATGATTGGCCAAATGAATACCAAACCGAATTTTCCATAAAAAGAAAAACAAAATGGTAAGTCGTCATACAATGCAGGTAAAAAAAAAAAAAAAAAAAGCATTTCTGAAAATAACGTCCCAGACTTCTTCATTTCAACCCCGTGTGGTCTTAATCGATTTGCGATGCAGACGCGGCACTCGAACAGGCGAGCAGAAAGGCACGTTCGATGAATAAAACCGACCCACTACATAATCGTCCACTTTATTTAAAAAAGCTACAAACAAATAAATAAAGTTTTTTGTGAGTGGGAAATTGATTGCCAGGGGGGCTGTACATAAATACGTATGTATTTATATGTACATACAAGTATGTAGCCAGCCCCCCCGCAGTCGCGGCACTGCGTATGTGCTACATGTAGGCGAACACCTCCGTGCAAATGCATACAGAGAGGCGAATTCGGCCGAGCCACTTTTAAGATTCGCTTCCATCCACCGCAAACAAGTGAACTCCACCCCCACCCATGTGCGAACGCGTCTACGTTTGGGGCTTCTGTGCATATTTGTAGATGCTTCTGCTGCAAAGTTCTACGCTGGTTACTACGTCTTTTCTTTTTTCCCCCCCGTTTTATTTTTTTTTTTTGTCCCTCTCTTTCGCCCTTCTCGTTTTACTCGAATGATAGCGAAAACTTATCTGTACAACTCGTCCTCATCTGATGGCGCAGACGGAGCAGTGGAGAAAGTAAGCAGCAAACCATGTGATGAAAACTTAACTTTTAAGCGTAGAAAAATAAATAGAGAGAAGAAGAAGGGGAGTAGTAGAACCATCCAAGGGAACGTCTTTAAAAATGCGCATTCCGTTGATAAGGAATTCGTATTTGTAAAAAGGGGAAGCAATCATATTCCCAAAACAGACAAGGGAAAGCCTGTTTCTATGAAAAAGAGCAACTTCGTAGGAAGATACAAAAATGAAAATCGTGCCAATAGCGTGGATACGAACTCGCAGTCGGACGAATCTGCGCGTGATGAGGAGTCGGAGTCCAGTCGGAGCAGCAGCGGCGGTAGAAGCGAACGTACAGGCGGAAGTCGCTCTAAGGAAGACCAACAGCGCCGAAACACAAACACAAAATCCAGTGAACCTAGAACCATGGATGATAAAAAAAAGCAAGAGGAATACTACAAAAGAAATTACGATCGAATTAAGGACGAAATATGGTACTCCAAAGAAGACGATTGCGTTGATTCGTTTTACAACATGGATATAGATTCTACCTACCACAAGGAGAAGAAAATGCTGGCCAATTTCTCCACACGGATGAATAGTACAGGGAAGAAGGTAAATCAAAAAAATTTAGACAATAATCTGTGGGAACTAAATAAGCTAAAGCAAGGAGGAGTGCATTCCAAGTACAATAAGTTACAACTAGACAAAATTAACGAAGCGAATAATACGAACGAAGTTAGGAAGGTTGTTTTAACGAGACACATAACGCCGTCCTTTATTGAAATATTAAAGAATGACACCGAGCGCGGAGAAGGGGAAACAAAGGAGAACCATGAACAGAACAGCGTAATTGACCAATGGAATGCCGTTTCGCATGACATGAAAAAGAGTAGCACATCCTATTCAACTGTGGTGAAAGACGAAACTTGCGATTTTGTAAAAGCGGCAAAGAAGGGGAGCGAATTTTTAAGATACTTCAAAAACGAAAATGAGAATTCCAAGGCGAGGGACAGGTACTGGGAAATCGGGAGAAGCAAATTAGGGCAACTGCTAAAGATGTACAAGGAGAAGCAAACCAATTCGACGGCGAAGTATGGGGCCAGTGGTGACCTCGCCGAAGATGAAGACAGAGATGGCGAAAGCAACACGGACATCTTCGATTACAAGAAGGACAAAATGTACAGCACTATTTTTAACCAAGAAAGTGAGAAGAAGAAAAAAAGCACTCTTCAGGATAAGGCAGATCTACGAAAACTGAAAGAATCGCTACCCATTTTTAGATCCAAAAAGGAACTCTTAGATGCAGTTTACAACAACAACATTATCATCATCGTGGGAGAAACAGGTTCTGGAAAAACGACGCAGATAGTGCAGTATTTATATGAAGATGGCTATCATAAAAATGGAATCATTTGCTGTACGCAGCCCAGAAGAGTTGCCGCCGTTTCAGTGGCCTATCGAGTGTCGCACGAAATGAACGTTGAAATAGGATCCCTAGTTGGCTACACCATCAGATTTGAGGACAACACAACCAAGGATACCAAAATTCGTTACGTCACTGATGGTATTCTACTAAGAGAAACATTAACCGATAAAGACCTAGACAAATACAGTGTCATCATAATGGACGAAGCGCACGAAAGGTCAATCAATACAGATGTGCTGTTAGGCATATTAAAAAATATTTGTCTAAAGAGGAACGACTTAAAACTGTTAGTGACATCAGCTACCATCGACTCAAAGAAGTTTTCCGAATTTTTTGGAAATGCCCCAATATACAACATCGAAGGTAGAACCTTCAAAGTGCACTTAGAATATTTAAGAAGCCCTTGTAATGATTACATAGAATGTGCTGTGCAGAAGGCGATTGAAATTCACATCTCGGATAACAACTACGACAATAATTTTGGGGACATCCTAATTTTTATGACGGGGCAGGAGGACATAAATGCTACATGCTACCTCCTTAGTGAGCGATTTTACGAGGTATACGAATCGTATAAAGAATCCAAGAGTCATAAGAAGGACACGCTTAACAAGATTAGAAGCATTATCGGGGATAAACCCGATGGGTCAGACAGAAATCTAGGGACAGTCGACCCCGATCACCTGGATGATAATAACTGCAGTGGGGACGAGAGCGATTATGGCCCACAACCCCTTCATGTAGGAAAAACCACACAGAAATACCAATCGCAAAATATCATCTATCCATTTTACGTCTTCCCGATTTATTCCCAACTATCCAGTGAACAGCAAAGCAAGATTTTCCAAAAATACGATTTGCGAAAAATAATCGTATCAACAAATATAGCAGAAACGTCCCTTACCCTGGACGGAATAAAATACGTCATCGATAGTGGGTATTGCAAATTAAAGGTGTATAATCAGAAAATAGGAATGGATGTGCTTCAAATTACGCCCATCTCGCAAGCGAATGCAAATCAGAGATCAGGAAGAGCGGGGAGAACTGGGGCAGGTATATGCTACCGCCTATACACAGAAAACACATTCCTCTGTGATTTATATCCAAATAACATTCCAGAAATACAGAGAAGCAATTTAGCAAATGTTGTATTGTTGCTAAAATCGTTAAATGTCGAAAATGTCTTCGAATTTGATTTTATTGATATACCTAGCAGAGAAAGTATTATAAACTCGCTACACGAATTGTGGGTACTGGGTGCTATAAATAATGAAGGCAATTTAACAGACATTGGCAAGAAAATGATTCTTTTCCCCCTTGATCCTCCTCTGTCCAAGATTGTTATATATAGTGAAAATTTTGAATGCACCAAAGAAATTTTAATCATTGTTAGTATGCTATCCTCAGCAGCAATTTTTTTAGAAGCCAAAGAAAATAGCGAAGCTATCGAATCCAAAAAGGAAAAATTCACTGTCCCAGAGAGTGACCATCTCACATTGTTAAATATCTATCTACAATGGCGTTCCCATAATTACTCCCCAAGTTGGTGCTCAAAAAATTTCATTCAATATAAGTCTCTCAACAAAGCCAAGGAAGTATATTCACAACTGAGTGACATAATTAAGACACTAAAAATGAAAAATGTCTCTTGTAATAATAAATGGAAATGCGTGAGGAAAACTATATGTTCTGGTTATTTTCACAATGCTGCCAAGTTGAAATCCATTTCAGAGTATGTTAATTTGAGGACAAATGTGTCCTGTCATGTCCATCCTAGTTCGTCTCTATACAACATTGGCTACACTCCTGATTATGTCGTATATCAGGAAATCGTTTTCACTACGAAGGAGTTTATGCGCAATGTGACTACGGTCGATCCTGAATGGCTCTGCGAATTAGGGCCACTCTTCTTTTACATGAAAAATGCGTAAATGTGGGTATACGCGTTTCGGGATATGCCAAATGTATGTGTATGGACGAGGGAATTAGCCCCCCACTTACCCATCTTTGCTTCTCTCCAGTGTCAATAGCTTTGCTCAGCTGCACATCTCGCTATATACACCTTTCGCACTGCTTTATTTGGAGTATTCATAATTTTTTTTTCGTTTTTTTATAGCTCCAATGAGTTCCTATTTGTACACAATACAGGGTGCAGTTTTTTCGCACCTTTGCCCCAATTATATGGTGCTTCTTTAGAGCTACACAACGGCCGCTATTTTTTTTGTCCATTTTTTGAAACTTCATTTTTTTGGAAAATTGGCTAAACTTTTTTCAAACGCCCCATCATGGGGGCGCCTCTTGGCACAATTTTGTTTTTCCAATCAATTTTGTCCCTATTAAAAGGGGGAGAGTTGGTGCCAGTGCGCGAGTTATTTGCCGACACAGGTGTGTGTGTGTGGAGAGAAAATAAAATTACCACTACGTGCTCTCAAAATCTTTCAGTTGCTTCTTTTTCGCCAAACGGCTTGGCAATTTTTGAAAGCAAAAAAGGAACCACATGTAAATTGCTCGGGGATGGCTTCCCCCGTCTGGCCAACTTCACTTTTGCTACTTACGTACGTATAATGTTCCCACACAGGAGGAGCCACATTTGCATACCTCCATATGCGCATTCATTTTGCCCCGAAGGAAAAGGATTCTGTAAAATAGCCATGACAAATGTGGTATTACCACTTAGACAATTTCGTTTATGCGTGGGTCTGCACATGCAACCATGCTTTGGTGTGATCCTTTTAAACGAAGTTTTGGATTAAGAGGGAATTAACCTCGGTCGTATGGAATAACTTTTTCCATGTACTGCACGTTTCTACATTGACGGAAAAAAGGAGCATTTTTTTTTTTTTTTCCATAAAAGGGCTGTCACAATTTGTCCAAGGGGTACAATATGCTAACAAGTTGGAGGTCCAACATGTGGAAGCGTCAAAATGGTTTGAAAAAAAAAAAGGACCATTCATGATTTCCTGATAGATAATGCGAACAGAGGGGCAGCCGAAAGATGGAACAAACAAGTTACAACAAAAAAGAAGGGGGGGCAATTTTTTCTTAAGCGCTTTGGCTGGAAAAATATGGACACACATTTCCAAAAAAATTAGCATTTTAAATACTTTTCGATGTCATTTTTTTTCTTCTTTTTACAAGCATACTTATCGTTGGGTTCACTTGCGTCCCATTTCGCCTTTCCTCACTTGTAAAATGGGGTTTTTCCAAGCCAAATAAATTTTTCCACCATGTAATGTAAGTATTTACTTGTCCTGGTTTATCATATGCGAGCACTGGGACGTTTAAACGGCATGACATACTGTACAATTTTTAAGTGAAAAAAAAAAAAAAAAAAAACAATTGCGCCCACTTTCTCATCGTCGTAAAAGGAAAAAAAAAAAAAGGCATTATGGCATAACATTTCAAAATCCCGATTAATGAAAAGGAGGAATGCTTTTTTGAATGCTTCAGGGAAGTGAATGTTCTCCAGCAGCATGTTTTCTTCCCTCAAAGCAGAAACATGTAAAGAAAACTGTGCGTGTTTCGTGCTTAAAAAGGGTATATGCTATTATTATGTACGTGCGGGAACCATTGCATACATATATGTATGTGCATCCCTGCAAGTGAAAAACCCAAGTTAAAACTCACAAATGGGGGCTGAAGAAAATGGGATTTCACGCAAACGTTTAACATGCTTCCCTTCCTAGAAGTTGCGTGTTTCCTGAATTCCCCTCCCCACCCCCACTTGTTTACAAAATTTGTATAACGTAACTCCTCTCCCCCTGGCCTTCTTCTCACAAGATACATGCTTGTGTACCTCCCCCTAGCAATTCATACAAATGAGTGAGTAAACTATTTTTTGTTTTTTTTGTTTTTGTTTTTTTCTCCCGCACCCCCCTGTCCCTACCTTCCAAGTAACATAATACACAACGAACTATGGATGTAGATGACAATGGCGCAAGGTTTCATGGCATGAATAAATATGAGAATTACGTAAATCAAAAAAAATCCAAAGAAAATAAAAACGCCATTTCAAACTCGAAGGGGGAGGATATACCTCGCGCCACTGGAGAATACGATAAGATTGATGCACACGAAGAGAATGACCAGTCGTACGAAGGATTCGTCAGCATCTCAGACCAGTCCTCATGTGTGAGCTCCATTTACAGAAACGATTTTTATGATGACGATGAGGAGGAGGAAAATGTCAACCGTGCCGATGAGGACGAAAAGTTTAACTCCGTGAATGGGACCAACCAATCCAGCCCAGCCAATCATCTGAAAAGTAATGTTAAAAGCAATTCCGACGACTCCATGTCAGATGAGGAATATGCGACTTATATAGATCAACAGGAAAAGTATGTAAATAAAATTCTCAACAGAGGAGACAGCAATAGTTACGGAGACAACGATGATCTCTTGGAATCGCTCGAACAGGCGGGAAAAAATTTGGGCAAGAGAAGCAACTGGAAGAGGCTATTTTCCATCAGCAGCACTGGCCACGCAGCAGAGAGAGACGAAAGAAATGAACCCTCCGAGCGTACTGAACCCGTAGAGAAGGCGGCGCGTTACGGGGAAGCGGAGAGTGATCAACCAAAAAGTGCAAGTTGCGCGAATGAGAGTTCGCCGCAGGGGAAGCCCAGTCCGGGCGATCCTCGCGATAGACGTAGTGATAACCTAAGGGGGGATAACTTCGATGCCTCGCGCGAGGAAGACGAATGCAAAGACGGTGAAGAAGAGGAAGACGACGAAGACGACCTCTACTCTGTCATAAGCGGGTCCGAGGGGGACAACGAAATTTTCCTCGCCACGAAGAGAAGCGACAACGCGAGGAAGGATGTCCAACCAACAATCGATCAGTGGCAGAAAAAAGGAATTCACAATAAGGAGGAAAACCAAAAAGGCGCCGGCTCTGCACGCGCAGGCGCAACTAGGAGGATTAAATTCCAGGACGAAATAGTGCAAAATGATGAAGCGGTTAAAACAAAGACACAGAATAAAGAGGAAAGGTTCGATAAGAAGAAGGAACAAACTGCTGCTTCCCCCCGCGGGGCGAAGACAATTCCGAGCGAACAGGACAGCAAAAACAGACACATGGAAAAGGAAAAACATTTTCAAAACAAAAAAAACTACGAATTTAAAAAACTTGTGTCGTCCACTATTAATATGTGCCATCCGAAAATTAAAGGTGCAACTGATACGGAGGATATTCTAAGCAACATGGAAAAAATTTCGCAAATTGTCATAATGGATGATAGAAACAAGGGAAGCGGAACTAACGTGGCGGAGGAAGAAGAGGAAGAGGGAGAAGAAAGCACCAACAGTCTCTACGACAACGTAGATAACATCCTGGACGATCGGAAAAAAATGTACATGAAAAAAAAAAATGAATATCTTATGAACAAGACGAAAAGTGAGGGCTTAACGAACACTGCGGAGAATGAAAAAGGGCAGCAACAAAGCAGCGAGGGAAACTTAAACGATGTACAAAAAAGCAGCGTTGGTAGGGGCACCCCCGCCGACGCCAAAGCTACAGAGGGAGAGCGAACCGATTTTATGTACTACCTAAATCACGACATGATAGAGTTAAATGAAAATGTTTTCAAATTATACCATGGGACCTGTGACTACACCCATCGAAATCTGTGTGCAAAGAACATCATCAACATAGTGCCCCACCTGCACAACATATATGAACGTACAAATTTGAGCTACATTAAAGATTCGCCAAATTTTCACGAAGTGTATAAGGTTGTTCCCGAGTGGAAGAGCTCCTTCGAGATGCTAAACAAGAAAGCGCAAGAGGACACAGAGGATATGAAAAATGTGCTCAGAAGGATCGAGAATATCCAAAATGATTTGGACGAATTGGGAAGAGATCTCATAGAAGATAAAAAAGAATTCGAAAATATCAAATTCGAAACGGTGCAGCATGAATCGATGATAACAAATTTGGAGAAAAAAAGTAAAACTCTTATTAAGGGGGTATTGAAATTGGATAACATGTCCTTTAAATTGAAAAAGATACATAATATAACTACGAACAATATGAATAATTTTACCATTGTAGAGAATGTGAACAGATTGCTCAAATATATGGATACTGCTCTCACCGATTATTCGCAACTCTTTTCAGAGGAGAAAACTATGGACATTCTGCGATTCCAGCCCATAGATAATGTTTATAACTTTCTCACCAACACAGATGATGAGTCCTGCTTCATTATGAATCTGCTGAGGGAAGAATTGAAAGAAATGATACTAGAGAAGAAAGATCAAATGCAAAATATCATAAGAAGGACCATGCTGTACAATGCATACGACACGAGTAGCTACAAGGAGCATATTACCAACACGCTAAATAAACAGAGCCTAATGATAAATCGTATAAAATACAACATCCACTGTAACGTAATTCTACTCTTCGAAATGTATGAAAAATTTGCAAAGAAAAATATGAAGGTTATAAGAATTGGGGAAAATCAAATAAAAAATTACCTAAATGAAGAAACTAAAGCGTCCTACATAATAAAATCTGTTAATGATAACCAGAAGAAGATCTCCAAATATTTTAACTGTATTAATTTTACTCGAAACAAACCAATTATTCACCCTTTTTTTATTCACTCCTGTCTAAGTGACAATTTTGTTCATCATTTTATTACCTTTGTTCTGGATCCTTTATCAGACGAACACCAGAAAGATTTCCTGCAGTATTGCTCTGTGCCTGGTTTTAATTCTCCGTTATTTGTTGAAAAAATTGTTAAACTGTATAGACAGGAAGAGCAATTCACGAAAAGTGACACTTCGTATGACTTTCGGTCAGCTTACTCCAGAATTATCCTCCCCGATTTCTCAGATGTTTCTAATAATTCCTACCCTAATCAGCCGTACGAACGATGGAATGAAGAAAATCAGTACTTGATAGCTTTGAAAATTGCCTCAGACTGCTGTTTTAAATCTCTGCTAGAGAACAACCAATCTGATCCCCTCTCCTCCGTAGACTCGAATAATGCCTTTAATTTGTTTCACTACATCCCCGACTCCATAACCAACATGAGCAGCAGTTCGCCTGTTCCCAATCACGCAAGTTATCCCCCCCTTCATAATAACAACAATTTTAGTTTTAACATTAGTAGTAATGGTCCCCTCTCCTCCTTTGGAATGGCAAACTTTGGTGCTTCCAACAAATTCGGGTCCCCTCCCCCATTTGCTAACAACAGCATGACGATGAATAATACTTCCGCGCTAAGTAACAATGCTAGCGGGATGTTTTCTCAGAGCAGCGGAAGTGTATTTCCCAGTGGTGCTTCTTCCTCGTCTGGGATGTTCGGAACTTTCAACGCTGCCGTCACCACGAGTAGCATGAACCAGGCAAGTGCCACTACAAACCACTTTGGCACCCTCTCCAACCAGTTTGGTAGCCTCTCCAATCAGTTTGGCGGCGCTTCTAACCAGTTTGGCATCCCCCCAAGCACCAACCAAAGCAACACGTTTGGAACAAACCTGATGAACACCCCCTCCAGTGGAGCATCGAGCAACATGTTTAACACGAACAGCTCCAGTTCTCTGAGCGGATTTAACCAAAACAGAAGCAACTCTTTCATTGCGGGCGCATCTGGCGGGATGTTCGGAAGTGCCAACTCGGCGGCCACTTCTGGTAACGCGACCCAGCTAGGAAGCAGCTCCAACCTGTTTGGGGGCACTGCGAACAGTTCGACCGGCATGTTCGGAAGTAACTTCAAACAGAACGTGTCAAGCAGTATGTTTGGAAATAATCCAGCCGCTAACCAATCCGCCGGGGGGACGAGTAACCTGTTTGGAACCAGCGGAAGCACCAACAGGGGAAATTTCTTCAACAGCAGCACTAGCAGCGGCGCGCTAGGGATGTCGACCAGCACAATGAGTGCCAACACGGGACTCTTTAACCAGGGCAACAGCGCCAACAATAACTCCACCCTTTTCGGTGGCCTCTCCTCAAGTAACGCAAATATGTCCAACTCGCAATTAGCGAGAAGTGGGCAAACCGGCTCAAGTAACTTATTCAGTACTGGCCCCAGCACAGCAGCCGGCATGGGAATGAGCAGCCTAAGTAACAACAGTGGCAACATGCTCTTCTCGCTTAACAATCAGTCCAACACGAACATGTTCGGAAGTAACAATAATAGTGGCACCCCCTTCGGAAAAAACTTAACCAGTGGAAGTGGCTCTCAGTTGAAAGATAGCATGTTCTCATCCTCTCAGTCAGGCGCCACGAATCAAATGATGAGTACTAATTTCTTTTCTGCAAATAAGGGAATGATGAGTACGTCGGCGAGTGGTAGCACTTTTTTTTCGAACACTTCTATGGGGAACACCTCCACGGGTGTAAACACTGGGGCGTATCCATTTGGAAGCAAGCAAAACTTTGGCGCGCCCAGCGTCATCTCTGGAGGAATGAATTCAAGCCATGCCAGCCAAAGTGGAAACCTCTTCAATAGGAGTAGTATGTATAATGGCCAAATATCAACCGTTGCTGGGAACACCAATTTTAACAACCTCAGTAACAACAGCAGCAGTAGTAACAGAATGGACAATTCCCTTTCCGCCAATAAGTATGGAAACTACTTCCAGAATAATAGCACCTCCAAAAACAGCCTCTTTTGTGCAGGTGCGAATAACCTCTCAAGCAGCAGTAACAGCAGTAACAGCAATTTGTTTCGCCCAGATTCCAGCACTAAAAATAGCAACGTGTTTAATAACCCCACGACTAACAACACCCCCATTGGAAGTATGTTTAGCAGCAACTTAGGCTACGGTAGTAACGCCAACAGTTTTTCCTATAACAGTAGCAGCAATAGAAATCCCATGAGCAACCTGCTGACTGGACAAAGTAACAACCAGTTCAGATCATCCTTAGGAATGATGACCGGAAACAACACTCCTACCAATAACAGTAATAATAACTTGTTCCTATCTAACCAAAATAAATCTTCCTTTATGTTCTCAAATGAAAATAAAGGAATAAGTAACCCTACGACATATGACAATAATTTGTTTCAAAATGCAGGTAACAGTTTTCTCGTGAATAACAAACCTGGAATGACATCTCCGTCGGGTCTATCCAACAGCTTGTTCCAGAAAAGTACCCCTTCTCTAAATCAGAACAAGGGATCCATGTCAACGTTTAACAGCAACAGCAACCCCGGCAACTTCGGGCTGGTCAACCATAACACCGGCATCATGAGTGGCGCTAACATTGGCAATAGCATCGGCAACAGCGACAACAGCAACGTTAACCGATTCCAGCAGAACAGTTCGTCGAACTTCCCCTCAGTTTTCAGCCCATCTAACAAGGGCAACACCATCTTTTCGAGGTAACGCCTATATGGGTGGAACGGACAAGTGCAAATCGGAGCAGCTGCCCCGCAGAGGTGGTCACGCGGTTGGTTTACATTATTCTGAAGAAGCTACTCCAGGAGCTCCTGAAGCGCACGTTTTCACACCTGCGTGTGGATATGTACTTATGCTGTGGCGGCTGTGCCGCAGGTGCCCTTTTCGAGTGACCTCCTCTTTTTGCTGTGGACTGCTGCACGGCAGAAACTTATCCATGCCGGGTAGATGCATCCCACAAAACGCTTCTTATTAAAATTTTAAATCATCGCAAGCAGGCGAAAAAAGTGGGTGTGCGGACATGTACACACGTCAGACATATGTTCGCAAATGCACATATTCCAAACGTATCTACGAAGATATGAACACGCCAAACATAAGTTCGCACATGTAAATAAGCGCCCGCTTGACCTTATCCCATATGGCTCCATTTGCATATATGACCCCTCCCCCCCCGCGGGCCCCCTTCGTTTGGTCTACCCCATTCGTACATTCCTTGGTCCCCCCTTTTTTTTTTGTGCACTACTTCCAGTAAAATGCGTATGAACATAGGTATATCAACCCAAATTAACATAAAATTTGTGTTTTTTTTTTTTTTTTTTAAATAAATCACAAACGTTTAAAATGAGCACTTCGCATGTCTATCCAGTCGAATGCTTCTCTTTTCAAAATTCGTCATATGTTTAAATAAGCATAAACAAACGTTAGTCCAAAATGTTGAGCCATCCGCCGTTTTAAAAAAAAAAGGGGTGTAAGCACTTGTTCAATATTGGTGCTTAATGCAACTGCGTTTCATGAAACACGAGTGCACATCGGCGGGATGGTCACGACGGAGAAGGCACACCAAAACAGCATGCAGAAAAAGACCCCGTTAAGAGTTCCTATTCAGTTTGAGTGGCGGACCGGTGAATGGGTCTAACGTGATTAGGCTATGTCCAGTGCTGAAGTGCAGCGGAGGTGACGGTTAAAACAAAGGCGACTTCATCGGGGTTTGTCAGATGAGTGGTACACACCGTTGCAACTCCACTGCACTCATCGTCGAAATGGATTAAGACCCCTTCTGACTTAACCACCTTAGATGCAAAAAGGTCAACAGTAAAAGTACCAAAAAGGTGCAGATGAGGGTGTACAATACGTTAGCGTTTACACCGTGACGATCCCCCTGTGAGTTACCATCACCCAGCATGCTAAGCAGCATATTCTGCCCTAACATGTGAACACCCTCGTCCAGATTAACGTCCGCGTCAGAGCTGGTCAAGTCAGCTATCTTGTTCATCTTGTCAAGTGTACCCACTTTTCTCGCTTCCCCCCTTTGCGCCATAATGTGCCCATTAATGAAGGCGCTTGCCCCATCTTTTCCCACTTGTGCCTTAACAAATTCGGAGTCGTAATGCGCCGAGACGTAATAATTTACGCGCACCGATTCTGTGTCCTCACTGCCGTTACATTCACAGAAAAAATGAATAATATGTTTCTCCTTCTTCAGTTTGTCTACGTTGCGTTTGTTTAAATATAGCAGAGACTCGATGGCCTCCTTCCCACCTGGCAGGAGTAGTCTCCTCTGTGGGATCACAAAAATGTCATTACTGCCGAAGACAAATTCAATGTTGTGGAGAACCCCCTTCTGGAGGTACACCTTATCGAAGCATGTCAACCCCTCATCTGGTGAACTGACGGGGCAAACGAATCCGATAATTTTTTCGTCACTTTTGAAGTTGGAAACGATGACATCTATTGTTTTTCTGTTCAGCTCATCTTTGGTCAATTTTTTATAATTAGGTGAGACTTCGGACAAATCGATGCCATCATATGGCAGTACTTCACCCCCCTGTACAAAATGCAACTTCCTCATCGACCCATGGGGCAGTATCATAGTGGTAGCCTCATTTACACTCTTCGGGACAAAATTAGAAATGACATATTCTTTCTCAAAGGGTAGATAAGCGTTTACATAAGTCCCCATGGGGAATATATCTCCACCTTTCTCCTGGACATACCTCCTCTTAGGATGCAGGATATTGTCGTTACTAATAATTTTGATGACATCACTTTCGTCGCCATAATTTAAGTCCAGAATGTTTCTAATGTAATCAAACTCGACAGCGACTTTAAGCCCATTGCTTAACGTGCAGTAGGTTTTTTTATAGTTGTACAAAAATTTCGAGTAGTACAATGGGAAGTAAAACTGGACTTCCCCTTCGTGAGTGGCATTTCCAGCGTTGGTCTTCCTCACCACCGTCGTGTGGTACTCACTCTTCAGATCTTTACTAAAAGAAAATGTAAAGCAATCATCATTTAGGGATACCCCTTTGGGCAAGGTTACGTAGAACACTTTGAACAAGCCATCGTTCGTCGTTCCAAGCTCTGATGTGGGCATTTTACAAATGCGATGATCTTGCATGTTCTGAATTGAAAAAGTATGAGAGTACCCCTTGTTCGATTCCCCATCTGGGAGCACTTCGCACCCTGGCTTCCTCTTTGGGGTGTTTATTTTTATCACTTTGGTTTTTTCACCTACTTTGTGACAAAATAGGTATACCATCTCTTCTTTGTCCAGAAAAAATTCGTATGCTGCTTTGTCCAATACGCTTCCTGGGTCTACATCACTTTTGCCTTCCCTGTCCTTCTCATCCTTGTAATGAAGAATCGGCTCAAACGTTTCGCTTAAGTTGTAAACGAATGAAGGTACCAAGTGGGTCCCATTTTTTTCACGCAGAACGGCCATATGGTAACCATTCACCATTGCGTATGTGTGCAAAACGTACTCGTCCTTAATTTGTAACTTCATCTTGTCACAGTAGAGGTCGTTTTTGTACAGACTGTTGCACACGAGTATCACTGTCTTCGTGGAGTTACTATCATTCAGAACATTTACAGCTTTTATGGCTAGCTTCCCTCCCATTTGAGTTAGACTTAAGTGGATAGCCTTGCCTGGGGATGCTCCTTGTTGGGATTTCTCCGTGGCTTGGTCCTCCAACTTTACCTCTTCCTCCGCTGAGATATTCACCTCTTTAACACTCTCCCACACGTTATCGCGGCTGAACTCTGTACTATCCTCCCCCTGGTCATCACTGCTCAACTGATCGCTGTACATCCTAGTTGCACCCTCCGTCCATGTCTGCCCCTCGTCGAACGAAAATTTGCATCTACCCAACAGCTGCAGTTCTGAAAAGGGGACCGCCTTCACCTCGCCGTCACTGGCATGTTCGCTCCCATTTGGGTCCTCCCTCGCGCATACCAAAATGAATTTCTCATATTCGCTGTTCATAAGTAAGTAAGACCCGGAGTACACCGCCGGAATTGCATCCACAGGGAAGTCAGAAAAGGTTACTTGTTCTATATTTTTCCAAAATTTTTCTCCCCCCATCTTCGCAATATAGTATATGTTAGAACATCTAAAAATCACCATGATCTTATCATCTGTTGTAAACACAGAAAAAATAATTGCCACGGAAAACTCATGATTCACTTCGATGTTACTATTATTTTCCCATTCCACTCCATCCGTGCTTTCCTGAACGCTTATTGCACACTTTCCCTTAACAGGCGCAAATGCATAAATGCTGCCTTTAAAGGGTTTCTTACTATAAACTATTTGCTCGCCATCGTAACCAAGTTTAGACTCGAACTCCCCTTCAAGGGTCACATCTGCACAACCGTGCCTCGCCTTGAAAAAAGGCAGAATAAGTGCAATGCTAGTGAATTTGAAAACACGCATGTTTAGTATACTCTTTCTAGAAAAAAAAAAAAAAAAAAATATATATGCTTCTCTTGACGAACCTTACTCTCCCAGGGTGGTTAACCAATTTTGAAAATTCCTCCCGAACTATGTTCCTCTCAAAATGGAAAATTCGCCAAAGTGTGAAATAATGAGTGCCTGCGAATGGTTCATTGATCCTCCTAAAGTGGCTAACCAAATGAGAATGAAAAAGGGAACGGAAGATGGAAAAAAGGGGAAATGGAAAAAGGCTCTGTTTATGCCACCCCCCAAAAAAGAGGGCTGTTCCACTCAACCATTACACGTGTGTTACATGTGCACAGGAGAAATTCCCCTTCTTCATGCTTTCCCAACCTGTTCGGAAAAGTAGTTTCCCTTACTCCTCTGTGCAGACACAGCATCTAAGCAGTAATCGGCGCTTCAAAAAGAAAAGAAGCGTCCCTTTTGTGTTTCCCTTCCCAGTTTCACAATCAATATGGGAGTTACTCCTAGCGGGGAGCGGTGACAGTCTCAAAGACTGGCAAAACAGTTAGCAGCTCACCAAATTTTTCCATTAAAATTATCGCTTCGTTACACCCTCCCTTGGCTGAGACCAGTCGAACTGTGCTCTGGTACTGGCGCAATTACACAAATGAATTAAACACCCGTGTTTCACCTAATTTTGCTTAGTTCCACTTTTACAGTGTTGGATTAACACACGAAATGTTAAGTGCCTTCCGTCATTTTCCCCCGTTTTGAGCACCAAAGGGTGAGTTTACCGCGCTCCACTAAGTTCTTCCCATTTCTTCCCATTGTACACGGCTCCTCCATTTTAACGCAATTTTTAACAACCTGATTATTCGATTATTCTTAACTGACTTGTTTGGGTTCTTTTTCATCATGAAGTCGATACACACTGTTGCGTATACGAGTGAAAACAAAAAAAGGAGAGAAGGGGAGGAGTGGAAGTAAACAAGGTAGCACATAACAGAAAAAAAAAATAAAGCAGAGCAAGGCAAAGCACAGCAGAGCGAAGCAAAGCGACGCTACACCACGAAAAACAGAATAAAACAATGGCAACACTTTTTTAATTATCCATTTGGGGCAAACGTTCACCAAAAAAAATAGAAGCTCGAGGGTGGGGCGGCATTTTAAAAATGGCTCATAATTTTAGAAAGGTGCGTGCATGAGGTGGTGAAGCAGTGGCGACGGAGTGGCCAAGAGGGACACTTATGGTACGCATGGGGAACACGAAATGTGATAGCCACCGTATCACCACCGCATCACCACCCCATCACCAGCGACTCCGCGGAGAACGTCACTCCACGCAGATGTCATTAAAAATGGAGTACTTGTTGTAGTACAGCTTTTCAATACTCTTGGCCGTGTTGTAATCGCCAAAAACCTTCAGCAAGAGAGAGGAGCTCTCAATTAGCTTCTTCACAAATTCTTGGTCGAACTGATCAATCTCTTGATTGGCCCAAAAGATGGACGCCTTCTGTAGGTTATCAAGAATTTCCATATTTTTAATTTTCTTTTCAAAAACATCAATCCAGTATGTGGTAATAATGTGGATAATTCCTTCGATGTCTAATTCGTTTTTCCCTTTGGATTTCTCCCAGATGTTACTTTTTGGGATCTTACTATCAACTAGCCATTTGTTCCCATACTCTGCTTCTAAAATCCTTTCTATGATGGGAGACAAGTGGGTTGACAACAAGTGGAAGATATTTAGAATGATATCCAGTAACACATACTCATTGTTAATGTATATGCTACTTTGTGTGTTCATGAGGAGAGAGTGAATTAATTTGGACGGATATATCCTTCTGTTATTATCATCAATTCTGAGCTTTAGAATTACATCATCATTTATGTTTTGGCTGCTTAACATACTGTGGGCATTGATAATTATATTCTCACTGGAGCTGTACAAATTTCTGTAGATAATATTTCCTATGTTCCAGGAGATATACAGGTAGGAGTTAATAGGGATGTTGTTGGAGTAATTGTTTCCGTGTATGTAGCAGAAGAAGTCTCGCGCCGCGGTGATGTTAATATTTGTGAATGTATATCTCCGGTTTATGTAGAAGCTCTTCGAGGTGGCGTTTCTCTTTTTCAGAAAATCGAACCCCTTGTCTTGCATTATGCTCTCCCGCAAATCGGCATTCCTTAAGTAGTTATCTCTACCGCTAAGGTTAGAGGAAACTTTGCCGCTAGCATTTCCGCCAACATGGCCGCTACCATTGCTGCCGCTTCTGTCGAGGATGTAAATCCTTTTGTTATTCTTGAGGTTTATGATATCGTCCGTGATCTTGGCCTTGTCCAGGTGCTGCGACTTGTGCATCATCTCCTCGACGGCGCTGGAGTACAGCGACAGGGAGCTTCTCATTTTGGAGAAGTTGGACAGGGGGGAGAGGGCCACGCTTCCAAGGCTTCCAAGGTTGCCAAGGTTGTCAGGCTTTCCAAAATTCGTAAAATTTGTCAAGCTTGTCACACTTGTCAAATTGGTAAAATTGGAGCCCCCCCCTCCGTGGCTTCTCAAATCGTCGTCATCACACCCGTACACATCGTCAGACATCATCATCTTTCTGAAGTCCCCCGGGTTGATAAAATGCTCGTTCGAGTTATTCTCGTACGATGCATTATTTTGCAGATACTGACAAAATTGGCGAATCACATTGATGCTACACTGGTAAATGACACTCAAATTGGCATCCACGTTCTCCTTCGTGATGCCATACTGGTTAATTATATTATTCGTCAAGGCTTTACACTCCAAAATTTTTATTGGCGGGTAATAATAGTATTCCAAAATGTGAAACACAGCGGTGCACTCGTTAAATATTTCCACATTCTTAACTATAGTATACTTGGTGGTGTTCTTAATGCTGCATTTGATCTTGGAATTTACACTGTTGATATCCCAAAAGATGTTTAAATAGCAGGACTCATTCATAAAATTGTATTTACAAAATCCATTAATGCTAGAAAACATCCCATCACTGTTACAGCCAAATTCAGTGCACCGCATGGGGGAAATTTTCTCATTGGGGAACTCTACCCAATTTCCTTCCGTCAGAATGGACGATCTGGATCCTTTACTATCCGATAGGGTTAACGTCTGTCTGGTAAAATTGATAATCAAAATGTAAAGCGATTTGTGTGCCTTTCTTAGCCGTTTCTTCCATTCGTAATTTTTAATATTCACTATAAAACTTAACGGCAAATTTTCCATTATGTCTTCATTTCGGTAGGAACTATAAATCAGCCTATCCCTGAACACACTATCCTCCTCATTAGTGTAATTGTAACTGTCATGATAATTGTGGCCGCTTTCGTTTTTTCTCGCCCAGTTATTCACACTCCTGTCATACTTTAACTTCTCCTTCTCCTCCATAATTCTTATATTTAAAATTCTGAGCAAGCCTTTTTTTAATTTCTTCCTGTGATATTCGATAAATCTTTTCCCTTCCTCCGTCTCCAAAATGGTTATGTAAAATCTGCTATTATACGTATTGTCGAAACTGTGTTTAACTATGAAGTAATTTTGCTTGCCTAGCATTTGTGCCTTGTCATTTTTTATGTTCATTCCTAGGACAGCCGAAGCTGTGTTGTCTCCCAGAAGGGGGATGTCAAAACGGGCGTTCAAAATGTAGTCTTCATTATTTACCACTACGCAGTATTGTAGAATGCCGTAAAAATTACCCATCGTTTTGGTAAACTTTGCGATGCATTTTTCTTCTCCCTTCATCTTTAAACACTCTGGGGGGTTCAACAACCAGACGCCATGCTTTACTGAGTGCATGTACCTGTAGAATGTGCAGCTCGTCCCGTTCAAAATTCGTATTTCGCACTCTCTGTTTTCCATGGTGGTGTACGCTTTCCCTACTGTGCTAGGCGCTGAGGAGAGCGATGTGCAACTTTCTCGACCAAATTACTTGCCACTTCTTTCACCGTGTGAAATGCCACTTTTTTTTCTCTTCGTATGTTCATTAATGTACCTTTTGCCGTTTTCCCATGTTACCCCCTTTCTCCCCTAGGGCCGAACTGCGTCTAGGTTTTGGTGAGCCAGCGGAGATTCACATGGAGCTGTAGCGACACACATACGGAAAAAAAAAAGAAAAAACATACACAGTCATACACATAGATATATTTATATGTATATATATGCTATATGTATGTGTATGACTATGTGTATGTTTTTTCTTTTTTTGATTCTCTTTTGTTGTCTTCCTTTTCCAGGTTCCTCCAAGGGGGCTTGCATGCCAGCTCAACGTGGGGCAACTTTATCGGAAAAAATCCCCCTCTTGTGCCTTTCCTCAAATTTGTGCATATATACCTCTGCCTATTTCTGTGGTCAACCTAAGGGCCCCTCACTTCGTTGGGAAGCTCTTCTTTCAGCATTCCTCTGCTTGGGGTACGCGCCAAGCGGAAACGCTCATTGGGGAATAAATACGTACATAACAAGTATACGTATGTACGCCTTTAGGTACGCATTTGCGCATGTACTTTTTTTCCGCCACAAGGGTAAGCAAATCCACATATGGGATTTTATTTCCTCCTCTGGAGGTGCTCATTCGCCCTACTTCCTTTAATTATACTATAAAGGTATGCCTCATGAGGATTGCCTCCTCTTATGTGCACTATTCGTAGGAACATTATTCCTGGCCTTTTCCAAGCTTCATTCTTTGAGTGCCACGTTTCGTTCTGATTTTTTTTTTATTTTTTAGCAAGATAGTACACTTGCAGAGAGGAGGAGAAGGATGCCAACCTTCAGACCATGCACTCTCTCTGCCGTTTATATATGTACACATAACTACATCGTCCCTTTGAGTATTCCCTTTTTTGTGTACTGCATAACTTTTTCGAGTTGACACATAAGCCTTCTTCCGTTGCACCCCCCTCCAATTCGCTTCCCGTATATTATTTCTGCTCTTCCATTATTGACGCAATTACCTTGTGCTGTTACGTTTAAGTTGTCCCCGACCTTACGTATTCCTGCTCCATATGGCTGAAAGAAGGAAAAGACGAATTCCACCCGTTTGCTCTAAGCGGGTACGCTGACGAGTTAAAAAGACACAGAAGCATTGTCAGATTGTCAACTCGAGAAGGAAAAGGGAACAAATCGTTCCCCAAATGTAGTAGATACATGATGTCCCTACAACTGGCACACTAATAAGCGGCATATAAATTTTTTAAGAGAAAAAAATGCACTTGCTGTTGTTTCGCTTGCCACCAATACGGCCGCTACAACATTAAGGAAGGTGCGCACTGTAACTGTGTGTAGCGGCCACAACGGTGTTGCCGCCTTGGGTAAAAAAGAAACCGCACAATAACGGGGGATTTATGCATATGTATATTTTCATGTACAATTTATGCGCACCCAGTGTTAACCCCCTTTTCGCTTGCCTGTCTGTCCCAGCTTACATTGCTACGATTGGAAGGAGGGGAGTCTACGACACCGTGGTTACCTTCCTGTGGGGGGCTACCTCCCTCAGGCTGCGTAAAGTGGAACAGTTGATATTTTTCCCCCGTTTATTTTTGGACATACAAATGTGTACCCCCTCTAACAGATTTTTCTCCATCATATTTCGCAGTCCAACTGTACACAAAAAGAGACACCTAAACGGCGTCTCCCTAAACACGTATAGGTGCATGCATGTTATGCCAAGCAGGTGAACAACAATTTGAGGTAACTTCGATCGAATTGTAAACACTTCTCCAAAGAAGTGAATCTTAAACACATTCAGGCGAACGAATCAACAGACGCAAGTTGTTCATTTTGGTAACCGCACTGTTCTATACCCAATGGGGGATGGCGCCATTTTTCACACAAATCTTTTTTTCCCCTTTTCCCTTCACACTGCCTAAATATGCATATGAAAATGGTGACGATCAAAATGGGAACGATGAAAAGGGAAACGATCAAAATGGCACCTTTACAAAGCACACACTTCACGTACTTAGCAAAAGCTTTCTAGGGGCCACCTGTAAAATGTAGCCACCGTTTCTGCTAACCTTCGCAATCGAGGTTACAAAGGGGCAGAACGCGTATGGCCCACAAAGAACCCCACTTTTGTAACTAGAATATATCCTGGTAAAATTAAAAAAATCCTTTTTCGTTTTTATTTTTAAATTGAAATTTTTTATAAATGTGTGATGTATAATTATATGCATTATCATGGTCATATAATAAATGTGCGCATGAGCAGCGAGGGAGAGGATGCAAAAAGAAAAAAAAAAAAAAAAAATAGAAACAAGATGGGAAGAAAATTAACATGGAATACACCACATGGGATGTCAATTGTCCTGATAAATAAATGGGTAAAACAAAGGCCATCTCCATATCTATGCAAGGGGTACGTATCTGTTTATTTGTTTGTTCGTTTGCTTCCTTATTTTTTTCTTCCTTTGGGGGCAGTTCTTTTCCGTGACAGGGTGCTTGAAAAATGAGGGCTCCACGGGGTAGGGACAAACGCGTGTATGCGGCAGGTACACACGGCTGGAGGGTGTGCAAATTTTGTCCCTATTTTAAGTGGGATCCCCGACCTATGCGTGCACACAACAAAGATTTTTTTTTTCTTATTTATAAATAACCCTGCGCATGATCTTTTTCCCTCTTTACTTCTCAAGCTGGACATTGCTAACGGTAGTTGCCCGGGGGATCCAATTCACATGTCTATAAACTGGCGAAGTGCGTTCATCCTTCAGCGTGTGTCAATTCAAGTTTACACGGAACTCCTCTCATTGTTGGGAGGCATTTTCTCAGCATCAAGCTGCGACAAGCTTCTTCTACGCCGTGCACATCCTCATCTGGGCACCTACGCCCATAATGTCTGTGCCCCCGGAAACAAACATTCCCATTCATATATACACCATCAGACAGTGACACTAAGTTAAATGGTTTTCTTTATGTGTTTCAACTTGGGGATGTTATCGAACATGTACTTGGCCTGGTCTCTCAAGTCAATATAATAAGGATGGGCTAGCTCGCAGATCTTCGTTATGTACACACTGTTAATATGGTTATATAAAAATATGGTCCAAGTGACCAGGTAAAAAAGGACGCTGAAATTTACAAAGGAGAGGAAATTACCCACAGAGTAAATCACAATAATTACAGTCACATTCTCCATTCGGTTGGTCCACAATAAATATTTTCTGACTAAAGTCAACTTGTCATTTATGAATTCATATATGAACATGATACAGCTCTCGATTATTTCCTTCGACACTATCTCCAGCTTGTCAGTCTCCTTATAATCTGACATCTTATGTACTTGCAAAAATACAAGTAGCCCGCTTAATAAGAGGAGCAGAATACATAGGGTGCATATTACTTGCAGAAATGTCTGGTTGAAAATGTACAGCAGAATGTACAGTGCGTTTATCGATGCGAATATCGACAGGTTCACGATGTTCTTTGAGGTCAAATTCATCTTCTCCGTTTCAGTAAACACAAAAGGTGAAAAGGGGGCGCGGGATGGCACGTACAAAAAGTTACCACAATTATCACAACTAGCAAAACCGCTGCGATTGCTGTATCTCTTCAGATAAATATCCCTCGGAAGGTGTCTGCTACCGCGTAAGGCTTAGGCAACCGGAGTTGTGTCCCTGGCCTGGGAACATACATATACGCAATTGTATACACTGCTTTTCACACAAAGGGTGATTACTCTTACACTCCCTGGCAGGAATATGCACGTAAACACGAAATGAAGCGCATAATATGACACATGAAAAAGAAGGGGGGGGATGCTGGCTACCTATTAATAAATCGAACTCAACTCATAAAACTGTACAGTACAAACACGTGCGTAAGAATATGATATGCTCGAAATGATAAAATGAAAAAGTTCGCTTAGGGGAATAAAATGGGGAAAGATGAATGGGGGGGCATACTCATAGTACAATAAAACCCTTTAAAATATAAAACAAAAATGGAACTACAAAGTCATAATTTTCTGGAAATGTCATAAGTTTCGCTAATTCGTATATAGCAATACAATAAATACGATAAAATAAATGTAGTAAAATAAATGCAATGAAAGAAATGCAATAAAATAAATCTTCCTTCTTCTTTGCTATTTATGTTTTACTGTTCCTGTTAAATTGTTTATTATTTATTCCATTTGGGTAGGCACTTTTTTGTTGGCAAGCTTTTTTTTCTTTTCTTTTTTTCTCCTTTCCTCATTAGCTTTGAGCGTTAATTTCACATTTGTTCAGAGGTATGCTTTAAAAATAAAAGTCAAAATAAAAGAAAAAAATTGAACAAGCGAAGAAGCGGCAGTTTGGACATAGCAAAATGTTCCGTGTTGTTCATTGTATGTATGTACAAAGTTTTACGCCCATTTTTTGTTTTGTTTTTAGAGCAATCATATCGTACGTCACACGCTTCTCTTTTTATGCTTGAACAGGTATTATTTACATTTGCATGCCACGCTCAGTGCCGCACGCACATTTTTTTTTTTGCCTATTGCGAGTAAGCGTGCTATGTTTGACATTTTGTTCCGAGCATTTTATATTTCTTTTCCGCCCCTGCTAGTTAGGGATGTACTATATACATAACCCACATGTACGTATACATACATTTACGTACATATACATATGTATATATCTGGTACCGCTTTCTTTTTTTTTTAAATGAAAAAACCCCGTTTGGTAAAAACAGACCCCTCTTCTCTGTTTTCTTTGCCCCTTTTCACACGTCTAGGAGGTAAGTTGCGCGATGGTTAGCACTACCATCCGATCGCACTGAGCTTAAAAAGTTTCATTTCAAGTGTATCCACCAACAGTGTGTTCAAAAAGGAGAAGAAAAGCAGAGCACGGTGAACAGGCCGAAGCAGAGGGGGCAATTCAAAGGGGGTAAAACAGACCGAAGGAAAGGGGAAGCATTACCCGAATGTTCCGAATAGCAATATTTAAATCCTGGTAGCACTGGTGTAAGCCTGACTAACGATGAGGCAAGCACGAACGGCTTATAATGTGCCCCCCACATGGAAAGCTTTCCCGCAAAGGAGAAGAATTATATCATTCATATAAAGTGTGTGCATCTCTGTTCACCTCCCCCGCCCCTTTCTCCAGTTCCGTTAACATGCATAATTCTGTCATACTTTTAATAGGCGAAAAGGTAGGGTATCATGTGGATGGTTAACCTTTGCATGATTGCTCCTCCCCTTCTGTGTGTATGCGAGTTTCCCCCATCTAACAAAACTTCATACCAATCTGTGGCTACATATCACCATTCTCCATGGTAATTTATTTTTGTGAAACAAATCTGAGAAAAGTTACTACAATGTGTGCGCATTGCCACATAGTAGGGGCAAACGAAGATGGGCACTGTTAATTGTGATCAAAGGTTACCTATGGTAAGCCGTTACCCATGCATACCAGCTATTTGATCTGATGTACGTACAGGCTAATGTAGGTATTCCCACATAGGGACATTCTTGTATACGCGCATAATTGCTTAAAAATTGGAAGAACTTTTTGTGTATATATATATATGTATGTATGTACACAAATGCGCCCCCCCTTCACATGCAACTAAAAATAGCGAAGTTCATGTCGCGAATAATGCAACAAGGGAATAATCGGCTACACATAACAAACACATTTGACAAATGGTTCAAATGGTGGGCTAGGTGCCACACGAAATGAAAAAAAAAAAAGAAAAAGAGAAAACACATATCACATGAGTTATAAGAAAGAGTTACGTGTACTATCCTACAAATTGGGCATCCACTACCCCTTCTGTCCAAATATTGGTTGTAAGAGTACGTCCAGTAATTTAAAAATTCAATTGAAAAACCAGTTTCTTCGTAGGTATCGACAGCACGTACGGGTGTGTGTGACACTTTATGGGCACAGTAAGTTTACATCCTTTGCTACTATATGCATTTTGCGTTGTCCTGGCTCTGTTAATGCATTCACCGAAGAACATACTGCACTCATGCCGCCGAGGTTCTCAAAACATACGCCCCTGCTGAAAATTTAGATACTATCCAAGGAGAAAAACTTCTTTACCTTCGCGTCCTCTTCTGCTAAATCGTATAAATTGCACGTCTCATTTTGTTTATCACTCTCGAGGAGTTTAGTTCTATTGTTTCTGTCTTCGGTCAGTTCGTCCATATGATCGTACACGTGATTGTTTTCCCCCTCGTTGTTGTCCTAGGAAAATCAAAAATGATGAGTTCGCCATGTGGCACAATCGCTAAACGGATTGTGTGCCTACGGTTGCCCCTCTTGTGGAATAAACACAGGGACATATCTTCAAAACATGCATGTATTTTCTTCAATTATTTATTTTTTTTTCATTTATTACAAAATCCCGCATTCTGTCCTCCCGCAGGCGCATCATTTCGTTGTGATTGTGCTCTATGATATTCGCTGCAGTGCAAGAAGGCGATGAACAGGGGGAGGGGTACATGTCCAGTTTAGTCGTTTCCTTTTTCAGCCAATTTTAGCCAATCGTCCTTGCCGGCGCACATGCACTTTTTTGTGAACCCGCGATGGCTGCTCCTCTTACCAAACGATATGGGGCTTTCTGTGTAAGCCTTAACATTCCTTGGCGACGGGAAGTAGTGGAAAAACAGCGGCCGATTTCTTCTGTGCATCGATTTTATTCTCATTCCGATGGGGTCTTCATTTAACCTGAGGAGAAAAAAAGGGCACGGATGAAGAAACGAATGGGTGGGTTAGTAGTAGTCTCTTCTTCGTGTTGCCCCTTCTCCATTAATGCACTTCAAATTGTTGTGTGCCCCCATGATTTAGTCATTTTATTCTTACTCCTCAATTTCCTGGGGTAGCATCTCCTCGCTAGCCAGTGATGTGTCTGAGCTGTTATTTTCCGTGCTGCTATGGGAACCTAAAATTGTTTCAGTTCCATTGGGGTGCATTGAATGAGGCTTTCATGAAAACACATGAAGATATGTACACCTCTATAATATTAACATTTTTGCACAAAAGACGGACGGTAAAATGTTCTCTCAAAATGCAACTATCCCTACTTAGTGCGAAATCTTCATCCTCCAGGTATAATGAATCAAGGTAATCATTATAATTTAGCCACGAGTTTAGGACATTAACTGCGTGAGAGTTACAAAAAAGGAAAAGGAAAAATAGCAAACTTGGGATTGCTTCAAAAATGATTGACTCTTCCTTTTTAATGCCTTAAAATAAATGTTATAGAAAAAAATTATATACCGCTCAGAATTTTTCTGACTATTTTTCTGGGCATTTTTCCGAGCATTTTTTTTTTTTTTTCTGCTTAACATGTCGTCTTACCCGTCTCTTGGTCCACACTTCGATCGATTTTTTCGTTTTGCCATCTGATGTCACTGAATCTGTTTCGATGTTGTTCATTTTTTTCCACGAGTTTTTTTATGTACTTCAGTTCTTCCTCGATGATTTTTACTGGCTCCTTATAACTGAAGGGGGTAGGAATGTGAAAAGGCAAATGAAAAATCGGAAAGCAAAAAGTTGAAGACACGTTAGCGACTCGGCTATGCGCCTGACGGCAACATCTACTTAAATGAAAAATTTTCCTCCTTACGTTACTATGGCGCTGATTAATATTTTTATGCCAATTAAAACGAATGTCTAAAAGGAATGGGGCGCGGAGGAAAAAAACAAAAATCGATTTAGCCCATAGAATGTGAGCGAAATGGGTACACTGTCAGGCGATTTCCGAGGGCACAAAACGGACATTTGTTTGCATCTGAGTTTGCGTTGGAAAATATGCCTGGATCGTATTTGTCCATTTTCGTGTTTTCTTTATTTTTTAATTTTCCCTCCCTACGTATCGGATCCCCTTCACTGAGTGACTGACTAAATTCTCGCTGACTCTTAGGAACGCATAATTCCTGATCATCCCAATGATCCTTTTGAAGACCAGTTCGGTTAGACAGCAAAAGAAAACGCCTGATGTGGTGGGAGGGGATCAATGGGACACTGTTTATTAGACAGGCGCATGTAGATAGTAACCAGGTACGCTTATGCATATTAAAATATAGACGTGCAACACACATGCGGTGCGCCCTCTACTATGGGAAGCCCACAACGAAAGTGCCTCTACTTCTTTCCCTTACACGATATAATTTTTCTTCGGCTATTTGTCGCATAACTCCGAGAAGTAATGAACAAAACAAGGAGCAGTACCAACAGGTACATCATGAGCATCTTAAAAGCCATTACAAATTCTGCAAATGGTTTAGAAGGAAAAAAAAAAAAAAAAAAAATTACCATCTTAAAATTGTGATTTCTTTTAAGAAAGGCGAACTTCTTTTTGTTGCTGTGTTTTTGTTTACTAGTAATAGACTCATGGTGCTTCTTTATTTTTAATACAATTTGTATAACCTCACTGAAGTCATTCTTGAGGCCTTTTAAGAAGTTGTCGAATCTGCGTAAGTGAAAGGGGTGTGGGGGCGTGTAGCAAGTGAAACGAACTGGAGCGGGTCACACTGCAACGAATCACACTCAAACGAATCACACTCAAACGAATCACACTCAAACGAATCACACTCAAACGAATCACACTCAAACGAATCACACTGCAGCGGATTACAGTGCACCGAAGTGAAGCCAAACAAAAAGGGCAACGGGGCAAACCCACGCGCTCTCCCCTCTGATGCGCAGTTGTTCTTGCATGCAACTCCGGTGGGTTACCTATTCGTATTTTCGATCTGCTTCACCTGCGCGTGCTCTATTAACTTCATGTTCTCCAAATTGGTCGTCATCTGCCTGGTGATGTTTACGGAGGTCTCCGCTAGTCGGTTAATCTATCCATTTGGAATCCGAGGTTGGGGCGTGCAAAGGGGGGAGTAAAGGGCGCGCGAACATATGCATATGTATGGGTGCGTAAATATAAACGCACACTTATGTAGACACGCACGTGAGCCCACTCATTTAGCCGCTTATCAGTCCATCCGCGCACTGATGGGACTTCTTCACAAGCACGTACATTTGCGTCCGTTCGTCTATTCCACTCAGATGATTGTATGTAGAAGCAAATGTCGTCGATGTGATTTAACTCAGAGTGGTAAATCTGGAAGGCGGTATCGGACATGCTGTCGCTGGTTGTGCAATTCGTTACAATTTTGTATTTTAAATTTTCGCACAACATATTTTTCAAGTCGATATCATCCCGTGGTGAGTTGTTCTCTGGAGTTATTTTGTCCCCACTAGGATACATTGGGTCCTTTTCAACGCTCGACAAAAAATCGTCACTCGAGATAGCCTCATATATTCCCTCTTCACTTGCAGCATCACCAAGGCAGGGATTTTTTGTTTTTTCTATCTTTCTCAATTCATCCAGACTTAACATTTTGGAAAAATTCTCATTTCTAAATTGGTCAAACAAATTATTGTTGTAAAGATATATCTGTAGTTTGTTCAATTTCTTTGGGTCTAATATGCAGCCCGATTTTTCGTCCGGAAAACTTCTCACCGATTTTACAAAAAGGCATTTTGTTTTGGCCAAGGCTAGAATGGATTTATTATTTTCATTTATTTCGTTGCAGTTGTATACGTTTAGACTGTTTAACTGGTTCAGTACGTACTCGTAACATTTTATTTCCCTTACATATATGTTGTCGTCCTGATCGTCATCTACGTCCTGATGGCTATCTCCTTCCTGATCGCCATCTCCGTCCTTATCGCCTCGATCATTTTGGCCACCGCTTGTAACTCTTCCAGCGCGTCCACTTTTTGTGCCTCTCGATTTTCTGCTTTTTTTTCTCTTTTCTTCGTACTCCACCTCAGCCTTTTTCTTCGCCCTCAAAATTTCCTCCATGGCCTGTTTCCCCCTCTGAACCCTCTCCACCAGTAACTCGGTGTTACTGGCGTACTTGAACCTGCATTCTGTCCACAATTTTAGCTGCACAATTAATATTATAACAATGTAGATATGCGTCATAGTTACCCTTTGGTGATGCACACACGTTTTTTTTCTTTTTCTTTTTCCTATTTTTTTTTTACACTCTTTTTTGTTTTAATTTGACCAATCAGGGCTGCACCTACAATGCGTACACGCATGTGTGGGTAAAATGTACAAATGCATATGTCTCATTTTTTTTTTCTTTTTCCCCTCTTTGTCTTATACACCTTTTTGCTTTGCAAAAAAGGGCATAATTATGTACATGCGTGAGCGATTGGGGGGAATAAGTTATTATTTTTTTTTCCTCTACATGATTGCAATTTTTCTACATTTATTTATTTTGTTAATTTATTTGTTTATTTGTTCGTCATTTTGTTAATTTGTTAATTTATTTATTTGTTAATTTATTAAGTTTTTCTTTTTTTTTTTTTGCGCCTTCCCCCAGAGTAGACAACGTAACATAGAGCTACGCCTCCATTTCAGTTGTTTCCTTTTGGAATATATTTTCGTTCGCCATAATTTTCTACTCACCTGCGCTGCCGAGAAGCCGTACCAATTTCTGCCCAGTTGAAGGAAAAACCCTTAGACAAAAATGGGATACCTGCCCCTAAAACGAGTAGCACAAATATTGTCACGTTGGTCGTCTTCCATCTTGAGCTTTAAAAATTGCGACAAGTAGAATTTGTGAAAATTTCTACATTCCGGTCAGCGTCTCGAAAAGTAGACTTAGCTTAGCTGCCTGGTCCACGTGATCTCTTCGCTCCATGTTCTCCACATTTGTTTCCCATTTCGGCATTGTGCGAGTTTGCTATTTTGGCAAATTGGCCGTTTGGCAATTTGGCCATTTAAAAATTTAACCATCTAACAGTTTAACCATTTGGCCATCTCACAGTTTAACCATCTGACATTTTCTTTTTATTTCCCGTCCAAACCTCACAAGTCGGAAACAGTCCCTACGGATTACTCCACCGTTGCCTGTGTAATCCGTGACGGCGTAAAAATGGGACCGCCAAAGTGTACGCTCGCGAGAATTGCCCTCCAAATTCGGCCAAGTCCCAGTTATAATCCTTTCATTTTTTGGTCAACCAGAAAAATGTTTGTCTTAATGGCTTCACCGTGGCGAAGGGGGTCATTAAATTAAGCAAAACAAAGTGCAAAAAAAAAAAAAAAAATTCAGACCCCGTAAGGGACAAACAAACGGTTGAAGAACCAATAAGGACCTACCCACCCAAGTGGACGTGATTTCCACACGAAGGGCACAAAGGGTAGGACAAAAAGCCCTCCTCAGCAATCAAACACAAAATGTAAGACAAAAAAATAAAAAAAAAACAGCCGGCTTAAATGCAGTGGGGCACATTGCCATTTTGGCAAAAATTAAGGACCGCTTTGTATATTCGAGCTGGAAGCGAACACCCCGAACAGGAGCAGCTCGAATGAGCACAATTTAGGCAGAAAAAAAAAAAAAAAAAAAAAAAAAGTACACTTAATCGACGTAATGTCCTGATGGCTAAACAGGACAAACTTAAACTTCTAACTACTGCGAGTCCACCCCCCTGGAAGATGCACCATCTGAGGAATCGTCCGTGGAACCACCCCCTAATTTCTGTGAACCTTCATCCAACGGTTTCTCCCCCCCGGAATCGTTGTCAAAAAACTCCTTCGTCAGCTTCGAAATGTCTAAATCTTCCCCCTGGCTAGTCGGAATTCCATAAATGTCCCTAGCCACACTGTTATCGTCAATGTTTATTTCCCCCTTTTGGATTTTCTCCTTCTGCTGCAGGGACTTCTTAATACTATTCTCTATGTTCTTAATTTCTTCATCCGAAAAGAACCCTCTTAAAAAATTTTTATCCATTTTGGTAAAGTTTTCCAAAAGGGTTTCCAATTTTTCTTCCTTTTTCTTATTTTCCTCTTCAGAAAAGGAGTCGTAATTTTTGCACTGATCATCCACTTGCTTTATGATGTCTTTCATTTGGTTCAGAAGGAATAACTCTCTTTTTTTTTCGCTCTTAAAATTTTGCACGATTTTTTTTTCATCACTCGTTAGGAGGTTGTCCTTCGCCTTTTCTCCTTCTTCCGCCAGGGGATTATCCCCATTTGGTTTGTCTCCCGTTCGAAGTGGGTCTGTCTTCCCCTGCTGTGTGTGTTGTAGATCGCTTGACTGCCCAGGTACTCCCTCCTCCACGGCATCGATAAAATCTTTTTCGTAATTTTTCAAAAGCTCGTGGGAAGTCCTATTCTGCAGATTTTTATCGTCGTAGATTTTCTTCAAATTCTCCGTAATGTCTTTGTGTGTCTCCCCCGATGGGTTATTCGTATAAGTTAAAAAATTTTTCAAATAATTGTTCCTATTCATATAGAGCAGTGTTTTATGAGGGGCATCCCAACTCTTACAAGCCTCAACAAAATTGGGCAAATCGCTATCTACAAGTTTTTTTTCTAAACATATGCTGTCATAACCCAGACTACCTAACTTGTGTGCATAATTAAAATCATCCACATTAATTTTCGCAATGGTAATTAACTCGGGGATGGCGTAGCTGATGGCCTTTATCGCATGATTGTACTCATATTGATTATTCAGAAAATCGAATTCGTTTATCATTAGTATGTAGCTGCCGCACTGAGTGGCGAAGTAAATATCATTGTAATCGTGGACCTCTACAATTGCTTGGGTTCCTAAATTAACACAATAGTTTAACATGTCTTCGAGGTCATTCTTTAAATAGGATAAATTTAAAATAACTCCATCTGCTTTGTTCTCCACTGCGAGGGCAATTTGGATGGGGTGAATGATCACATCGTCCACCACTACTGCGGGTCGCACATTTCGGGGAAACTTCCTGACACTCCTAACGACATCACATAAATCGTTTAAATTCCCCTGCGTAGACAGATTATCAATGTTTACTATCAACACGTCGAAGCCTATTTCGTGCAGCATCAGACTCACATTGCCTGGGTTCGACAAATTGAGAAAGTTACTCTGATACATGTAATTTTCGTCCTTCCAGATGCGTCTCCTTTTTTCGGCATTTTCTCCAGTTCCTGCCTCCGCTTGAGACATTCCCTCTTCCCTTATCACTTCATCTACCGTGGGGTGGCCTCCTTCCTCCTTTCTAGCCACACTGCAGAATATTTTTCTCTTCATGTCAGCCACCATCGACAACCTGTGCTTCTCATCTGGACTTGTCCTCTTCAGACTCTCCGACAACTTATTATTCATCGTGTGTTGCAAATATTTCATTCTTATTTGTAGAGGGTTGTCTTCCTCAAAATTTTCTTCCAATAGTTTGCTCACTTCGTACTTTTTGTTTTCAATTATTTTATTTACATATTCGTATGCCAGGTGGGGGTTTCTGTGGTCTTTTCCGTAGATCCTCAGATGATGCAGCTTTTCGTTCTTCTTTAGGATGGTACTTCCTACTTGGTCCTCTCTTTGGGGGTATCTCACAAAATAGCATTTCTTTCTCTTCTCCAAAATATGCGGGCTTTGCAGACTTTGCCGACTCTGCCTAGGGGAGGCCCTCTTCACCGAATATGTGCACGTCGTTATTACAACCACTGTGAGGATTATTACCAAGGTGATTCTCCTCATTTTTTGCGCTTCCAAAAGGGGAAGGCAGATCTGGAGGAAGGTAGATCTCCCCCTTAGGCTGCGAACAAATATGCACTTCCCCGTTAGCCGGGTTTTCCTTGCGGGGTCTTCTTTTACCTCGCGCCTCACACAGCTCATTATTGCATCGTTCGGTGTGTTGCAGGGTAATTTGCGCTATTAATTCAGTGGTGTTTGCTCCGGTGACTTCGGCACTCTTTAGGGTGCCCCACGTTATGTTTGTTCCCCACCCAAGTGACTCACACTTGAGGCCTTCCTAATATCGCCCTTTCCCCGCTTCACTTAGGCGGGTCACTCTCCGATGCATTTGGCATTTCTCAAAGGGGGTTTAATATGTATTTTTTTTTTTTTTTTTTTTTTAAAATTGCGAGCACACTACGATCAGTAATTTAGTGCCCTATTCACCAAGTGCAAGATCTCGAATGGGCAGCGCCTCACACAGTTTAATTCACAAACAAGGCGAAAGTGTACAGGAATGTATATGCATACATACAGGCACCCATCCCCTACATGCACGCGCGATCTGCACTTTTAAATGCCTCTTTGACCGCCACTCCCGACATCGTTTCTGCTTTCTCCGTTTTGCCGCTTCCCCTTGTCGTACTTCTGTATTAATGACGACTCTCTTTCTCCCAGTTCGACTTCCCCACATAAATATCTGGCCCTTTTTTTTTTTTTTTTTTTAGATGTTTTATTTTTTATTATTTTTTTTTTTTACAAAATGAATATGCTCATGGAACACTTCGCACTGCTCTTACTTCAAATTCTTTTATGATGCAGTGGGGCAACCATCACCCCGTTGATAGTGCCCATCTTGTAGTTCCCTTTTTTTTTTTTTTCCTTTTGTTCATTACCCTTTAGGGTACTAAGTGAGCACTCCCTCTTTGCCTCGCCAATGCTTGCTTAAAATGCGAACCGAAAATGTGCTAACGCAGAATTGTGACATGCTGGACACAGTAGGCAACAAGTTGAACGAAATTTTAAAAAACCTGGAAAATGTTTTAGTCCATCTGGACCCACTAAACAATTATGAAGCGAAGGAAGATTCAATGTTCTCCAATTTGAATGACGAACAAAACGAAATTATTATTTTGTCCAACGTGATATATGATAATATTAACAAGCTTACATCTATGCTTCACGATTTTATTAAAACCATACCCCCTTCGTACACATACCACACGACTTTCCACTCAAACAGCTTTGTTATTTTGAGGGAGAATAGAAAGAAGGAGAAAAAAAGACAAGATGCTAGGATGGCATTGGATAATGCTCAGAAAGGTACCATGCCACGCGGTGAAACAACAGAGGCTCACGTAACGGAGACGCAACATGATGATGGAATAGTGAAAGACACCCAATCGGAAATTAATAAAAACGAAGATATCGATTCAAAGGATCAACAAGGTACTACCGAATTAGCCAGCCACTCTCCCCCCCCTTCTCATATAAAATTTATCGACAAAAGAAAGTTCAAACCGCTGCAGCTATACAAAAAAAAACAGGTTGATGAATTTTTCTATTTTTCTAACACAGTCGATTTAGAGTATGCTAATTTGTTATACATGCAAAGGTATGAACAGAAACTTCAAAAATATTTAATTAAGTCGAGGTAGGAAGCACCACCATGGCAGTTTATCATTCCGCCCCCCCAAAAGAAACTGGGGAATACCAATAGGCCAAAAGAGATCCCCGTTCTACAAAGATTTTTTTTTTTTTCTTTTTTTTTGTATCATTTAAAAACATGTCCTAAGTTTGTGCTAAAAGGAATGGAAAAAGTCGACAGCCCCAATTTGTTCACTCCTAATCCACATGGAGATCGATTTAACCAAAGTAGTTTCTCCGATTTGTGAAACAAGGACAAGAAGAACACTGTAATGAAGGCATTTCCATCCCATCAGTAGTCCTATACGGATGTGCAAACCGTTGCAACGCTGCATATGGCACACTTGCGAATCGATCTGATCGTGTGATTATGGAAGCTATGCCATCATGCCGTTGCATGACCTACCAAGTGCACGATTGATTCCTACAACGAAACAATGTTATCGATATATGCAAGGCTGCAAATTGGCATCCAAGTCATGCAACTAGTAGGGTGCGCAGAATTCTGCGAGGAACCCATGTGTGGCCCCTATAAATGAAACAGCCCTTTGCTTCTTCTTCCTCTTCTTTATGAATTCATGCTCCCCGCACCACATTTATTGCACGTCATTTTTTCCAACTTGATGTATCAAACAAAGTCATTCTTTTGTTATCCCATGTGAAGGAAATAAAGCTGAATGTGCTGAGGTGGCCGAGGGGAGCGGGACAAGGTGGAACGCGGCAAAATGGAAGTCAGAAAAATGGCAAACAGCAGAATAACCAGTCAGTAGAATGATGAGTCAGCAAAAACATTACACATTTTACCCCCTTTTGGACAAAAAGGAGCGCCTAGCCAATGACTGATAGGAAACGGCGCCGCAGCACAGCCACGTACCTACAATGCCATTTGCACAGTCCCACTTAAAAGGGCAGAAACAATTTTTAAAATAATAACAAACGTAGTTACTATAAACGAGGGAAACGTGCGGGGGAAATAAAAAGTTAAACTTCTACACGCACTTCTGCGTATTCACAAGAAAGGAATAAGCGACAAATAGCTTTTCTTAAAAAAAAAAAAAAATTAAAGATGGCAGCTTACACTAATGGATAACCTTAATTAAAAAAAAAGCGAAGGGAACATCATTTGGGTTATTTAAGAAAAAAGATAGATATATATATAAATTATAAATACATTAATTAATAAATACACAACATACTCTGCAACTGTGCTAGGGAATCACGAACGACAGAGCTATTCATGCGTCGACGTTCCTACCCTCATCATTTGTCCTTCTAATTAGAGTGGCGTGCAAATACAAATGATCGGACGAGGCGTATTTCTGAGGGGTGGAGAAACGAAGGGGATGCGGGTGAGGGTAAAAAATAGCGCGGAAAAAAAAGAGGGCGAGAAACTAAACGCTTCTTTCTCTTTTTTCTCAAATTTCTCACCTCATTCGGTAGGCAACCATGTTTTGCAAGTTTGTCGAATGGTGGTATGGCTGAACAGGATATTTTCTGCATCCAAAACGGAGGGGTGAAAAAGACACGTTGTATCTACGGTTCAGGTGTACCACTATATGGCATATGGGATACTACACGCTTCTCATCTTAATGAAGCGCGAAAAATTGAATGTCTCTCCGAAGGGGGGAATTATTCCGCTTAACGCTTAAGACACCTCACCCCCCTTTGCGCTTACCTTGAGAGTCCTATACGAGTAAAATATATAATCGACACACCCCTTTTGCTTCCCATGAAACACGGTGAATGGAACATCACTTAGCGGTAAATTATTTTCCTCGTCTTTCAGGTTATCAATATGATCATATTTGTGGCAGGGCTTTTCTACTCGCTCCTCATCCACACTGTTATATATACTTTCAAAATACAGGGGGTAGTAAAGTATGAAGTCATCGTCATGCTGATCAGTTGGTATTTTTGCTTCCTTCTCGGGATGGCTATGCTCCGCGTCATCCTCGTCGCCCTCCTCATGGTCCATCTCATCAGAATTGATGCTTCCATGTTCCTTCTCCTCAGGAACCACCGCGGGGTTTTCATCGCCTTTATCTTCATTCCTCACCACTTCGCTACCCGACAGTGTATTAGACTTTCTCTCAGAGTGCCCCCAATAAGGAAGACAGTCATTCTTGCCTTCCTTAAATTTGCTCTTCAAATATTCATACGAATTGTAGTTCCTCAAATAGGCATCACTCCCATGTTGAAAAAAGTGACTCGTTAGGTATCCCTCGTCCAGTATTCTTTCATTTTTAAAAAAAGAAAATAGGGACTCCCTCCTCATATTGTCCACCATGGTGTTGTAATGGTCGTATTTTAAATCACTCAGAATATTCTCGTCAAACATTTTTTTAATTTCACTCCCCTTTTCGTAGCTACAGACGTAGAACTGCTTCTTGAACATGAGGTACTGCCCTGAGATGTTTTTCATGTTTATCTTCTTCAAATTTATGTACCTGTTAACTATGTAGTAGTAGAGAAGGCTGTTGGGGGTTATGTTCAGGTCTCCACAGAAAATTACGGCGGGGCTGAGGAAGTCGCGGCGATCCGTTGGGTGGACTCTCCTCCCTTGGGGTGAGCCCTCCCTGATTCTTTTTCTCCCTGTGTCTTCCGCGTTCTTTCCCTTTTCTGCGCGCCCTGGCTTCACCCCCTTCTCGCGCGTCCTCAAATAGTCCAGGCACTTGTTCATCATGGCGACTAAGCGATACGTCATGTAGCACAGCTGGTACAGCTTGACATCCCCCTTACAGGAGTCGAAAATCAGGTGTGTATTCGAAACGATGACAATATCGTCAGCAGATTCGGCGAAGCCAGGGGAGCCACTTATGTGGTTGTCCCCCATCATATGGTGACTACCATCACGATCACCAGTAGTTACATTTCCATCATACCATTCGACCTTCTTCGAAAGTTTATTTTTCAAAGCGACAATTAACCCTACGTGCCATTTCTTCAAAAAGGCAGATTTATCATAAACAATTTCGTCAAAAAATAATAACTTAAAAACGTTGGTATTGTAAAAGATACATATTCCATCTTGGCAAGTTTCTTTTTTCTTTTTTAAAAATAATCCCTCATAGTTGAGCAGCTTCAGTTTCTCCTGCAGTTCGGTGAAATAAGACTCTTCTATTTCTTGTAGGCATATAATGTCTGATAATTTTCTCCTTATATTTTGGAAAATGAATTCTTTCCTGTTCATCCACCTCATCACATGGGAACAGTTGTTCTCGTATTTGTAGTCCACTAAGCTGTCCGCCAAAATGTTAAATGAGAAGATGGAAAATTTTTTAAATTTATATACACATTTCTTTTCCCTCATATCCTTTGCACATTTTATCGATTCCTTGTTGTTAATTTCATCAGAAATGGCATTTTTCTGTTTTGTTAGAACCTCTTTGGGGTTTTCACTCTGGGCACTTCTTTCGTCTTTCGCCCGGTTCATTTTTGAGTAACTTCTCGAACACACATCATCCATGGTGTGCTGGCTTTCATTTACATTGGGGCGGATTGCGCTGTAGTTCTTTGGGCTCCCTGCACTACGGAGTGGGCAGCTATCGACAAGGCCACCTTTCCTAAGGGTGCCCTTATCCCCTTCGCTGCTTCCTACTCCCCTAGTGCGGATGGACGCATTCCCCACCGGTTCATCTGCCCCACTGTTACGCTTCGAACTCATGTGTCGTCTTGTCTTTCCCCCCCTGTGTGCAATTTGGTCTGGGTTGCTTCTTCTCCCTATACATATACCATTTCTCATACATGTACATTTGAAAGCAAGCTGCTCATCTTTTTTCAACCTATTCAGTGCGAAGGTTCTTCTCCATAAGGAAAGGACTGCGCTGTTTTTTGCACAAAACATTAACCTATTGCCGTGATGGTCGTGGTGGTCGCGATTGTCCTTAATTTGGTTATTCCGAATATTGGCGATATTGGCGAGGTTCTTTTTTCCTTTTTAAGTGTAAAGTTGGCTTCTCCCTTTTTTCAAAAGCTTCTCACACACGGGGAAAACACTAATGTGCAGCAAGCAGTGCGATAATTCGTGTAGCAAAAGAATTTTACCACCTTTACTTCGCTTACTACCTGTTCGTCTGCACATTCAGGTGTATACGTACGTACAGGCACAGCATATAATAAATGATGGTTATACCCCCCCATAGGCTACGATTCATTTCGCTGCACTCTCTCCCAAGTTGTCAATTTGTTTGGGCTACTCGGCAAGGCACGTGTCAGAAGAGGTGGTCTAACGAATAGCTGTTGTTCTTCCCTTCACTGAATCCCAGTTTCGGGAAAGTTCGAAAAAATACAAACGATAGTTTCAACACTTGGTCATGAAACAGAATATGCCCGGGTACTAATGCCAAGGGAGCAGAAAAGGGCATGCTGGCACAGGTTCGTTTATCTTTCCCATTAATGACGATGCAGGTAGTCCCTACAAGGATGCTTTACAAAACGGAATTTTTATTTTTTTCAGTTTTTTTTTTCACTTTTTTTTTCGCTAACCTATTGTAAGCTTCAAGCTTTCCTTCTCTACGACGTAAGGACATAGCATTTTCCTCCAAAGCCTTTCCTCCGCAGGTGACTTGCCGAACAGTGCGTATTACACTCTCTAGGCACAGCCGTATATGCACGCAAATGCGCATCGCCCGCGTCATCCGCCTACGCGACAGCGTATTTTTCTCTTCCTCCCCAGGCGTCATCGCGTTCTCCCCATTTATGGAAATATTTTTACCCACATTTGTTTTTTTTAAAATCTCTGCATGTACATAGCTCCAATTTTGTAATTTGGTGGTACATATATATGCACAGCTTTCACTTTTGTTCATCTCCTTCACTTCGGGAAGTGTGCCTCATTTGCTGCGCTTCACTCGCGCGGGGCCCCCCCCCAAACACATTTGCCTTGGCAACCCCGAGCGGGCATACATTTTCCGCGGACTGCTCAACTCGACGCTCTAGGCGAGAAATTTAACTTCTTTTTCGCAAGAAACGGCTAAAGGGGAAAATAAAAAAAAGAAACATATATATGTACATGTATAATAATCCGTAGCTTGTCATTGTGCGCTTTTCTGGCTGCCTCACGTGGGTACCCCTCCACCCCCTCGCCCGAACCTTCCACATAAAGGCTAGATGCCTTCTGTACCGGTTTGCCCGAATAAAATCCAAACTAGTTCTGTTTTAAAGTGTCTCCTGTCGACATCGCCCCCTTTGAGCAGTAATGGAAGGTTAGTTCCCAGGTGCACATAAAGTTGATAAACATCCTCCACCCACGTCTATATTTCGTGTGATGGGCGCGAGTGTGTTTAGCATAGGCCGCTCTCCCAATTGTGTGCATATCGCTGCGCGTTCACGTCTACACGTACGTCCCCCCTAACACCCTGTCTTCTTCACCCATGGTTCCTCTTCCCAACCTTGTTTGCAGACACTGAGTACGAACTGAGAGGCGTACTGGCTGGGCACAGCAAAGGAGTAAGGTGCATGTGTGTCATTAATAACACCCAGATGGACGAATTCAAAGAATGCCAAGTCCGCTTTGATTACATAGTTAGTGCCGACATGACTGGGACAATTATGGTGTGGAAAAGGAAGACTCTCGAGGAGGTCCCTACTGGAGAAGCTCTCCCCGCGGATGAAAACCCATACAGCGATGTAGAAATCTTTCCACTTCATCTGAGTGATAATTACCAACTTTACAAAAAAATAGAAATACACGAAAGGTTCGTCTACGCAATGACACACAGTAAATACGTAGGAATAAGCGAGTTAAAGAAATGCACAGATAACGTAGAGGACCACTTATATGTGTACAGTGGAGGAAGCGACAAAGGTGTGTACCTCTTCAACCTAAATGGCTACATCGAATTAATGCTACAAGGACATAAGAACAGTGTCTCAAGTATTGTCGAATATAGTGAGGATATTTTACTAAGTGCAGACTGGAACGGAGAAGTCATCATGTGGCAGATCGTCAAACTTGGTGACGAATCTGTGGGAGGTGAAAACTTGGAGAATTCCCCCCCCAGCAGCAGCGGCAACCCGGATAAGGAGAAAAACACCCTCTGTGGAAACAAATACACATACAGCATAGTCAGAATTTTAAACAACCACAAATATGCCACGTACGTTAACTGCCTGAACGATTTTATCCTCACCATTTCGCAAAATAATATAGTCAACGTGTGGAATAGTGAAGGAGAAAAAACAGACGAAATTAAAAATATACACAGTGACAGTGTGCGCGATATAGTACTATTTAATGGGAAGAAAAATGCCATTACCTTTTCGAATGATGAAACTATAAATATATATGACTCCAATTTTAATATATTAAAAATGTACAAAGGCCACCAAGGCTTTATCTTCTACGTGTGCGTAAATGAAAAGGAACAGATTATGTACAGCTGCGGTGACGACAAGAGTGTTAAAGTGTGGTGCATCAAAGACATTTACCAGTTAATGGAAAAGTACGACACAGATGGGGCAGCCATCCTAAATAAACTGCCGCTAATAAGCCATGGGACGGACTCTTCCTGCATACAAACTATTTACCTAACGGATACCCTGTGGAGTGTGAAAGTTCTAAGCAATGGGGATCTCGCCTGCGCATGTAATGATAGCTACATTAGGGTGTATACTAGAAAGAAGGACCACAGGCTGAGCGAAGAAGCAACAAACGAGGTACTCCAAATGTGCAGTAAACGCAACAAGAAGGAACAACTCAGTGGAGAAGACAGAAATTCTCCCGGAGGGGAAAACAACGCAGAAAATATAATCAGTATGGAAAATATAAAAAGCGTCGTGGGAAAGGAAGGGGAAGTTAAAATTTTCAAAAATAAAAAAAAATATGAAGCGTACAAATATGAGAACAACGAGTGGGTACTCATAGGCGAAGTAGTAGACGACAGCACATCACAGAAAAAGTTCTACATTGGAGATAACCTGTTCAAGCAGGGCTACTACGATGAAGTTGTTTCCATCGACACAGGTTACGGAAATATAAAGCTACTTCCCTACAATGCAAGTGACAATGTGCACGTTATAGCGGAAATGTTTTGCAAAAGAGAAGGCCTCTCCGCTAGCCAAATAAAACCCATCGTCGATTTTATTAACCAGAATTATGCCTCGAAAGGTGGCACATCCACCTCTTCCACATGCGCCACGAACAGTTGTTTTGCTACTCCTAATGGTAGTACCCCGTATGGTGCGAGAAAATTCAACACCGTTTTGAACGTTTTCACTGTGGAAAAAGCTTCCCTAGATAAAATTTTCCAAAAAATACAAGAATTTAATTCTCTCCAACCAAGTGAAGAAAAGGAGAAAAGTAAACTATCAAATGAACAGGTGAATGCTCTATCAAACATTATTAACCTGTACAGAAAGAATCTAAAAAATGTATACAACTTTAATACGGCTGATATTAACCTGATTATGAGACTTTTCAGTTGGTCCCCCACTCACATATTCCCCGTGATTGACCTCTTTAGGGTTCTCGTTTTAAATAAAAATTGTGATTTTTTATACAATAATAAGTACGCCTTCAATGCCTTTAAGCTGGTTTACGATTGCGTTGCTTATTATATATCCAATTCGTCAGAGTTGAAAGAAAATGAGGAGAACAAACTGGATTCTCTCCTTCTCTGTTGCCTTCGCTTTTATTTGAATATGTTTGGCTTGTCCACTCCAAGATTTTACATGTACAAAAAGTTTCACTTCGTTGCGAAGCAGTTGGCAGAAGTGAAATCCTCCAATTTTAACATCAACACATTGTGTATGAAAATATTTTTCAATTATGTGATAGCATTGAACGAAAATAAGGATCAGACCATGAGAAAATCTGTGTTCGAAGTTCTGCACTCGATTAAGCACAAGATAAATGACATCGAACTACTCTACACCTTTGGCCTCTGTTTCCACACATCCCACGAAATGAACACTAAGGAGACTAACGAAATTGTTAAAAAATATGGCTCCCTTGATTTTATAAAGAACAAACTGAGTTCTCTCCTGCCGCAGAAGAATGAGCAGAATGAGAAGGTGTTCAAAAACGTGGGCTCCATTTTGGAGGACCTCTCGGCGTAGCGCGGGGGGGCGGCCACACCTTCAGCTGCACTGGCAGCACTGATGTTAGGCGCGCGTGCCAAAAAAAAAAAAGGCACTCCCCATTTCGAAGCGCTTTGCAAAATGGCCACCCGTCAGTGCCAATCTGTGTCAGCGACTATTTTGTACATTCTACTCTTTTGTCTTTCGGCTTCGTCACCCTTTTTTTTTTGAACTCGTCCGCTGTGCACACGCATGTGTCATCGCCCACCTTGGCATTTCTCTATCCACCTGTGTAATTTCAGATCCTTTTCCCCTTATCATCTCCAAAAATGAAAGTTCAAACGTACAACTGTTTCCGCACAAACTGCACATTTATTTGTCTCGTTTTCCCCCCCCCCCCAAATAGCCTTTTTTTTATGGCCCCCTCAAATACTTAGCGGCATAAGGCAAGAGTTCGTAGTTTGGCGAACAGATTGGATGGTGCCATTCCACCGTCTACACAAATGGAGAGAGGAATGTACAGCGTGACCAACATTTTTTTTCTCTTCTTTTTCGCTTCTTCCCCGGCAGCGTTGCTAATTTATTCGATACACTATTTCGCCCTTCTTGTTCTTCTTCTCATCCTTTAGAAGCCTGAAAAGGGGAAAAACGATTCGAAGGAGAAATGCATGAAAATGATATTATACAATTGGTACGCCACATGCGTGAAGTGACTTAGTAGGAACGAAGCGGAATGGGGATTTTACGTAATACAAATTTGTGCTTCCGCCACGCTACGTCACTGGGCATTTGTAATGCCCCTTTCGATGCGCATTATGGGCCATTTACTCATATTCCTGGAGGGAGGAAATTCTGAACACAATTTCGTTTAAAAATTTGGCATTTGGCATAAACAGGGAATAATAAATGACGTAAATCCCTGTGTACCGAAAAAGCAAATTATTCATAACAATCAAATCGTTGTAATGAGACGTGTCTGTGTAAATTTGCTCGTAGACATTATTTTTGTAGTCTTCCTCATTCTTATAATAATTAATTTTATGTAAATTTTGGCAAGTTAAGTCCACTTGGTAGTTATACGATAGGTAATTAAAAAAGTCGTATAATCCATAGGAGACGTTATTGGTATATCTGCACACATCAAGATAGATAGTGATATTTATATTTTTCAAGTGGGTAAAATATTTTTCAAAGTCTTGTTTTATTTCTGCTCCTTTTTTTATATCAACTTGTTCTGTTCTTTTATATTTTTCTTTATCAGCATAGCTGTCCACATTTTCATACGTAGCGTACACTGCCTTTCTTTCTTTTATTAAGTTCCTAGCATTTCCTCGCTTTACCTTTACAATTTCTCCTTTTTCCCCCACGTGACTTATGTTGTTTAGCAGAATGACGTACGTGTATTTATTCTCTACAGCTGCTATGTACGTTTTTCTCTTTATAGTGTACTTGTTATAATTTAGGTATGTGCTCATACGTGCCCTCTGCAGGTTGAACACGCTGCATATTCGAAACATTCTTCTTCAGCGGCGGGGGAGGGGGTGGTTTGGGTTCCTCGCATGATCATGGTTAAGCGGCCGTCCTGGACGGGCCCCTGGTTTACCTTCCTTTGTCCTAATTCGCCCTTCTTATGTTTCTCAAAGGGGGTTATCAAATTAGTGGCACCGCATCTACACATGCCTATGCTGAAGTCGCTCTTTACTCTGCTTATTTTATTATTCCCACGAACGCGTGGCGATTCCCCTTTTTTTTATAAACCCGCAAGCGGCTCTTTCCCCCATTCGCCTGCGTCAGAAGAGTGTGACAATCATCGCTATAGCTTTTGCACAGAGTGGAGGAAAATGTACTTGAGCTCGATTCTAGCGGGTCAAAATTGTGCCTCATACCTCCGGCCAAATTTACCCCTTTTTTTTTTTTTTTTTTTCACATGCTGGTATGTGGCAGACCTCTGTGCAAGGCACACTAAATGTAGAGAGACCCCCCATTTTGCCCCTTCCTGAACATGCACATACACGTTTGCTTAAACGGGAGCGTGGAGAAGCGCTATTGAATTATAAAGGGCTCCCTTTTTACCACGTCGCAAAAACATGGCCCTTTTTGACAGAACGGCGCTGCGCGACTAAGTGCTTCTTTCATTTCGTTATATTTCGGACGAAACTCTTGACGCGCTCAAGTGTGAAACGTAGTTGTATATCCCCTTGTTCCATCCGCGACGAGCACTACAGCCGACACCAAGACCGGCGCTACCGTCGCAGCTACTTCTCCATCGCCTGCACGCTCGGCCAACCTCCCTCAGAATCAAGCGGCTTCACAAAATGAGGAAGAGGCACCTCTCCCATTTTGAGCTGCCCAACAACAAGTGGAACTTAGTAAATTTTATATTAAAAAGGAGATACTCTCCATTCTGGCGCTCGTTCGGGGAGGTCTCGCCCCATTTAGCCACACCTCCCTGCAACTCTATTCCTAACACATCGCTACTTCACAAAACGCCTCCTAACACGATGCTTCCCCCCTCCGCAGGTAGACGACAGCCTGCTGTACCGAATCGTCAAAGACGCGGAAGAGAAAGTTTACAAGAAGGTTTTCTCATTCGACCTGGACAACACCCTAATCCTGTCACGCTCCTTCTTCAAGCCAGCGCAAAACGAGCACGACTATATTTTCTACGCAGACGTAATCGATTTTTTAAAAAAAAAGAAAACAGAAAATTACAAAATCATTATTTTCTCCAACCAAAAGGGAGTAAGCACTGGGAAAATAAGCCTTCTAAATTTAGTCAACCGAGTCGATGACGTCATCGACAAATTAGGCATCCCCTTGGAGTGCTACTTGGCACTAAAAAATGACAAGTACAGGAAGCCACGAATTGGCATGTACAACTTTGCCATGCAAAATAATAAAGCCAAAATTGACGAAATCATTTATGTAGGGGATAATGCCAATCGAATTTATGACGAGAATTTCAAGACAAAATTTATTAATCACCTCAAATGTGTGTATTCTCAAAATAAGGTGAACATCAACATAGGCGAGATTGCCAAGAGGTTGAAAAAGGACTACACAGATACCGATTTGAAGTTTGCCCTGAATATAAATGCCACATTTTACACCCCCGAGGAGCTCTTCCTGAACATAAAAAATAATCTGTCAGCAGAGTTTTCCTTCAACCCGTCTAGCTTGCTCAAAAATGTAGATAACAGACCAAATGAACCGGACGCTCATAGTGACTTTCGCCGCTTGATTCGACCGGATCTGCAGCTGCGGAGGGAACGAAATGAAGCCGTCGCGCCACAGAATGAAGCCTCCCATGCAGAAAATGATCTGCAACACTCGCCGCCGCCGGGTGAACAATATTTGGTGCTGCTAGTTGGCCCCCCAGGGTGCGGAAAAACCTCCGTCTGCAAAAACTACTTCGCAGATTTTGTTAACATAAATTTAGAGGAACTGAAAACAAAAAATAAACGCATAGATATGATCAGACAAACCATTATAACCGGGAAAAATGTCGTAATGGACAACGCAAATATGTACGTAAAAAACAGGCTAATTTACATCGCCAAGGCGAAAGAAATAAATGCCAACTTAAAGGTTAGCGCCATTTTCTTTCATTACTCCAAAGAGCTGGTTTTTCACTTAAACAACTTCAAACTGATTACTGATGAGGAAAATCTAATGCACGAAGTTCCTACAATTGCCATTCACTCCTTTTATAAATATGTGGAAGTGCCCTCCGAAAGTGAAAACTTGGACCGAGTCGTAACTCTACATGATGAGCACTTTGTGCCATCCGATTTGCAGAACGAGGAGCGCCGAAAGTTATTTTTTTCGTACTTGTCCTAACTATCTGGGGGGTAATCACGGAGGAAAGGGCCCGGCGCGCATTATGCGTGGGGTGTACCGCTTCTCCATCGCCTCCTCGAATTGCGATCCGTCGTGTTGCGGCCCCTCCAGCTTCCATCCCTCCATTTGCGGTCCCTCCAGATTGTTCATTTTTTCTTTAGCACACTTTTGGCAAATTTGCTAACCACGAAGTTTAAGTTCTGACTGCTGCTGTTACTGCCCTTCCCATCCATTGCCTGCACCGGATTTCTCAAGTGGTCGATCAGCAGGTTGATGAATTTATCCTCCGTCATACCTAAAAAGGGAGGGTACATGGAAGCGAAGAGATGGCAACTCCCTCACGCGATGACTCTGACGTGTGGCAACTCCCTCACGTGACGACTCTAACGTGTGGCAACTCCCTTACGTGATGACTCTAACGTGTGGCAACTCCCTCACACGGTGACTCTAACGTGTGGAAACTCCCTCACACGGTCACTGTACCACATGGGCACTGCCTCAGAACTCACCCAAGCTGTCCACGATGACCCGCCCCCCGTGAAATATGACGAACGTCACGGGCAGGAAAAACGTCGGCACGTCTTCGTAGGCCTCCCGCCCGGCTTTCATATCAACCGACTTTTTAAAAAGCGTACACAACTTGTAACCGAAATGCAGGGAAGCCTCCGTTGCGCCATTTCCAACTTTCTGCAGTGATTCGTAGTACCTAAATAGGTACACATCCATTCCGCTAATTAAGTAGTAACATGACAAAGCGATTAAATAAATGAGCGTGCGGTTAATCAAATTTTTTATCATCTGCGTGCACTCGTATGTCGGTACACACTGAACTATTCTTTCGTTAAAATGGACGCATAACTGGTCGAAAAGGGAAAAAACGTCAGGTGTACCCAGGGCGCTATAATTATTTTTAAAGTACCAAACAGATTTCTTCTCAAATGGCTCAAAACATTCGTAAATACACGAATTGACAACATTGTTCAATTCACATAATCCTTTTTCTAATTCGATTAAATCGAAATAATTTTCTTTCTTTCTGTTTTCCTTCTCCTTAATGAAAAAGGGCGTAATTTCGTAATTGCCGTCATCATCACTAATGTTATACGAATCGTTTAAGTGAAACGAGTTAAGTTTCGCATCACTGAAGAGGCTAATTTGGAAAGTCGCCACGTTCTTTTCAGCGCACTTGCTCGTTTGTTCGGTCCCATTTGGACAGGAGCCACTTGGCTGATCTTCTTCACATGATATACCACTTTGCTCCGTGTGATATTTCCTTTCAGACGACATGCTCACTTCTGCGTGTTTTTTTTTCGTCTTTTCTTTTTTCCTTCCGTGATTTCCCCACTCGATAAAATCGTCATTTAGGCCATCATCAGGGGATAGCACGACATCTTCGAAATAATTATTTAAATGGTCTTGTGAGTTGAAAAAATCCTCAACGGATTCGTCAAAGGAGAGGGTGATTAAATCCTTCCCTGGGGAGTCACTCATTGGAGGGTAGTTCCCCACCCTGGGGTCATCATCCTGTAGCGCTCCCGAACTGTCCGCAAAAGGGTTTACGTCACCCGCCGCTTCACTCGGCGTTCCCTCCCCATAACGGAAGCTCCTCACCTGGTAAGTATCCATTTTTATCTTCACAATTTTTATCTTCAGTTTGGCCAAAGAACAAATTAAGTATCGCAGAAGCTGTCTGCTAATAAGGAAAAGCTCCAAATTATATTTCAGCTTCTGGGGAACATAATCGATGGTTACAATTTTACTTTTTGTATCCATTTCGATGAGCACATTAACATTCTGCTTTAAGTTATTCAAATTGTTACTCAGGAGGAGGAGTGAATTGTTGCAAGATACGATGATTTTTCGAAAAATGTGTGGATAATAAACGTGCGTAAAAAGTTCTTTAAAAAATGCCTGTACATAATTTTTAATATCGAAAATGGTCGGAAAGCTGTAATAATTTTCGTACTCCATGGCACTTCTTATGTTTCCTTTCTGGAATAGAAGTTCCACTAGGTTGATAAGTTTGTTCATGGAAGTGAAAGTTATTTCTTCATATTCTCTGCTGAACAGATTTAAAAGGACATCTTTTTTTCCGTGTCCCTTCATATCGACTTTGCTCCGAACAATGTGCACAAATTCTCCTATTAAATTTAGGACAAATAGCATGTCTTCCTTCCTCACCAGTTGGTTTATTTTGCTTCTTATTAGTAAGTTAACGTAGGGCAGGTAAAATTCTGTGTACACATGTACCGTGTTGCATTTGTCTGTGTCCTCATCCCATGCATTGAAATCACTGTTGTTATTGTCACCCGTTTTTTTTTCCCATTTCCATTTTTCCATCCGAATTTTCTCTTCCATGTAGTAATTCTCCTTAATAATTTCATTCAAGTAGTTCATCTGATCAATGCCATTTTTACAATTCTGCAGAATTGTGTATAAATTTGTTTTTCCATTTTTCTCCCCATTTTTTATTTTCAAAATGTGTGCATTGGCTTCCTCAATTTTGTTGTTTATTATTTTTTTTAAACACTCCTTTTCGGCATCTACATTTTTAAACGCATTTAAACAATGCTTTACTTTCCTCTCGTAATTCTCGTCCTTAAAAAAATCGGCCGATAAATACTGCACGAGGACACTTATTATGCCATCCTCATACGCCTTGATCTTTTTTGCCTTTAGCGCTACGATGGATATATTTTGCAAACTATGCTGGGAAATGAACCGTTTTATACTGCTTATCCGTTTTAAATAACTCTCCAGGGCATGAAAGTCGGCGATGGTCAGTATATTGGGGTACTTCCTGTCCTCGCCACTCCTATGGAGGGTACTTTGACGCAGGTCATGTACATCGAATGGTTCTCTTTTGGAGACACTCAGGGGGATTACATCCGTTGGAAAGAGCCCCCAAAAAATGTTGTCCCCTTCCATTTCATCACACAGTTTTTTTACCTCCACCTGGACAACTTGGTATAATTTTAAAACTTTCTCAATTTCGATTAAACACCTTTTCTCGATAATTAAAGACAGAACTTTGTTCTTTTTCTCCCTGAGCGATTCGTAACTTGCTTTATATTTCCTAGATATATCCTCTAAATGGTCAGAGTTCCATTTTTTTAATTTCCTCGCATTGCTCATTTGGTCAATATATTTGTAAAAGTACTCATACTTCTCCTTAGCTATATCGTTGATAAAATTGTTTAGTGTGTTTATTTTGTTATTTACAAAATCGATGGTGTCGTTTATTTTTTTTTCACTGGAGACATCTTTTAGGATGTCTTTCAATTCCAGTTGGAAAATCTCGTTGATGACCTCGTTCGTTTTCTTATGCCCTTCTTCTCTGCTGTCCAGGGATTCCCCCTTTGGGGCGTGGGGCACGCTTCCCTGCTTCCCCTTCCCCAGCAGCATATATGTGTAACTTGCTTAACGTGCTCATCCGTTCTCGTTCCTTGGCTCCCTTCCCCTTTTTACCCAAGCCTGCTGGTATTCTTCTTCCTGCTTCTCCTTTTTAATTACTTCCCCTTTGGTAATTTTTCGCGGAGGGAACAACTTGGGGTCCAAAAACAGTGCTACTTATTTTGCGCAAACTCAGCCGTGGAAGAATCGAACACAAGTTTTTCTGTAACGCGCCGTGCTGTTGATTCATGCGAAGACAAGTTACACTGAAGAGGCTGCGATCGAGGCGAGACCAGTTCGTTTAAAAATAACACACATGGGAAAGTTCGCGAGTGCGTCATGGCCTATTCGCCTTATGTATACAATATACGGATGAATCACCACGCGCACGCGTGTTATAGCCTTTTTTGTGGGCTAGCACCCCACCGGGGGGATTCTCAAAACGGAAAAAGAAATAAAACAAAAAAGGGTAAAAATCGTGAAGAAGTTGCCACGAAGGGCAAATTCTTTTCCTATAAAGAGAAAAAAAAAAAAACTGCTCCACCGGGAGCATTCACCTATCGATGCATGGGTAGCAGGAGAATTTCTTCCCAGGCTGTGCCTTCCCCCCTTCGCCTAAGAAGTCAGCAATAAGCTATAGAAGCCCATTCTGTTGTACTGATCATGTACCAAGTAGAAGCTCCATATAGCAGTTTCTTACATTTGCATGTATATAGGATTGCGCCAATGGCGGCATATATGGATCCGTTTGACTGGCGCACAAAACTGATGACTCACCCTCGGGTCACTCCGCCAAACGCACCGCAAAAAACAAATCCTTCTTCCAATGTGAAAGGTGCCTACGCATCGAACCATTCTTCCCCCCATATTTCATTTCTTCCCACAGAAAGTAAGCTGAATTAAATAGCGCACAATTTTGGTACAGGTGAAAGGTGACTCTTCTTTTCCCTCCAAAAGAATTACCTTCACTGAACTGCCGCGAAGCGTGTAAATCGTTGGTGAGGACAAAGTCACCATGCGTAGCCACGTAGAAGCACATATTCTCGTACGCCATGAGGTAATAAACATCCATGACATAATTTAATAAAATAAAAATGCTGTTGATTTCTCTTCTACGTTTTATCTGTTCACCTGTATAGTAGTACATTAACAACCTTTTTAATGCTTTGAAGAAGCGATTACATAATAGCTGGAGTAAGATGTGAGAAGAATTGCTCCCTTTGCCATCCCTCCTCGGGGGGATGTTTTCAATGAAGTACTTTAGCAGCCTGTGTGAAAAGGGAAAGTGCAAAATGGACCTCCCCCCGCGCAGCTTATTTTTAGTGTTTGCATCGGCTACTGGCACGAAGTGGATGCTGTTCCCCCGGAGTGCTTCTGAGTTGGCATCATCCGCGTCTATGTCTGCTTCTTCGGCTTCTTCCGCTTCTTCTTCCTCCTCTGCTGCTCCTATCGCTACCGCCCGTCCATGGCCAATGCGCCCGCGCCGGTGAAGCGGCTTAAAATTTAGCACAAGCGCGAAGGTCACGTCAGGGTATACGTAAGTAGCCCCGCTGTAGTACGAACACATGCTTGACTGGATCATATAGTTTCTAAAATATCCCCAGTCGGATTTGATACTATTTATAATGGTGAACGGTTGCATATGCATATGCATGTCCATGTGGTTAAGGATATCCTTTAATATTTTTCTGTTCCTTCGATACTTCCTATCGAGTGCCGGTAGCAATTCTTCTGTATGTTTATGCCTCTCTGGTTTTATTCTGCCCGAATCAACGTAATGGGAAGTTATCGTCCCCTTTTGCTTCCTACTTTCAAACAGATCGACCAGTGAGTTAATTATAACTCCACGAGTGAAGTAGCAGATGTGACTTCCCCCTATCTTACCCCGCCTGTAAAAATCGTAGCTTCTTTTCCTTAGCTTGTAATGGATAACAGCGTAAAAAAGGTACTTGACGAGGGAAGATATTTTATGCTCCCGTAGGGGTCGAAAGGGAGTACCCTGATAATTCATCTTTAGCAAATTAATAAAAACATACACACATGACGGGACACAAATGTTGTAATGGGAGAGGTTCTTCCCCTTTCGAATCACTTCAATCTGTTTTACGTAGACAAATTTGTATATATTCAGCTTGTTGACCTTCACGCAGTTTTGTTTTTCCTTCCCTTGAGGGCCATAAAAATGGTAGAAGCAAAACTTAATAAACAAAAAACAAATGTCGAAATTTTCCTTCACCAAATTTTTTACATAGGCTCGATTTTGGTTTCTGTAAATGTATTCGTCATAGAACGTTTTAAAAAAGTTTGCTACCTCCCGTCTTTCTGCCAAGAGAAAGGAAAGATCCGTCGTCCCTCCGATTTGCTTGTTTTCCCTCCCATAAGTACAATCACACAAATGATGATCATTCCTTTCTGCATGTTTGGCACCCCCGATGTTATTTTGAACCTCCTGTTGCTTCCTCCCACTATTGAGCTTAGGTTCCTTCTTGTGACTATCCCGCATGAGTTTTAATTTCTTTTTCGAAAGATATTTAAAAATTACGTCACTTTTTTGGTGGCATTTTCTGCTTCTTCTTTTTGCCCTTCTTTTACAAACTTTCCAATTTTCAATGACACATTTTTTTAAAAGGTGGTAGATATCTTCTTGGGGGAGGGTAGCCCCGCAGCTGCCACCTCGATGTGTGTTCCATTTACTGCGATTAGTACTACTCCTAAAAGCAAAATTGAAGATCTCCAGATTGTGACTCAAGTTAAAGTATATGTGGAACCTTTTGCTGAGCTTCTCAAAATCGAAGGCTCGGCTAGCCACAAAAAGGACGTCCTTCCTATCATAGTTATTCATATCTTTTATAATGCTTAAATAGTCAAACGTGTTCATAATATGTTCCTCATTTATCGTGATGAATAAATTTTTTTTCTTCCTAAAAAGGGATTTACTCGGGTTGGAGTTTCCCCTTTTAAATGTACACTTGGTTGTGTTCAAAGCTCCGTAGAGAAATGCACTATCACTGGGATCTTCCTTTCCTTCTGCGCTGACATCAATATTGATTGTTTTTCCTCCCCTCCTTCTGTTCCTTTTCCCCATTAGAATTCTATACATGCGCACAGTAGACTTCACCAAAAGGAATGACCTCCTCAAATTGATGAAATAACTTATGTACTTTGTTTCCTTAATTCGTAGAAGCGCTCCTTCTGCGATGTTGATGATGATGCTGGACTGGGCTGCGTCCTTCTTGGGACAGCTCGGGGGCCAGTTCGTTAGCCATTTCGTTCGCCGCTTTGTGAGCTCCGGCAGGTACACCCCATTTGCGCTTCTCCCCTCTTTTCCGATTCTCCCCTCTTTACGGCTTCTTTCCCCGCATGTGCACGGACTGGCGCCGTCCGGTGTCCCACTTGCTGCGTCTCTCCCCAGACCCAGATAGTCACCCATGTCGCAGTATCCCCTTATTTTTCGAAACAAATCATCGCCGTACTCACAGAAGTTTATCTGCAGGTAGTCAAAGTGGTCAGTCCTTAAGCCTTCCCCTAAACCGAACTCGTAATTAATAAACTGCAAGTCATCCCGAGTTAAAAAAATAGAAGCTTGGCATATATCCGTGTCTAAAAAATTTTTTTTAAACGTTTTTCTCATCACATCGTAATTTCTATTTGTAAGTTTGGAGAAAATAATGGGGACGTAGGACAGAAGTTCCAACCTGTTGTAATTCCACACGATTTGTTTGTTCCTCCGCGGGGAGGTGGGGTTGCAGTCTCCACCGCCACTACCTCCGCCGCTACCACCAGCACTACCACCGCCGCTCCCATCAGTGCGCCCCGATTTAAAGCTCTCCACGCAGCTTATACAATTCAAGAAAGTGGTCTTTCCGCTATCCTTATCCCCACATAGTAGTATGTCCATGAACCTAACGTCATTCACAATGTTCGTAGTTACCCTCTTCTCGCGGCTCTCCCCTCTTCCTTCCCTTTTATTGCCCCTCTTGCTTCTTCCCCGAGGGGAAAATATATTCAGTTGGCGAAGTACTCCCCCTTTTTTGTCGCACACCTTTAGTACGTTACTATCTATATCTAAAAAGTCCTCGTCATACTTTTCGTCATTTTTATAAGTATATATTTCCTCATGATAATTTCCTTCCCGCTTCCTCCTTTTTGTGTTCATTTAGAGAAACCAAGTGTATGAATCTGTTGGTACCATCGACTTGGTTACCGCAGTTGTGTGCTAGAGCGATGTCAACGTGAGTGGGTTTCTCTATCGGATGTGAACGCGCAGTGTATGGCTCATCCTAACTCTAGCCCCTTTCAGCATTAGGGGAGTGGAAAAAAAGATCACTTGGAAGTGGTGATTGTTTTTTTATTTTACATATCCGTGTGGAGTGATACTATATTTCTTTTTTTTTTTTCTTTTTTTTTGATATGCTTTTGTTGGTTCATGTTGTTTTCTCCCCTTGTTCACAGTTTTCTAACGTAGCTTTTTTTTGCAAAAAAAAAAAAAAAGTTAGAAAGCATGCAACGTGCAAGCAGGTACCCGTGATTAGGCATTCCCCTTTTAAAAGCACTTTTACAAAAAAGGGGAAGAAACCGCGGTACGTGAACAAACGTTTGCGAAAAGGTTACCCCTCAAGGGATTGGCAAAAGGTGAACGAAAAAAAAAAAACAAATGAAATCTAAAAATGGACCCCACAGGACTGTGCCACCAATGGGACAAGCCATAAACAAAATGAAAACGACGTGCAAGCGGAAAAGTAGCTACAGAAAATTACGACACACACGCACAGACATACAAACGGAAACAAAACGTGTTTTATTAGCCCTGTTGAGTTCACCCCCTTTTTTTTTTTTCCTTTTTTTTTCTTTTCTTTTTTACCACCTCTGGGGCGGGGAAAACAAAACGTTAACCAGCGACTCGTGCAAAAAGGACAAATTATGCTTGAGAGAAACGTAAAAGTGGGACTTACAGAGATACATGTGATCTATATCCAAGCAGGTATGAAACAACTGAATGAATAAAATAAAATTAGAAAAATATTTACTCAGCAAAAAATTCGCAAAGGGAAATGTAAAAAGAACTTCATTAATCTTGGAGCTAATCCACCTATCAATTCGGTGCCTGGTAGATTTCAACCACAAATAGCAAAAGGAAAAGGGACATATCTCCATGTCGTCATCGCTGTTATTCTTTGTGTATATAATAATTTTCTCTATGTCATTTATTTTTAAATATTCATTGGAGAAAAAGTCTTCATAAAATTCATTCGATTCGCAGAAGATATTTTTGGTCAACTTTAGGGGGTATGTAACTTTATGTATGCATTTGTTTACAAAGTGAGGAAGAAGAAAGAGGAGTAGCCATTCCTTCGTCTCTCTGTTTAAGCTGCTAGAGAACAGCTCTACAATATTTGTGTTATTATCTTGGTATAAAGCATTATACAGAATGTACAATGCTAAAGTGCGCATGGGGTATATTTTTAAACTTAACACAAAACAGCAATCCTTTATTTTCATAGTATCGACATTTCGAATTTTATCTTCGTTCCACTCTTGGCTGTCTGTCCTATGTGAATTCTTTTTAGCACTACTGGGCCCACTGTACAGCTTAGCAGAAGGGAACTTTTTTTTTTTCCTTTCGTGCATTGCACAATTGGTGCCGTATTCACCACACCTTCCCGCTTTACTATTCATTTTGATAAGGACAATTCCCATCGATTTTGTTTCCACTTCCCCTCTTTCTTTCATTGCAATGCTTTTCCTCATTCTGTTGAACTCCTTTTTTATGTTCCTCCCAATTTGGTACCCAAAGTAATCAGGGTTGTGCGGCCAAACAGGAAAAAAAGCAGACGTGTAATCCCCCTCCTTGAGAATATTATATTTGACATCAGCTAGGAGGCATTCCTCTAAATACACTTTCAAATTGACATCAAAACAATTGTAGTAGTTTATTTTGTTCTCCTTCGAGCTAACTCTTATTCCCAGGTAAGTAAGGTCCTTAAGATACTTCTCCGTGTCACATTTTTCTTCCTCCTTGAAACACAGTGTTAGGTAGGAATCTCCCCTGGGGACGGTTTCAAATGGGGAAAAAAAAAAAAAATGGAAATGCATTTGTTCGTCACATTTTGTGGGATCACCCACAGTTATGATGTCATCCCCACCACTGTGTTGCTACGCTCCGGCGGAGCCATGGTGAGAAACACACTTTCTTGGGAGGGCTAAATCAAATGCTGATATTGCTGCCCCCCACACACCCACATACACACCGCATGGAAGGACAAACAACTCGGGGAGCCTCCCATCACCATCACATGCATGTCCGCGTAGATATGTACACCTTAGCAAGCAGATTCGTGTGGGAACACTCAAACGGAATTTCTCTATGAAGCCTTCTCTCCCTGTCGAGTTTGGCCCTCCATATATTGCCCACTTAGTCTTCGTTTCCGCCCAACTTCTGCCCAACTTCAACCTCACTTCCGCCCCACTCTCTCCCCACTTCTCACCTTTGGAAGGAGTCCCCCTCCTGCGAGAACAAATCGAAGGATACGTTCGGCAGGCAGTCCAGCGAGTGAAACGTCTTGGTAGCTCTCCTCTCGTCGCAGCGAATCACGTTGTCACCGTCGTCTATGTTATCAACGCCGTCCACGTTATCACCGCCGTCTACGTTATCACCGCTTTCTACGTTATCGCCTCTTTCTGCGTTATCAAATCCGTGTACATTATCACCATCATCTGAGTTATCAGTGCCATCGGTGCCACTCCCCTGATGGTACCGCCTCAGATGAAAGGACTCACTCATTTTCTCGTTAATGCCAAAGTTCATTTCGCCTGATTTGTCCAAGCTGTAACCCAGCCCTCCTTCCTCCTGATCGCCCCCAAATGAATAAGCGGCAGACCCACTTGTCGTATCATTCGATTGGAATAGAAGATTGTTCAGAAAGTTCAAATGATGAGTCTTATTCTCTCTTAACCTTCTCCTAACGGTAAAGTTTTTCTCATAATACACTTCCTCCTTTACGTACAAATCTGTTTTTTCCCAAATTCTGTTTAAAATATTTCGTACCCCTGTTTTTTTAAACTTGCTAGTTTTTATATACACGTGGTTACTTTCCTTTTGCCCCTTGCCCTTCCTCTTCATATCATTATTCACTAAATGGTTACTTTGGTTAATGAGGGTCGCCCATGTTGCCATGGTCACATCCTCCACGGTCACGTCCTTCATCGTCACATCTTTTATCGTCACCCCCTCCATGGCCAGATCCTCCACCGAGTTGTCCTTTTTCCTCGGTTCACACCTATGTAAGGCCTTCTTCCTATCCAACCTCCTTTCCTCTTCCCCCCCCTTTGTATTTGAAAAAAATGCGAACAAAAATTTCACCACCGAGTCTGTTGAGGGCCTAATAATCTTCAACTCAGCAACAATCTTGTTTACTAATCTGAGCGCCTTATATCTGTCATATAGAGAAAATTTCTTTACAAAGCTCCCACCATTTTTGCTAAAGAAAAAATCGATAAAGACAGGATTCAAATACAAGAAATGATACACAAGATCAAAGAATATCCCCACATTTAGCACCTTCCTTGTAAATATCTTTTGAAAAAAAATGGCATTAGATAGCCATTCGTTTATAGTGACCTTATTAGATAGCCTTTTTAAAAATGTATTGTCGTATAGATAACCGTAAAAATCCAGAGCTTTTATAATCGTCTTGAAATTTACTCGGGTAATTTTCTTTATGATGTCATGTGAGAACAGAATCCTTGACAAATCAAAGTCAACGCCATGTTCGTTCATATTGAGCAGATCGTTTCTACTGTATGTGTTCAAAATTATTTTAAAGTAACCATACTTATTCAGATATTTTCGATTTATCTCCAATGTTTTCTTTTCCCTCTTGTACATTAGCTTTACCTTTTTTAGCAGGCCAATCCTCTGTTGTGGTTTGGACGGAATTCTCCCTCCGCGTGGGGGGTGTTCCTTGTAAATATCTCCCTTCTGAGGGATCTTCACACAATTTGGGCCCTTTTCCACCAACTCGGCATTATATAAAGAAGACATTTCCAAAGGACAATTTTGATTTCCATTTGTTGAGCTGTGTGCCTTTCTACCCTCCTCGATAGACTTATCCATTTTGTGATATATTTCCACTCCTTCGCTCTGCACCCCGCCATCATTTTGATATTCCATTTGGTGTTCCCTTTTTTTTAGTGACCCCCCCTCATCGCAGAACACCGATTTGTACTCCTCTAAAATGAACCTTTCTTCAGACGGGCTGACAAGTTGATACTCCGCTAGCGTGCCGGTGTTTCTGTCTATCTGTGGATCTCCCTTTTTTCCCTCTTTTTCATTCACTGCTGTGTGTAACTTCTTCCCTCTTTGGCCCCCCTCACCAACTGTTACATCGTTTGTGCCTAGAAAATTCACTCCGCAGTTCATCATCTCTTCTTTGCTTGCAAAGCTATCCGCACTAATGAGGCTCAAAATCTCGTTGTGAATTCTCCTAATCTTTCGCTTCTTCTCGACAATACTATTTTTAACGGCACTGCTGCTCCCGTTGAACACACGTTTAAGGGCCTTTCTGAAAGAGCCTTCACTTCTACCATTAGCATCATCTATATTTAACCTCCCCTTCTGTTTGTACCCCATTTTGTCATTCATTTCTTCCCCACAGCTTACAGTGTTGATACTCTCTTTATCCTCACCAGAATAGGGGCTGCACTTATTGGGCATATTTTCCCTTTCACTATCATAAGAATCTACCATGGCTGACTCATTTTTTGGATTTTTTCCATTTTTCTTATCTGATGTTACTGAACTGCTTCCATGTTTCAGTGCGGAGGTATGGTCTTCACCTTTTCCCTCACTTCCTACCTCTAAATTATTGCAGTAGACGTGGCTTAACCGATCCTTATCATTCCCATAATGAGCAGTTATGTCTCCATCAAAACTAATTCGAGAATCTGTTTTGTCTTCTCGAATGGTAGATCCGTCGTTTAATTCGTTTCCCCCTTTATTGCCCTCCCTGTGCACATTCAAAGGCGAGGAAGTATCACTTCTCCTGTTAACAGGAGGATGATCTTCTTTGCAATCTCGTTCTACTGCCTTTTTTGAACCATCCGTTTTGTCCTCCTTTTGAACTAAATTACCGGTAGGAAGGTCTTCGCTGAGGTTAACTTCTTCCGGTGAAAACGTCCTATTTTCCCGCTCATTGTGGTCACTTCTAATGGGCTCTGTTACATCTGTTGCCCTTCCAGCTTCGCGTTTACTTTTCGAATTATTCTCCGATGGGTTATATGCCATTTCGTGTAACAGCGTCTTCCGTTTCTTGCTGAAAGGTTTTGCTATATTTTTTTCCAGTTTCTCATCTGCCGAGCCATTTTTCTCCTTTGCTTCTTCCTCTCTCATTTTTTCGTTACTCGGGTTTGCCCCTATGGGGTTTTCCTGAACACGGTTGGAGTCCGTAGCTGGGCTCCTATCGCAACCCAAACTAGTCTTCTCATCATTTTTGTAAAAATCCTTCATTTTGAGAAACATTTCTTTCTTGTACTGCCCTTCCGCTTGTAAGGCCCTGCACTGGACTCGCTTCTTCTTGCTATCGGATTGCTCTCTGTGTGTCCCAAAAATGTGAATCGAATTCTTTTTCTCAATGCACAGGTTTTTTTCCACTGAATGCACGTCGTTTGCGTCGCACAAGGGGTCCTTTGAGCTGCGCATCATCGTGCCACGGCAGGTCCGCCTGTCAGTGTGTTAGCGTGTTAGCGCCTGTGCCTAAGCGTTCGTTAGAGTCCTGAATCGAACCGCTGATCGAAATTTCCTTACATCATACGCAAAGCGTGGCTGCAGAAACAGGCCAACGAAGACAGCGGAGAGACGAACAATCTAACAAGTTGACAAATTGGCAAGCGAAGAGGTATCACTTAATTAAGCAGATTTACTAACAAGGATAAAGAAAAAAAGAAAAGAAAAAGGTGTTATCGAAAAATGCAAAGAGTGCCTAATTTTCACGGCCAGCGTGGTCAGCTTTGTGACACATGCGTGGCGTGAAATCCCGTTTTTTTTAAAAAAAACAAACTATCCAGCCGTTTAGTTAAAAATGGACTTCTTTTGCCCTAAAATGAGATGTCTACACTCGGGTGCCAAGTTGCTATGCGCGTGTTTACATCCCGCTTAACCGTTGCGTATGATACAGGGGAAGTGCTTTTTCTACACTTTCCTCGTCATTTTATTACTGGCCACTTTTCCCGCCACTTTCCTCATTTACTTCTTTTCCACGGTGCACTGATTGACCCGTTGCGCAACGTAAATGGCGCGGACAAAACGTACACCTGAAAAGTTCACCCAACAGCGTAGGGCTCTTTTTTTTTTTTTTTTTTGTTGAACATCCCAATTAGGCACCTTCGCGGTTCCTCCCAAGAGGGCCCCTTCCGACCAAAAAAGGTGTCCACTCAAGCGTGTCTGCAACAATGCATTTGCAATATGTGACATTATATGCGCAACTCAAATAAGAAAAAAATAAATAAAAAGTAAAATGAGACATATAACAGGCCACATGCCTCCTGATAAAAAAAAGAAATAAAAAAAAAATAAAAACACATTTCGATGAATTGTCTCCTTTTTCGCCCTTTTTTTTTTTTTTTGCTTACTTCCCCTCGCTCATATGTCTAATCGAATGACATTGATAAAGTTGTAATACTTGTCAGAGCAGCCAAGAATGGCGATCAAATCATCATTCGAAAAAAATTCCTGATTTACTAAGGAAAAGGCTTTCCGTGCGTACAGAGCTATTTTAAAATGCTCGTCAGTGCACTCGGAAACGAGCCTATACACAAAATCGTCATGTATTCCACTTTGGAAATAATAGTTGACGGATATTTTTTTATCGTAAAGGATTAAGTCCTCCGATTTGTTAATATGAACCACATTGTCGTAGGAAAATTTTAAGGAATTCTGGTTCCTCTCGTAAAACTTCTGTTCGTACTTATTCAAATGCATGAATTCAATATTTTGGAGCAAATCGTTGAAATGCATTTCCTTGAAAGTGACACTCAAATTATCCGTAGCGCTGTTATCACTGTTAAATTTTAGCAAATTATTGTTTTCGATATTGTCTCCTTCACCACAAATGGGGGCTAATCTCCGAAGGATATTTTTCTTAAACACTTTCACGTTTTCCTCGTACGGTATAGGAAGAATGAGAAAGACATTCACCACAGCGTTGATAATTCGAGGTAGTCTTTCCCTCAGCTCTCCTATGGCATATTCATCGAAAAATTCCAATTTTATTTCTCTCAAAATGGTATCAAAGTTGTTCATGCTGCTGTTGATATTGCTGTTGATACTGCTGGCACTTTTGAGGAAAGGAAAGCCCTTTTGTTGTTCTTCCTTTTCTTCTTCCCCCTCGGCAGCGCAACCACCCGATTCCCTTTTCTTCTGCTCATACATACACAGATATATCAATATGTTCGAAAAGGCAAAAATGAAATACTTCAAGTCCTCCGAATTTTGGTAGATATAAAATATATCATTTAACCACTCATCGATGATGGACCCAAATATATTTTCACTTACCAAAATGGTGAAAAAATCCTGTATGTCCATAAAAACGTACAGAGACAGGGACTGATAAATGTATCTCTTCTTCTGTAACATGAGCAACGTTGTGTACTTGTGGTATTCATTTTCGGAACCGTTCAGAACCAAATTATGATTTATACATTTCAGCGTTTTTAGTAACATTTTGATGTGTTCCCTCTTTTTGTCCTTCAAAAGGAATATGTTAAAATAAACCGTGTTTAGCAACTGGACAATTTTATTTTCCCTACTCTGGTCTCCATCCCCGCCGTTGATGTTCCCCTGAGAGGTGCCATTGCTATGCACATTGTCGGTTGTCCCCCCCCCTTTGGGATGACTCCACTTATTTGTATTGCTTCTCATATTCGTTTCCTTATTCGTTTCCCTATTCTTATTCTTCTTCTTTCTCCTACTTTTTAATTTTTTTTTTTTGTTCAGAAAATAGTTTTTCATCTCCTTGTAGAAAAGAACTTCCCCTTTCCAGCTTTCGCCATTCGTCCCCGTCTCGTACATGCTGTCGTTCGCATCGCTCTGCTGAAATGAGATGTCGCTCGAAAGGCTCTTTGTGTTCCTTGAGTAGTTTTGCACCCCTTCCTCATTCGTGTGTGCATTTTTTTCATTTTCCTCCTCGTCCACCTCGACGTATATCCCCCCCCCTTCATCCACATCGGGGTCATCCTCCGCCGCGTTGTCCACGTTATCCACTTCGTCCGCGTCGTTATCCATGCCTTCACCCACCCCTTCCGCGCAATTCCCTTCCAAAAAGTCATCGTCCAGAAAAAGCAACTCACCATTGTTGCAATCCCCGCTGCCGCCACTCATTTCGTCAAACTTCCTAAATGAATAATTCGAAACGACATCGTCCATGTCGCTCAGCTGTGAACCGTCCTCCCCCTGAAGCAGGTCGTACGCCCTTCGCAATTTTCCCCAAAATAGGTGGGTAAAAAATATTTTATTCTTACTAAGCAACATAAACAGGTAGGACAGCAAATTATTATACAAATACAACCCACATATGTGCAAAGTGCTATTGTTGCAAAAATTCTGTTCATTCAAGTTCTTTTCCGATAGCAGAATTAGCAGAAGACTAATTTTTCGAAAAATTTCCACCAGAGAAATGTTCAGACTATTCGCAATGAATGGATTTTCCTCCGCCAACGAAAAGAAGAAGTAAAGAACATCCCTCCTTATCACATTGCTGAAAAATTGAAATAGGTAGACAGGAATGTTCGCTACCTTTTCCAACTTTGTTACCCCTCTCAGCTGAAATACATTCAAGCTCTTCGAAATGCATGCCACAGAGTATAAAAAATAAAACCAAAATATTTTATAATTGAATAATGAATTCTTCGTAAAAATGTGCAGTATGTAGTATATCTCGTTTAGTATCTCCTCACACATATGATTCTTCACCGTCTTCACTATATTCTTAAAGTAGGCGATAAATTTTTCGCCCTCTAGTATCTTAATTATTAGCACATCCTGTGTACTGCTAGCGTTTTTGTAATGTTCCAGAAAAAAGGAAAAGAATTTCAAAGCCTTCAAAAAGGAAGAATGCTCTTTGTCGCTTTCAGAAATGTGGGACGAAGTGGTCTCCAATAAGGACTCGTTCAGCAAGTTGATAAACAAAAAAATGTTGTTGTTAATCTCGTTTTGGTAAAATAATGATATAAAATTCAAGAACTGGTTTAAATTCCTCACGTCCATTTTCTCTATATAATATTGAAAATTATGATACAGCACATCATTGATAAAAAAGTCGGTGAACCAGTTCACTTGGTTGTACAGATAACTGCTCCACATTTTTGTCTTACCGCATGTGTAGTCGGGAAGGAGGTTATGTTCTTCCCCTCTTAGGTAGCTCAAAAAGTATCTCTTCTCATAATTCGGACTCAGAAGCACGTTCACGTTGTCTTCATAAAACTCATTGTCATGCGAATTGGACTCATTCTTTATGAACAAAATTAACAGTTGGAAAAATAAAAATGTGAAAACTTCCCTAAAGTCATTGTAGAAAATTTGCCTGGGAATCCCATACTTGTACATTAAATTAATCAGTGTGTCGAATGACTTAAATTTTAAGTGCTTCTCAAAATAGAACAGATTTATGAAGCAGATGTAGAAGAAGAACTGCATAACGTTTTCGCTGAACCGGGTCATGCTGGTGTATTCCTTTAACATCCACATGATTATTCTTTTCAGATTATTCGAGTAGGGGTGAAATATATTCACCAGCATGTAGTTAAGAAAAAAGGACTTATCTCTGATCTTAAAGTCGGTAACAATCTGGTCAAACTTTTCGATTTCCATTTCGTCACTACTAAAGTGCTGCTGATACTTCTTCTTGTTTTTGCAGTACTCCTCGATGTAGTCATCGACCGTTAAGTCTTCGCTTTCGCGACTGGTTCGGCCATCATCCTGGTCGACGGGGTTGCCGGCAAAAGTGGGGGGCGTGGTGGGCATGGAATTCGTGTGGGAAGTGGGACACGTGGGCGATGAGCCAGACACGCCAGTCGCGTTTGCCTCGTCTGACGCGACAGATGTGGGAGCTCCCACCCCGCCCAGTAACACCCCCTCGTCTATGACGCCGCGCAGCACCCTCGTGATAAACACCCATTTGTAGTACACTAAAAACATAAACAGGGAAAAGTACTTGTACAAATTTATGTCGTTCATGATCAGGCAGCTGAAGTTTAAGTTGTGCTTATTCTCCATGCTGTACAGATCTTTGAAAATGAGTTCCTCCTGCGAATACTTATACAAGGGCAAGTTCTTAATGATAAAAATGAAGCTGTTAAATGAGTCACTGTTTAATAAATAAAACGACGAAAGGTCCACTTTGTGCTGAATGTCATTTTCCCTCATGTGCTTCTCAATGATCTCAGAAATGGAGCCGATCACACTATTTATGTAAATGTTATGATTCTTTGTTCTCATGCACATCTCTGCGTTAATTAAAAGGTTGCTCTTTTTGTAGCAGCTAATCTCCATGACGTCGTTGGAGAAGTCCATCTCCTTCTTCACAAACATGTCAGGGTAAAGCACGTGCATGTACTCGTTCTGGATAACTAAACAGGTTCTCAAGTGCTCCTTCACATTTGCATCTAAGTAAAATATGATGTCGTAAAAATACTTATCCAACAACTCGCAAAAGAGAAAAATGATGTAATTGACATACTTCTTCAACACGTTCTTCGACTTGGTGTCGTCGTAATAGTCAGACAGGTACTTTCGGTACAGCGGGATTTTCTGGAAGCAGATGATGTACCTCTCGAACTTCAGATTGTCAAATAGCAAGCTTTCTTCCTTTTGAGGAGATCCGTTCGTGAAGAAATTCTGCCAGGGGGGATGCGCGGAGTGGGGAGGGGGGGGCAATATGACTAAGCGGTACACGAGGGTATACGCGAAGGTATACAAGGAGGTATACACTCAAGCGTACACTGAAACGTACACAATGGCCAACACTGAAACGTACACAATGGCCAACACTGAAACGTACACAATGGCCTACACTCAAGCGCACCCAATGGCCTACACTCAAGCGCACCCAATGGCCTAGACACAAGCCCACCCAATGGCACACCCACTTCCGCGCGCGGTCGCAGGGCACCCCTCCATGCTTACGTCGACGCACTCCACGTGGGAACTACTGCTTATGTGGACGAAGAGACAGCCTAAAAACGCCTCGCTCAAAATGTTCTGCTTCACGAACACCTGCAAATGGTCGAAAGAAACTATCATGCACAGATAGTTCAGCGACAACGACAGGCACTTATCGGCGAAATTCAAGTAGTCAGTAAAGTCCATCACGTATCTAATGTAGCAGATCAATTTGTCGTAATGCATTCTTTCCTCGTCCGTGTAATTCGTATTGATAATAGCTTTCAAAATGAGAAGGGCAATTTTTTCCAGAAATATGATGTACTTATTTTCGAAATGTTTTAGGAGCAATTTCCACGTCTCATTCATTTCGTCGAAGTAAATGGATCTGTACAAAAACATATTTAACATTTTTAAGCACCACTTTTTCGACTTCAGCAGGATGATTAAGAATAGCCTATCTACATTGTGATCTTTGTTATGAATAAGTTCGCTTAAATTTTCATATGATGTTTCTTCCGTTATTTTAGCAACCGATATGGACCCCTTAGCAGACGATTCACTCGTGTTAGTAAAATACAGCCTATGTACGTAAGCATCCAAATCAATGTCTAATATGTTCCCTATATTTGTGAATAATATTTCAAGTTCGTTCTTCATTAATTCTTCTGGCAAGCTGCTAAAATGGCACAGCAAAGTTTTATATAAAAACTTCACGATCTTTTTCACCATAAACACGACGTATATACTCTCCAGGTAATTCAACAAAGTACATAACAGTCGGTTAAAAATGGGGAAGAATATCCTTATTATGTCCTTAAACCCTGCTAACAAATTTTCACATGGTATTTTTAGAGCGCTATAGTCTCCCTTTTCCAGGAAGTCCTTATTGCTACTATTTATGTGCGAGATGAAGTAGCTGTGATATAGCACAGAATACGAGTTATTGTCCTCCATCCTGGGGATGTACTTCTTCACCATTTTGTTCATTAAAAAGATGAGGGAGTAGAAGTTTTGAAAGTGTATAACCACCTGATGGGTGTTGTTTTCTCCATTATTCCCGTCTTCTTTTCTATTCTCCATTTCACTAGCTGCAGCACAGGAATTCATCAAATCGGTTAAGAAATTCAACGTCGAGTTGTAGTCACCATTTATCACATTCGCCAAGTCGTTACTATTATAAATAGAAATAAAATTAAAGGTGCTGAAAATGTCGCCTAGTAAATTTCCCCACTTGTAGGGGTAATCTATCAAAAATAGGTTAAAAAATATGTCAATGAAATATAAGCATATGTTAAACTTCTTCATTTCTACAATGCTTTTGTGCCTTTTAAAAGATCTATACATGTTCTTGTTAATGAACTCCATCAGGGTGGAAAACTTATTGCTTTCATTACAGTTAATTACACACGAATTTTTAATTAGGAACAAAATTTTTTCTTTCAAATATGCCCATTCTTTTTCGCTAATATGTTTCGAGGTATTCTCGCCATTTTCGAGCAACTGAAAATTTTTGCAAATATCTTCACTTAAAAATTTAATGAAAAGAAAGTTGGCCTCCTCAATGTGTGAATAAGTCTTGTCTTCCCATTCCTGATGGCCACCACTCCCTATGTCCTTGAATATCTCCCCACTGCCCTTGCTATATATCAAACAGTTGAAGTTTTTTACTTCTTTTTTGTACTTACTCTTCTCGTAGTCCTTTACGATGCTCTTTAGATATTTATTTACGTAATGAAAAATGTAATTCTTTAAACATATGATCATCATCAACCTTGTGAAATGGAATTCCTCCTCCTTCACATGGGAATTATTAATAGCTTGAATGATCCTAACAATATCTAAGTTTCTGTCCTTAAACTTTTTAGAAATGTCATAACTGACATGTTTATCCTTTACGAGCTCAACAAACATGTCCACATAGCGTTTTATTTCAACTTTGCAGCTGGTTTCCGCGTCATGTTGGTAATTTGCACCCCCTTCCACATAGTTGGCTTCGAAAATGTTTAAGTATTCCGTTTCGTCTACCTGCTCGTGGTAGTTATTCAGGTCCACAAATAGGGTGTGGTTTATTTTGATAAAATTTTCCATTATTCTTCAGCGAGGTTTTTAAATAAAAATGAAGTGACAAACTTGCAATCAACTTTGCAGTGAACTCTCAGTGGCTCTTGCAAAGTTAACTTCAGGGTTGCTTCCACAAATGAATCGAAGTTTAGTGAATTTTTAATGGCGTTATGCACTGAATCCTTTTTTCAAAATTTTGCAAAAGAATTCATTTGTTATGTGTTGTAATATGATCCATTTCAGCGTGCTTTTTTGTTTCTTTATCCCTCATCCCTTGTGTATCTTTGCATTTGTCCAGGCACTTACCCAGTATAATTGCACCTTTTTTTATTTGTGCACACGTATGGTTGGCTGGTTGTTGTACGCGTTAGCTACGAATTTTCTCTTTGTCTGTCCAAATTCTTGTGTACCTCATTTGTCTCTCTCCACTATGTGCGATGGCGAGCGCGTAGTCTCTTCATGGAGGTAAAAGATATATGTAAAATACTTAATTATTTACAGTAGCGTTGAAAAAAAAAAGGAAAAGAAATTAAATAATGGGAGTAAACTTAACACCCTAAAAAAGCTCAAATGTGTAATAAGCAATTCACAATATATCTTCAATTTAGTGTAACCATTCAGGCGAATTAAGCAGAGGGTTTTCCTTTTTCCCTCTGTTAATTTCTTTTACTTTTCCATGTTCTACGTTAATAAGCCAAGTTTTTCCAAATGTGCGCAAGTGCAATGCTTAAGACTTGCGTTGCGAAATTTTATTCATCGAATAAAATGATTACATATTTAATACAGGGCTCACAAGGGTTGTGCGTGCTAAGGGGTTTCCTTGGAGTTTATTCACTTCAGCACATTTCGCGTGATTTCAGCTCACTCATTTGTTTGCTCCTTTTAACATTTATTCATTTATTAATTTATTTATTTATTTTTTTTTTTTGTTCAGGCAAAAATAGGGAACAGCGTAGCGCAACCTGGCCGTTCAGACTACTACGTCGGGCGGGTTATTTCTCTTAAAAATGCATTCAAGTTTTCTTCTTCTTTTTTTTGGTGTTTAAGAAAAATAATTCTAAATTGCGTAGTATTTGCCTATTTAAAAAATACATATATACAGGCCTAAATACTCATGGCGTAAAATATGACAGGTGCGTATAGTTGTAATGACAGCAATATGAAAGAAGAAAAAAAAAAAACGTAGTACAATGAAAAATTGGTTAAAAAGGTGGGGATAAGAACAACAAAAACAAGGACAAAAACAAAAACGAAAAAAAAATGCACAAAAAAATAAAGAAAAAGAAAAGGAAGAAAAAAACGAAAGAGAGAAAAAAAAAATTACTCACATCGATAAATGGGTAAACGCATGGGGAATGAAAAATAACATATATAACCAAAAAAAAAGAAGAAAAAAGAAGAAAAAAGTTATTAACAGGAAAGGTATTAAAAATAAGAAAGAGAAAAAAATACTCATTGGCTAGCTTAAATTTTACTAGCTTCTCCTTTGGGGGGCTGCTAAAGTAAAAAGTCTCTATTTGGGTTTTCTCAATAACTATGTAATTTGTTTTCTTTTGGGGGGTTAAATTCTAGGATATAAAAAACTAGGGGCAGCTATTAAACGGTTGTGATTTTTTCTTTCTTCTTTCCCCCTCATTTTAATTAAGACATTTTAAAATTGTCAACACTACGGTATTACCAGTCCATTTTTATTGCTATGTTGTCATTTATGTGAGTGAGGAATCGATTCCCCTCATGGAATATCCAAAATTGGCGTATGTCAAATTAATCGACAGATAAACTCCTCCGTTTGGGTAGAGCCACCCACATGGGCAAATTCATCAGTTAACTTTTAGACGCACGAATTGCGCTGCTATTTCGCAGTTATCCAAATTGTCCCTACATGCCAAATGTTCCCTACACACAAATTAGTAATACGCGGATTTATTCCTTCAGACGATTTGTTCATATTAGCAAGGGGTTACACCTTACACGCCCATCAGTCACTCATATTTCCTATTCTTGGCACCTTCACTTTTTGCCGTTAAATATGTTGAGTTCGATTTCTTACTATTCCCAGCTAGATTTGAATTATGCGCAGCGGCGGTACCCATTTCATTTGGTGGCAACACATAATTGTCTATCCTCTTTTTGGAGGCATAAAACATGGCATTGGTATGATCCATGTCCTTTGAATTGTTTTGCTTACTAAACCGTTCGTTCGGTCGTTCACCAAAGGGCTCACCGAAGGGTTCTTCGTACCGATTTCCAAACCGATTGTTTACCAATTTCGTGCTCCAGTTGTTCCTCTTATTATTATGTTGCCCCATTGGTTGCCTATTCGACTTGTAAAATGTCCCATTGTTCATTTCACTTCTCATGCAGTCATTCTTTTGGTCTACAGTGTGATATTTATTTTTGTAAAACCCATTGTTGCTACTGGGCTTCTTAGTGGTTATGTTGGTACTGCCGAACGGTTTTCCCGCTGGTCTTTTTTCGTAGTAGGTCTTTCTGTTAAAGTTGCCGTCGCTGGTTTTTTCCTCGGCCTGGTTGTTCCTATTATGTGCGCTGTATTTTTTCACCAAGGAGGTAGCGTTTGCATTAGAGTCATTGTCGGCGTTATTGTTGGTGTTATTTTGGGCGTTATTTTCGGTGTTCATATCGCCATTTGTATCTGTATTTTCTTCCGGCTTCCCTTCCAACTTTGCGTCCTCGATGGCATTTTCGACCACTTCCTCTCCTCCTGTTCTACCCGAGTTGTCCCACTTTTTACCCGAAGAAAAGCTGAAAAAGGGTGCCCTGTTATTCTGTGGACCATTCTTGTGGAACAACTGCAAAGGCCTTTTCTGATGATTTGGGCGATAATTATTATTTCTTTGGTAGTACTTGTTTTCGCCCTGATGGGCGCCGTTACTATTTAATACATGCATGTGATTTTTTGAAACCGAGAAGTAATTACTCCTTGCAGAGTTATAACTATCGCCCGCAGCGTTGTTTACATGTCCGCCTTTATTTCCCCCAGTGGACAACCCGCCCCTACGTTCGATCACCAGTTCCCTTTCATTTGCCATTTCTGAATTCGTTTGAACATCCGTGTTGTCCTTACTTCTTGCAGCATCCTCCTCAATGATTCCTAGGCTTCCTAACGTCTCTGTCATTTGGGAGAGATTCTCATGGCTGTCCTTTTCCAGACCACTGTTGGTGTAAGCTGAACAGAATTCGTATAGTTTTATTTCCTCCTCAAATATTTCACTGTTGTTTTTTTTCCTGTTCTCCTGATCGATGTATATTTCTAACAGCTTATTATATCTGCCTCTCATCCAACATTCGAACTCTTTAAAATCGAAAGAGAAGGTTCCTTCGTCCGGGTTGATACTCCTTTGATCTCTTTTTGGGGCAAACATTTTCCTTTTATTTTCTGGACCATTAGCATGGTATTGCTTTCCGCCATTTTGGGGGTTCTTATCTTCCTCACTTTGTACTGAGTTTGCGTGATCCTCCTCATCCCCATTCGCTCCTGCGTGGTGATATTCATGCCCGTTTGTGGGTACATGACTTTTTGTGGAATCTCCCAGATGGGCAGTAAAATGCGTAGCACGTTGTTCAGTTTTTTTTACATGTGCACCGCTTCCATCTCCTTCCAGTGTTCGATAATCTCCCTTCTTGTATTCCTTTCTCTTTATCTGCTTCATTACGTCTTTTTCGCCACTGTTATTAATCTTCCTTCGATCACTGTCGCTGATATCCGGTTTGGGGATAAAACTGCATTTATTTTCGCTTTTCATATGATCAGAATTATCATCAACGGTGATGCTTTCTTTTTTGTTGTCCTTGCCATGACTGATATGTGTGAGCTTAGCATAGGCTTTCTTAACCTGTTCAATATTGTCGTGGTGTGAAGGACTACCCATGGCAGTGCTATTTTTCTTACCAGCACGGGGTATATTATTATGTGTCTTTTCACCACTATTGTGGTACGTACCAGATGACGAAGTATGGTTGGCCCCGTGTATGATCTGTTTGTCCAAAAACTCGGTACTATTTCTACTGGCGTCTCCTTCCGTAAAGATTTCAATGGAATCATTCTCTTCATACCCGTTGGTCTCTTTCCCTTTTGTATAGCCACTAATGGGTAAGTGTTTGCTATAATTAGTACTTTGAATTTGCTTGCTAAACGAATTCACCTTTTTTTTGCTAGCACTACCGCTATCCTTAGCAACATTTGCGCTGTCATTCCTTTCAAAATAATTCGAGTCGTATTTCTTGGCGTATTTTTCCACCGCGTGAAATTGCGTATCCTTCTGCTTCACGCCCGTGGATCTTTTTTGTTCTTAAAATGGTTTCTTCTAAAATTGAAGCTTTCGTTTTCTCCATTTTTTTCGTATCGCTCGTGCTGCTAATTCTGATTCATCCAGTACAGGCCGGACTCGTGGCTGCCGCTTTTCTCCCCATACCTATTGGCGCTTCCCCTGGGATCTTCATTATAGCCGTTACGATAGTGATTCCTGTAGTTACTCATTTTATAATTGTCTGCGTTGTGGAAATTATCGTTCATTTTTGTGGAGTTCTCCATTTGGGCTGTGCCACCAACATTTCCACCAACATTTTTGTATCCCCCGTTATTAATTGCGTTTCTATACGTGTGCGGGTTGTCATTTTTGAAGCCCCTTTCATTTGCCCTATGTTGCTCATTATTTCCACCGTAACTATTGTTGCTGCTGTTGGGGGAATTTCCCCCAGAAGCGTAACTCTCTTCATTTTTGTAATTCTCCCCGCGTCTGAAGTAGTCCCCACTTGTGGTGTTATAATCCTCATTTCTGCCTCTATAGCTCTTCCAAAATTCGTCTTTCTTACTGTGGCCAAAAGATTTGTACTTCTCACTCTTTCTGTTGGAGCTCCCAATGTTGGGGTTGTTCCTTCTTACCTCCTTAAAGGATGCTCCGTTTTTGGCGTTATTGAACGCGGGGAACTTTTTGTAATTTCCATTTTTCTGGCTCGTCACGTTATTGCTGCTTGTCTCCTCATTACTGTTTTCTTTATCCTTTTGATACTCTCTTCGATTAAAGGGACACGTCTTCTTGGTTCTCCCGCTCGCTGTTCCGTTGACACTGGAGTTTATATGATCATTCGAGTGATCATCTTTCGGGCCCCGTTCAGTCTTTCCTTCCTTCTCGGTTATCACGTCTAAATCATCCGTCACTACACCTTTATTTTTATTCATAGTGGTATTTTTGCTCTCCCTTATGTTGGCGCCATGAATGGTTTCTCTGGATTTTGTTCCTTCCCCCATTGTTGCATTTTCCTTCTTGTTCCTCTCATCCTTTTCATTATTCTGTTTGATGCTGACGCGGCTCTGCATTTTGGCATACTGGGCCTCTTCCGCGTCATTATTGCTACCCTTTTGGGGGGTATTAAAAGGGGGCGCATCCACGGAAGTTTCCACTGTTTTCTTGTCGTCATTGTCCCCTTTGGATGCGGAACTTCTTCTTTTAATCGCAGGGGGGTCTTTGTTCACACTCTTCCTTTCGTAAGCTGGAGGACTCGCTTCCGATTTCTCGTTTTCCTCTTGGCTAGAAGGCACCTTCTTAACATTCTGCAACGAGTTTCACTTATCATCATCGTCGCAATTTCTGTTTGGCAACAAATTACTGTAGTGTTTTTTTTTACTTCACTTTTTGGTAACACTTTGTATAACGTTTCAACATTTTTCCTTCCTCCGAATTCTCGGTTGTTGCTTTGGCTGTTGTCCCTTTCGTCGTTTCATGCGCCAATGCCACTGCTTTGTGTTTTTCCTCTTCTTTCACTGTTTGTGGAACCCCATGCGAGACGACTGTGTTGGTAATTATCTCCCCCTTTCACGACATTGTTATTGCTACACATGGTACTGTTGCTGTTATTATGCGCTACACATTCCGTGGTGGTCCTTACAGGGGTACCCTCTGCGGCACCGGTACTGCCTTTATAATGCACTTCCTCATTGCCTTTCTTCCTCCCATCGTCTGTCGTGTCACTATCAGTTTTAAAAGATGCCGTTGTTGTGCCTTCTTTTAATACACTTTGATTAATGTTGACTTTGAGATTTTCATCGACAATTTTTTGAGAGCTCCCACTTGTGTCATGGTTGTTTTTAAGCATATTCACCTTATCATCTGTGCTGATCAAATTGGCGGAGTAACTTTCCTGGTTGTTATTTTTGTTTTCCTTTTTGGCGTGATCGTATTTTCCTGTGCTTGGATTTTTCGTGTCTTTCTGAAAGTTCATTTTTTTTTTTTTTTATAAAGGGGACTTCTCTTTCTTTGCGTTTTTTCCTCTGTGCTTCTTTTTCTTTTTTTTTTATGTTTCTTTTAATGTGAGTTTTTCCAACGTGGGGTTAAGAAGCATGTGCCGCTGCCTAGGTGCATAGCGATGTTTATCTGCGCGCCAACGTGTACCTGCATGCCGACATGTGACTGTATGCCGATGTGTGACTGTATGCCGACGTGTGACTGTATGCCGATCACTGTAGAGGCTTGCACTCAAGGGAGGGTAAACCTACGTGGGCGTTGCGTAAAGATGTGCGAGGGGATGATCCAATAAATATCAGCATACACCCCTGTGTATTTTCTCAAGTGCTTTTTTCATGTTCAATTTTTAAGGCCAAAAAAAAAAGAAAAAATCGATAGGGATAGGAGAAAGATGACAGAAAGTTGGCAGAAGGATAGCCGAACGGCAAAATAACTCTTCTGGTTCACAAGTGTACAAAAAATTTGTTTCGACAAAATACTTTTACTTCTAAGGGATGTGTTTAAAAAAAAAAATAATTCACGTGAACCTCTTAAGACATTCGGTATGGCGACAATTACGAGTAAAGCGATGTTCAAAAAAAGGAGAAAAAAATTTAATAACTGAATCGAAAAAGTAAGCACATGAAAGTGTAAACGAGTAACCTATAGGCATGTCATTTGCGCGAGGTAGGTAAAGTAAAAGTGCAATACATACATGAATACATAAATAAATGAATAAATAAATGAATAAATTGTGACAAAATGCCCCTTTTAAGAGTTCTATTTTTCTTTATAAAAGAAAAAAAGTCCGCTTTGGGAGGGAGCACACTCGGTAGGAACAAACTCTCGGGTGACTAAAAAAACAAAAACGATGAGAAGGGGAAAAACACCTCACGAAAGATCACATCTATGTGCTCTAAACGGCAAAAAGGATCGCACGCGACAAAACGCACGTAGGTTTTGCATACCTGAAGGAGCGCTTCACCATGCAAGCAAAAAGGAGCATACGTATGACCAAAGGATGACATATGTATGCAATATATTATATGTATGTATATATTGCTCGCGTTGACGTAGTATTTTCCTATTATCTCTTCCCTGTAACCTTTTTACATTTCCCTCTCTTTATTTTTTGCAAACATTCGTACTTTTCCCCTTTTGATGCTACCCTTTTTTATGGTTAATTTTTTTTTTTTTCCTTTTTTCCCCTATGTTTGGTTATAGTTTCATTTATTTTTTGAATAAAAACACATATGGGTTGAATTTTCTTTTCTTTTTTCTCACATTTGGCATACACGTTTTCTTTCGTGCGGCTCGGAGGGCATTTTTTTTAAAACATCGCTTATGGTTTATTTTTAAAAGTACGTTTTTTCTTTTCTTTTTTTTAAATATCTTTTTTTTTCTTTTTAATAAAAATACTGTTATTTTTAAAATACCACTTTTTTCTTGTTCCTCATCCCCTCCATCGTGAAAAAATAATTTAACGACTGAAAAACGAAAGCTACCTCTTTATCAACAATTTCGAAAGAGCTGATTCAGAAAAAAAAAAAAGTCATTATCTGAACCCATCCAAGATTCGAATTATTTTTTAATCGGCCCGTACACTGGTTTCTCGAAAGTGAAGAGATGCCTCAAATTGGTAAATCACAGCAGGCTATAGAAAGCTGACCTTCTATTTTATCCACTACAAGCAGTTTAACCGCAGGCCGCATCATTACACTGTAGCCCCTGTTACACCTTTTTGTGTATCACTACAATACTACGTCACTTCTGTGTAGAGAACACTTGACTGACCATTCCAAATGATATTTCTAAAAACTTTTACTTTACAAATGGGCTAAACATTAAAACGATGAAAATGGCAAAACGCGTTCAGTTTTCTCTTGTTTGTTTTGTTTTTTTGTTTTTCCTCCCCTTGCATATAACATCGTTGCCATTTTTCGTTTTTACACGATGTTCACTATTTTTTTTCTTCTCTCCTCTGTTTCGAACGAATCATATCTCCAATCGAAGAGGTGCGATTTGAAAGGCTTCCCTGCTGTCGCTGTTTCCCTTAAGAGTTGCCTGCACCATGTTGCTTCGCTTTATTCTTTTATTCCGTTTATTTTGTTTCCGTCTATGCTTAACCCATTTACGCGCCGCGTCGATATGCCTCTTATGTCTTCACTCGAAGAATCCATTTGACGTAAAAAAAAAATGCCCCCTAAATCGTTCATGCAAAGGAGTGTGTATGCCTCTCACTTGGGCGGTTACCTCGTTTCTCCTTCGCATACGTAGCGCTAACCATTCTTGTTCGCATTCCTCCAGTGTGTGCATACTAGGAAAGAAGGAAGATGCCCTCTTATTCAATTTCCTGTACATAGGGACTCACACGTACACGTCTCGGATAGGTTGGTCTTTCAATTTTACACCTCACATGGAAGGGCAACGCCATTTCTGCTACCTCCCTGTCTGATTGTTTTTTCTTCCCGCTCGACAAGGGGAATGTCTTAACGAAAGGGTTCATTCCGTAGTACGGATTCTCCACCATGCAGCGTTGAACCATTGGTGTGCCGCCTTGCAATTCTACCATCATAAAAAGGGGGGGGGGGAAAAGAGAGACATTTTCAACACCGTACAGGTTTAACGAGCGGTGATCAAAGATAAAAGAAAATTAACTTTTTCTTATGCACACGGAAGAGTATTCAATAAGGAAGTAATAAAAGGGAAAAAAAAAAAAATACATATATTGACATTATAATTTTGATATACTCTAACATGCATGGTGTTGCATCTCATTATCCTCTTGTACCCCTTCTCGTTCTCTTCAAGTTGAAAAAAAAAGGGGTGATTCGCTGAGTCCACGGGGTGCCTACTGTGTGTTTGAGTCAGTACTTACGGTAGAGGGTATAAGCGATGCCGTGCTTGTTAGCACATATGGGCATACAGCTCCACTTGTGCACACCTTCCTATTACGTTTCAAATGCCAAATTTTATATCACATCCTTTTTTGCCAGAATGTTTGGACAACCCGGTGTGGTAAAATTCGCTCAACGTGATTGCCACGAGGCGGGTTCTGTCTGGAAATGCCAGAGTGGAAAGAAGGCACAAAAGAGGCAAAAAGAGAGAACAAACAAAGCACCAGAAAGGCACAAAAATGGTACAAGGAAGGCGCAAAATGGAGCGGCGCCCAGGACAGATATAACGAATTATTAAAGACAGGCCAGCGTACAAATGCGATGTGTGCAAATATTCACGTATGTATAACACACGCATTTGTATGGACACACTCGCGCACAAAAGATAAGACGCGAAAGGCGACTCCAAAAAACATACGTTCATAAACATACGTTGAGAAACATACGTTCAAAAACATACGTTCAAAAACATACGTGGAACAACATACGTCTAACAAATTGGTGGGTAAAAAAAAATGTTTTAACTTTTGCCAAAAAAACATTTCCTTTTCTTCTACGCATTTTTGCGCTTGTAAATGTCTGTTTTTCGGAGCACCATTGGAGGGAGACATAAAGGGATGCTTGGCATCATGCGTCTTGTCCTCTTATCCTAGTGCTTCTTCCCAAACGAGTGCGCATAATGCGTGTATGGGCACGCATGAAAGTATGCACATCGGCATATATACATGCGTTTGGCGAAGCCTTTCAAAGTGCGCTCGCGCACGGTTCCACTGCCCTCTAAGAATTCATCCTCCTGAGCATTTCCTCCTGTCGACTTTTCAAATCCGCACTTTGAAAAAGTATTCTCGTTTTTTCAATGGTCTCCTCAAGATACTTGTGAACCATATCTGAGCTCCATTCGGCTAGCTGCCTTGACGTCTTTATGTCGTCGTCGTCCTGGCTCTCCTTTTTTACTTTTGACAAGGTTTCATCCTCAAGGCGGGAAATATTTTCGAATCCCACTTCCACGTCGGAGTAGATTGGGTACGCCTGTATGTTGCCTAAATGGGGGAGAGGGGAATTCCCCGCAAGGTGGGGCATGTGCACGCTATAGCGGCATGGTGACAAAGAGACACGTTATCACGTTAGTACGTTAACACAGGAAAGATGAAAAAAACAGAGAATATATTAACGCACTCGAACTTTGGATAGCTTATCCCCCATGCACGGCACGTTTTCGCGCGGTTACCCTTTTCCCCCTCCAAGTACAACCTCCTGTTCTTCGCGCTCTTTTTTTTTTCGAAAATTTTCTCCATTCCGATGTCATTTTCTTTCTCGACTTTCATATGCTTCGTCGCTGCGGGAAGGGGTGGGAGGGTCACGGGGGGCGAGTTTGTCCACATTGCTATGTTTTATTTTTCCGGGCTGAATTATCCGGTTGCTCGATTGGCGAGGAAGTATACCCCTGGGGGGGAACCATGCTCTCCGACATGCTCTACACCATGCTCGGACTAACCGTTTATCCACTTCCTGTCAGTCATTCTGATCAGCTTTTCATTTTTTCTCTTATTTCTTGAGCTAAATTTCAGGGAAATTTTATTGTCCAGTGCTTTGGCGTCATTCGTTTTGATGACCTTATTAGACGCGTTCTTCGAGAGGGGCAAAGGCACATTGCCTATCTTACTACATTTGTCATCGCGTAATACATAAGTGCAGTTATTTACCTTGCCGAAATTAGGCTTCATCTCGTAATTGTTCATGCTTATAAGTTCTCTTCTTCGTATGTTGTTGTTCATTTTTGAAAAGGACACCTTTTTGTTTCTTTGAATGCACGTATTAATGGTAATCCTCTTAAAATCGTCTATATCGTTACGTAGTTTCTTTATTTTAAAGTGTAAATTTTTCATTTTTTCATTCCACTTGTGACATAATACATCCATGGCAGTTTCCTCTAAGTGGACCTTTCTCGAAAGATGGCTCGCGAAATGGAAAAAGGACGCATGGGTTGTTCCAGGAAAAAAAAAAAAAAAAAAAAACACACACGTATCCCTGCCCAACTGGGGGAAAAAAAAAATACAACGTGGGAGGTTGAACAACAATCTGCCTATTTAGCCTTTTTAGAAAGATATTACTTTTACAATATGTGTGCCTTCACGGGGACAACGTTGCAAGAAAGTGTGAAACGTTCTTTAGGAAACTTCTCCGCGTTGGTGATTGATTAATGGAGAGGGGGAGCTAACTCTATGATGGCCAGGCATACGTGTATTTTTTTTATTTTTTTTTATTTTTATTTTATTTTTTTTATTTTTTCTTTTCTCAACATGTAGGTACACCGCTTTTACCTGTTGGCCACCCCAAACACGCACACATGTACCAACGAGAGAATGTGTATCCGCTTCACCAGAGACATTCCCTTCCTTCCACATGGCTTCTCCCCAGTTTGACTGCACACCCCCACCCCTGGAAGCACTACTCCCAGGAACAATTTCTACATTTGTACTTCTGAACAAACACATCGCTAAGGCTACTACTATTTGAGGAACACGTGGAGGAATAATTCCTCTCAATAAGGAGTCCTTCCAGCACGATGAGGACATACGCATCGGTGGCTGCGTAATGTATTTGACTCTCCATTAGTGGCCTCCTACTCCAATTGGATAACTGCAATTGTTTATTTAAATTTTTGCCCAGAATTTTCTGGCATAAATGATTCAGACTTTTAAAATGAAGCTTATCACTGGTTCGACTCGGAGACACACTTATCGTTCCCTCGGAATTATCACAGTTGCGATGTCTCACCCTACCGTTGTAGTCGCGAAAGCTACTTGTTGTCACCTTTTTAAATAACTCAATGTCATTCGTCTCAATTATATTTCGATTAAACAGTTCACAAGAAACGACACTATCTGCACTGTCTCCAGTGACCCCACTCTGCTGGTGCAAAAATAATAGGGGGTCTTTCAGATCCGTCACATTTAGGTAGGTACACAAAATTGATATGCCTTGAAAGGATGAATTTAAAATACGCATGTCGCAGGGAAAGTTGTAAAAGAGCTTACAGACAAACGGGTTCTCTAGTAGCCACTTAAAAAAGGAGTGAATTAAAATTTTGTAATTATAATCCACACTTAGAAGATCGATTAGGTAAATATGTTCCATTGTCGCCACTGAAATGATGGTAGCCTTTTGGTTTCTGTTCCATTCGATATCGATGCCGATGTAATACTTTCTTTTTCTCCCTCTCAAGTGGTTATTAATATCTTCTGCAGTTATTATGTCGTCACAGGACTCGGGTGTGTAAATCCTGTCATCGTTGTATATGCTATCCATCCAGTGTTGTTCCTGACCAGACTTTATCGTTCCTATCATCCTATTCAAACCTTCTACATTTGTTACCATTGATATGTTTTTCATTTCTTCGGGCAGCTCATAGTAGTCACTCTGCCTATGGAGTGACTTCTTTCCCCATGGGACGCAATTTTGGTTTTGAGCTCCTTCGTTAAGGGTTCCCTCGCTGGGGGGGTCCTCTTCAGCTTCGCCTGTCTCCCTTGCCTTGCTTCGCAGTAGGTACTCCCGCGCCGCGAGGTATGCCCAGTAGTCGGCAAAGAACCCTGCATGGGGTTGGCGGTGAAGTTACGCGGTGAAGGTACGAGGTGGAATTTACACGGTGAAGGTACGGAGTGGAATTTACACGGTGAAGGTACGAGGTCGATGTTACGCTGTGCGAATTACTCGACGAATCGCCTCGCCAAAATGCGTTTTTCTCCTCATCTTCTTGTCCGCTCTTCCGCGCAACGCAGCGAAACGAGGGAAGAGCCCCACCTGATGCTTCGTCCACGGAGGTCAGCCACCGATAGACATCCCTCTTCAAATCGTCGCATTTGACACCATCCAAAAATAAAAAGAGACAATTCTTGGACTGCGCCTGTAGTATGTACTTTAGCAGAATCCTGCAGTTATAAGCGCTGTCTTCCTTAAAGGGGGAACTAAAACCGATATGCTCATCAGACAGAAACAACGAAGCTAACGAAATGGCCTGGCAAAGGTGCGCTCGGTCGTTTAAAAAGTTACTAAATAAATAGTCCACCTGTCGGGCAGTCATGCCTTCCCTCAACAGGTGGCGATCAAAAGATAGACAATCAAGTATGTACAAAAATTTTCTATACTTGACAATTTCGCACATCAGATTTGGGTCTAATCTGTCCTTAAGTGTTTTATTATTTTTAAAAAAAAAACATAAGCTGTTTAGCACAAGTTCCTGGATGATGTTTTTTTTATTTTTCCTCAAAGAAGGGCTAACATATTTTACAACTTGGTCGTTAAAAATGGAAAAAATGTATTCGCCATGTTCTCCTTTTTCTGTAAATATCTTGTGGTAACATCTGATCAAGTCGGCGTACACCTTTTTTATGTTGTCCTTATACTCCTGTGCTGTTTCTACATTTTTAAGATTCACAAATTTTAAAATGAAGAAAATTAAGTTTGCTGCAATGGCTTGGATTTCTTTGTCCTTGCATAGGGCGGGGAGCACGTCGTAAATTTCTCCCTTCATGTAGACTTTGTTGTTCGTTGAGTAACAATGGCTGCATCGCTGCCTACTCGAAAGGAGGCTCAAATTGGCTGTCATAAAAGGGTTCCCACTCACTACATTTTTTAAGTAATTTTTTTTTCCATTTCTTAACCCGTCGAAGCAGTCATACACATCCAGTATGACACATTCGTCATGGCGAAATGGTGAACTCGTCTCGCGGTTCATTTCGGGGGTGCTTCTCCCCCTTGTGAGCAGATACTGAGGTAGAATTCCTCCATCACATGTGATCACACAAAACGGAGGTTGCCGCTTGGACTTCAGTTTGATGCCCCATTTGTGCATATTTCCCGATCAGCACTGTTGATAGCGAGGCACTCTCCTTTTTGTCACCTAACAGGATTTTACAAAAATGGTAGAGCCAAGCGAGGGGGCACAAAGAGGAACTGTTTTCATTCCACTTGGGGTGACAACTGCGGGGAATATTTTATTCACATAATGGTGCCCACGGTGTTATGTCACTTTTTTTTTTTTTTTAATTTTCAAAAATAGGGTGAAAAAAAAAGGGCACACGTATTTTTAGCCTACGTGGGGCTAATGCAAAGTGACAAACATCCTAGAGGACAGTAAGAACGATCAAACGAGATGAACCAAAGGGGGGAAAACTTTCTCACAAGTAGAAATTATTCCTCACAGTAACCCTCACAGATGTTATTTTTCTCCCTCCAACGTGTGTAACACTGGCGATTGTTGTTCCGCTTCAGCCGCTCTATATTTTTTTCTTTTTTTCGTGAAATTTATTTTTTTCCATATTGACTGTTTTTTCCCACTTTCGCAAAAATCGCATTCCATTTTATGATTTGTTTGGGCATCCCAATGGCGCCCATTTGTTTCCACCCTTTGTATTCCCATCCCGCAAAGGTAACTCTCCGTTCCAGCACACGACCCACTAAGCTACTAACATAAATGAAGATTAAACGTTTTTATTTAAGATGGCTCCTAATTGTTTTACAAATTATGAGAAAACAAACGGAAAACTCAAAATTTTACATAATGAAACAAAATTGAAGCTATACCCCCTGGTGGGGCAATAGAACGGCGGGAAAGCTGATCACCACACCACGGTGGCATTCCTTCCTTCGCTTGTTCGCTTCGTCATCTCGGGGGGTGGGTGAAAACTGTTAATTAGGAAGAAGAAACTGAAATGCATATGCGCGCGTGGGAGGGGACGCACACACACAGCTGCAAAGTATAATTACAATTACACACAAATATAGACGCGTAGAAGTACACACACACGTATACGTACATATAAATAGGAAGCGGAGGGGTTATATGACGGAAACGCCGGGGGAAGGCAAAAATGGACAAACTAGGCTAAATTATAAACACTTAAAAAAAAATAATTTTTTTAAATGCAACCGGCGGGGGATGCAATTTCGTCGAGGGCGAATTCTCCCCGGCAAGGAATTTTCCCAACTGGCCCAACGGAGAAAAGCTGTGTCACCTGCACGCCCGTAAAAATGTGCCCACATGGGAAGAATCCATGTAACTCTATGGAGGCGTAAACGTATGTAGCGCAAACCTATGGAGGCACATTTGCGCTTCCCGCGCGCAAACGGCGGTGAAGCAACACAGCCTCTCTGCATGGCGGCTATTACAAAAACGGAAAGCGAGGATCGGAAAAATTATTCACCCGAGTGCTCAAATTTCGCAACTCCGTGGCGACGCACCCTTGGTTTACATGCAAAGCGGGACAACTCATTCGTTTTAAGTTTCTCCTCCTTTGGGGGAATTCCAAAATTATGCCCTTCTCTCTGCAATTAGAGCCTTTTTTAACTGCGGTACGGCTTACGCACCTTCTTCTGCGCAATGAGGACTCGACGAAGTGGCCTCTGCGGATGAGAAGCTCCTCCTTCCGCTCCACACTCCTCTTGTAGCACTACGCCGCCCGTCTTAGGACTGCACCGGGTAACATGTGTCCACGGAAAGCTGCTTCTCTGAGACAAAGTGAACCTGGTGGTTATAAAGAATGTCCTCCTTTATATTCGTCGTGATGAGCAGTAAGTACGAAGTATGTTCATTCTCCAGCTGTACCAGCGGAATCAACACAGAATTGAACTTAATATAATAATCGTAGGCACAAGTAGAAAGGGGCAGGATGTCATAGCCCGGTCCACCATGGATGTTGCATTTCTGAACAATCTTGTACACATATCTGTTATGCGAAATGTGCGAATTGAATAAATTATTCTTCATAACATTTCCAGCCTCCAAATCGTCCACATAGGAATCTGTACTCCCAACAAGCTTGTAAATATTGACGAAGGGAATTCCCTTAATATTCATATGTTGAAAGAACGTAACTCTAAGTGAAAGCAGAGTGACGGATAAGGAGTGAAACAAAATGACTGAATAATTTTTTAAAGAATATAAATGTTCTAGTTTGTATTTAAAAAAGGGAAGCGGAGGAACGACATAAGAGTAGGGAATAAAATGAAGGAGTGGCTTCTGCTTGGACTTAGGGTAATGAATGCATATTTGATAATCTCCTGTAACGTTGGCTCTATATAAAGAAGGAATGAGGCAATAAATCCCACTCTCCAGCGTACATTCAATGTAGCAGCAACCAGCTTTGTATGCCCCACTGGATATAATTTCTCCTTTTTTTAAACTCCTCGGGGATGATGTGATACCTTTGAATATTCTCAAATTAACGGAATGTTCTTGTGAGCACTCGAGAAAAATACAAAATGTGGAATCTTCCGGGACGTAGAAACGTATGTGTGGGTTTCTGAAGTATGACCACAAATTGTTGGAGCACCCTCCTGCAGATTTACTTGTCCACTGTCCTTTGAAATAAAGAGACGCGTAATTCTTTGGTAGCATTGGTGGTAACTCATATATGGACAGATGCGTGTGACTAAATACCTTCAGCGTAAAGTTAAATTCTTCTTTCTGTGAGTACTGCGAGACGATTAGGACAAAATCGACGATTCTTAAAATCTCCTGCTGATTCTCTCCCGAGGAGTTTACGTTTACGCTGTCATTATTATTGCTGTGCGGGGGTCCTCCGGCCGTATTATCTGCATTACCACCCTGGGGTTCATCAGAAGGGTCCTTCCTCTTCGAGGAGCTCTTTTCCACAAGGTAGTTATTGATACATTCATCTTCACCTCCGATGACCAATTTGGTGAAGGTACATTCACCATTGGAGTATATTCCTTGCTTAATCGGAAACAAGGGACAAATAATTCGGTCCCTTCCTGAATGGATATGCAACGCCAGGTACTTCTGCGAAGCGTCTCCTTTCCTCTCCCTCACGTGTTTCGACAGAAGAATCCATATTTCTATGGGATTCTTCCCTATATAGCGTAAACCATCTTCGGACAAATCTTGTTTCTTCACATTCACGTGTAGAGCAAACTGAGGGTTGTAAGCCACCAGATGCGTGTCGTCTTGCAAAATGGAGTTATTCAAATACGTGCTGTTTTCCCATTTGGTGTGAATTTCAAACTGGTATGGGAAGATAACACTATTCCAGCAAATATATATGTGCGAAAAATATTTCACGACATCTTTCCAGGGGATCCAAAAACAACCATCGTCTTTCCCTTTCGCTTTCTCAATAGAATAGTTTAACTTCTTTTGCACTTCCTTTGTCCACGTCGTCTCGTCATGATGAGAGTACTTCCCCTTCCACCGGATGCATCCCCACGGGTTCTTTATGTACAGTAGTTTATCCCCCTTATACGTTTCGATGTTCAAAATGGAGTAAGCGTGCCTCGTTACAATTCCAGTTGAGAGGGAAACCCCTTCTGGATAGTCCAACCCTGACGGGGCAGCGTCCTTTAATTCTAGGGTACCCAAACAGACTACACATTTCCCTCTTTTTATTCCGTCGTAAATATTATTCCATATGATGTCCCACTTCTCATCATATTCTTCATACTCGTCGTCCATCAAAACGGACCTCTCCTCTTTCTGATTTAAATAGCTGTACTGATCGATAGACCCGCACACATAAGAAGACAGATCCATGTTACTCACTGGTTCGCACAGAAATTGGTTCTCATGTCTTATTTTAACTTCCCAGTCAGGGATGGCTCCCTTCGGTGGGTCCTTTACACCATCTCTGTTCGCTACGCAGCGTGTGATTTTCTTGCTCCTCGGGAAGGGGCCACGCGGGGGATGATTTCCCTCCATCGGGGTCCTCTTCCGTTGTGTCTCCTTGGCCGCCGTTCCACTAGCACCGCTTACCCTTTTAACGGTGCACTGGGGCCGTTGCTCTGTGTTGGACGATTTTTCCTTCCCATGCCACCGTTCCTCCTTTCGCTTCTCCGTTGCATACAAATGGCGCAGGGTCCAATACACCTTCAGCTTTCCCCACTTTGACCAATCAGCACGCGCTGGGTGGCAGTTCCTATTTGTGCCCAATCTGTGGATGCTTAAATTGGCTCCCACGGGGAAGTCGTACGGCGGGTGAGTCCTCCCCCTTCTCAAATATACTTGACCACCTGCACAGCGTGTCGCTCTATTCTGGCCGTCTCCAACGCCGTTGTATAGACTGCGCTTCCGATTTATCACATTTTTTCTCTCCTCCTTTTTCACACATCTTCGAAGTGGGTGAGTTTCCCAGCCCGTCGCGCCTCGTACAACACATCGACCTTTGGGCTTCTCCCTCGGGGGGTGCTTCCACACCAGGGAGCCATCACAAGCATCCAAAGATGAAGCGGAGACCTGATTCACCGCGGTGTGCGCCGTGAGGCGATCGAGCGACGGAGGAAAGTTACTTATCTTCGACTTCAACGAAATGGTCACAGGGATCCAACCAGTCAAGTAATACAAATCAGAGCCAGGGTTGGACCCATACATGGAGTAGGAACCACCCATCAGTTTGACAAAGGCTTTCTCAAGCAGAGTAACCCAAAGCTCTTTCTGATTATTCGAATAAGCAACTAGCAAAGAATTGTTACTCTTCACAGGCACATAATCATCGATGATGATTTTTCTTTGAATTCCATTACAGTGCAATCGACAGATATACATTCCACATGGATTGAAAATTGGCCAAGTCTTATTTACATGGACATAGTTAGCTGTGCAGGGAGAAATGATATTTGAGAGAACGGGAACTTTGTGCTTTCTCTCATATTCAATCAGAACAGTTAAAGAAGATAAAAAGGAACAATCAGCCACAAATCCTTGCCTTATACAACTATTATACAAATCTGTTGACATAACAATAGGGTTGCTATACAATTCGGAGAGTCTTTTCCAGCAATCGAATTTTTTCTTCTGTCTTACACTTAATTCTAAGTACCCATCAGGATCGGTCCATTTGTAATCTACCCATCCGTACAGCTTAAAAGAATTCACGTAATGATATATGCATCTCTTCTTGTGACACTTTCTGCATATGAGATAATTTTTCTTTATCGAACTTTCATTTAGTCCATACTTATGTTCGCAAATCTCTTGTGTCATTTTTTCTTCCCTGAGATATTCTCGCTCTCCTAATTTGTTGCTAATCAGATGTGTTCTTTTTTCGGATTCAACTTTGTCATTTTTTGTGTTATTATCGCTACCCAGTTTGTATCTTGACTTAGGATCCTCCATCTGTACGCCCCTCCCATCTTTACTACTTTGATTCCTGCTTCCAAGGGGCATGCCATGGTAAAGCATCTCATGACATTCTACTTGTCTCTTAACTCGTCTCATCACTTTTTCGTTGCAATTTGTGTTGCTCTCGTTTCCATGTGCCGTGTAATTCTCTTTTTCTTCTCTCCTGAGGGTGTGCCCCCCATCGTGGGGTCCTCTATCATTATTGCTACTCCTGGGGTTTCCTTCTTCCTTTGCTCCTTTTTTTCCCACGTGGCGATCTATTCCGTTCATTTGATTTTCTGCCATGCTAATTCGAACTGCATTCTTGTTGCATTTCTTTCCATCCGTTTCTTTTTTCTTCCTGTTCCCTTCCTTCTCCGTGTCTACTCTCGATTCGATGTTTCTTCCATTCATCGCTACTGTTACGTTGTTTGGAAAAACGGACTGCAAATTGGAGTGCAGATCGGAATGCAGGCCGGATTCTCCCTTTTCCCCCCTCTTCACATGTGTGGAATTCTCTCCCTTCTTCTTCTCCTCCTCCTGAGAGTTATATTTTTTTTTCGTTTCGCTTTTTCTCTTTGCCTCCCTTCTCACAAGCGCTTCCCTTTCTCCATGTCCTATGGATTCCTCATGGTTGTTACTCGTGCTTGTCATTTGGGCACTGAGCGGATTATTATGATTCCTCTTTTCTTTATCCGTCTGTTTATTTTCCATGCCTTTGGCGTTATGTCGAATGGGTCCTTCGTCTTTGCCCTTCTGTCCGTTCCGCATTGCAACCCTATTTATGGAGCGGTTTCTCACGTATTTTGTGGCGCAATTTGCCGCATCTTTTTGAGCCATAGTTTTGTTCCCTAACGAGATCGAATTTTCCGCTTGCAAGGTTACACCATTTTGCTTTTTCGTTTGATCTCTTTTTCTTTCCCTGCCCTTTAACGATGCTCTCTTCCCTTCGTCGGCAGCCTCAATTTTCTTTGGCTTCTCTCGATTCGTGGCAACTTTTCTACCTTGCGCCTCTTTCTCATTAATAGCACCCCTTTTTGCTCCCCCGTTTGGCATACCAACAACTTCTTTCGTATGCCTCCGCTTCTTGGCAGGTGCGGTAGAGGTCTTCCTAAGGTGCAGCTTAAATAAGTTATCCATGCTGAAGTTTCTGTTACTAACGTACTTTTTCTCCCTCTCTGTGTTTCTATTGCACAATCGTAGTTTTTTCTTTAAAACAGGTCTAGAAGTATTTTTCGATGTGTGTTTATCGTGGAGTGCGTTGCCGTTCTGCGTGTGCTCGTCTTCACTCCTGTTTGTCTTTTTCTCCGCACCGGCATTGTCGTTGCGATTGTTAAGACGACTTCTGCGGTTGCGGCCCTCTTTGCCGTTCTCACCGTTTCCGCCGCTCCCCCTGCTGCCATCCCCCCTGTGGTCATAATTGTTGTTGAAGAATCCACAGAAGTTGACTTCCTTGCCACGCGGGTCCTCTGCGCCATCCCTCTCGATCTTCTTTTTCTTTCCCGAAAAAAGTTTCACATGTTTGACATACGAATTGTTCTTTATGTCGGGGTCATTCTCAATCCATGGCAGTATTATATAATTCCCTATCAGGGAGCTCTCAAACAGAATTTTGGATGCATGAACATTCTCCGACAGGTGGCTTGGCATTAGGGAAAACAAATTAAACACGTTTGAATTAAATTTGTAAAATTCATAAATATGCAGGAAGGTGTTTTTTCTCAAAATCATACTTTTAAAATCGTGATAGTAGAGTAACTGTTCTTTATTCTTTTTGATAGCCCTCATTAGCTGTTCTTCTTTTTTTTTGCTACCCAGGCAGTTGTAGCTTTCCTTTGTTTTTTTTCTCTTCCCCTGTGCCACCATGGATTCATTCAGAGGAACATATGGATCTTCATTTTGCCCTTCCTTGGTGCATATTTTACCTTCCCTCGTTTTGTACAAAAATTTAATTTTTTTTTTTTTAAACAGGGTTTTCTTCTCCACAGGGGATGGAGACTCTCCCTTTTCTTTTCCGTCTCGCGCTGTGGACTCTGTCCTTATTATTGTATTATTGATCGTTTTTATTATTCCCGTAAAGGAGTTGTTATCAATGTTGTTTTCGATCCGTGAAATTTGGTTCCCTCTCATTTTGGCCCCTTTGGGCGATCTTCTCATTTTTCCCTTTCGCATGTTGCCATCTCCCCGGTGCGCTTCAAATCTGCTGTCTTGTTCATTATTCCTCTCGTTTCCCATTCCTTTTTCCACCCGTTCGTTTTTTTTCCTCTCTCTATCTTTGTAGCCCATTGAGGGGAAAACATCCTTACTACCATCACGCGGGTAGACGTAGTCACAGTCCCTCTTTTCATTTTCAGGATCACTACTGGCGACCCACCTTATAGCGGATGCATTGCTGGACACACCGTTCCGTCTATCTTTACAACTATCCCTTTTCTCACTCCTATACGTGTTGGGCTTTCCCTTCGCCTTCCTACATATCTTCAACACATCGTTGTTGGCGTCGCTGTTGACTGTGTCTTCTTGATTTTCTTTTTTCCTTCTTTCATTTTTCACCTTACTAAATTTACACCCCATATCATTATATAGAATTTTCTCATTTCAACTGTCCAGTCAGATGGAGTGGTACGCTTTGGAAGCACTCTGCTGTGCGAGAGGTGTCCCCCAGGCCGCTTTAATGGAGCTTATCCTCAAAAGAAAGGAAGAAGTGGAAGTGTAAGCGGAAGTGCAATCTTGAATGGAAGCGGAAGTGGAAGCAGAAAAGGGCAGACAAAGACATGCGCAAACGAACGCGGAGAACAAAATAGCCTCGGCAACAGTATCTACGGACAACTGTGGAACGAATTTAATTTCCCACGGATGCGCATACGTAAATCCATACAATGCATGGAAGTAAAAACGTACGTACATTTGCACTCTTCGTTAAAAGTATCTGGACAACATGGTACACGTACCAAAGATATATACATTTGACGGCCTTTTTTTTTTTTTTTTTCACCTGCCTTCCAAATTGGCATAAACCATGTTGCAAAAATGAACTCGCGTGTTTATGCACGTCTATTTTTGCCTAGTTTGTGCGCACAAAAGGGGCACATACATACGAAAACATTCTTACGTGGATGTTATATTTACGTACATACGTTCATGTTATACATACGTGTATATTCACGTGCGTACAATTCGCCACTTTTGCATACGCGTATGGGTATGGCTAAGCATATAGTCTAGGAAAATGCTACATTTGTAATTAACATCACATAAGTGCAATGGGGAAAAAAATTATGGAAAAATGAACAGGTGACCAAATGACACAAATCATTTTTTTCCTTCAAAATTTTAATGAAACAAGTTTTTTTAATTGTACAAAATGATGTTCATTCTTCACAAATCGGTATAAACAGAAAAATGTTAAACTTCAAAAAGATGAGAAGCAAAATATACTATACAAAAATTGAGAATTTGGGAAAAAAAAAAAATTACCACTGAAGGATATACTTGTGACGTGTAAAGTTGTGAATTAAACTGGCAGTAAAGATTAAATTATTTTTAATTGAAACAGGGGGTCCAGTGGTGAAGTGGCAAAGTGATGAACTGACACAGTTGGCTGACTGGCAAAATATGCGAAAAAAAAGAAAAAAAAATGCAAGGAAACAAAAAACAGCGTTTACGCAGCGTAAACGCAGGAGAAAGTGTAAGAATTGCACAAAGCAAATTCCTACCATGCTGCTAAAACGTAACATTCGTTTGGCCAACACAGAATGGAAATATTCGATGGCCAGGGAACGCACAAGTACATACATAATATATAACACCACGCAGCAAGGTGTAAATTTTAAAAAAGTTAGAACAATCGGCAGCGGGGCAGGCCGCTGTTTGTTTTTGTGAACCTTTGCTTATTTGGATTATCACTGGGGCATGGCTCCGTATCTACATTTTCCCTTTCATAATCTACGTAACCAACAGTGTCGTAAAATCGTATGCTTTCACGTCTTTTCCCGCGTTTCCCCTTTTATGTAGATCAAGGGGCAAAAAACACAAAAAAAAAGTACCCTCCTAAAAAGGGGGGCAAAATGGTGCAACAAAATGGTACAGCAAAATAGCGCAGCAAAATAGTACGGCAAAAAAAGTACATCCGAGTACGGGGCACAAGCGGGGACCTTAAGAAACTGAAAAACCATACCCCGCAAATCTACCGAGCACTTATCAATCCTTTCGTGCCTAGCACATGCCCAATGTAAAGTAGTAGATTTTACCTACACTCCCTTCTCATTTGTGATCATAAGGACATTTTAGGAACATCTTATCAGTGGCAGGGACGCACCTCACCTTGTATCCCCTTTTTAAAAATTAACTTTTTGCAGAATCCCCAGTGGCGAAATAATGTGCATCATATAGAATTAAAAAAAGAAAATAAAAAAAAAAAAACTCACCCGCGCAATATACGCTTTAATTGCCCATAATTTGACGGCTTGTGAACCTGGGAACATTTCCACCGCTGCTGCATATGAATACTTCAAAAGTATGTTTTGTAAGGTGGGTAAACCGAACTCCAAATTTTGTTAGACCCATTTAGCTGATCATCCTTTGGAAGTTCCCATTCTTCGCCAAAATGACTCACATAAAAAAAAAACACTCCTAAAAGAATTGTGTCAGGCCATTAACTAAAAAAGAGTTCCCGTTGGGAGGACGCGCGACTAAACAAAAACACATGGTAAAAAGAAGTCCACGCAAAAATATGCACCGTGGAAATGCCAAATAATTTCCACACAATTGTGGGCGTAAGTAAAAAATGCAACGCGCACATGCGCAGATAGCTATGTGCGAACTACACCCCTGTGGAAAACTAAATAAACAAATAAAAATCGCACATGTGGCAAAAAAAAAAAAAAAATTATGCGCTTCTCGCATTTTTTTTCTTCCCGTGCATTTGTTGCCCCTATTTCCACATATCAGCCTGCTCGTCCGGCATCTTAAAATCGCCAAACATTCCCGACGGTGGTGCGTATCCGAAATACTTCTGAATGTTCTGTCTTGTCAGCATCAACGTTAGGGTATAAATAAAGGTCGATGAGCAATGGTACAAGTTTTTTTCTTGTAATCCCGTGTGCGTTAGTAAGGTAAAGGGGAAAATTGGCTTAAACGGCAAAATGGCAATTGTGAGTCCTTCAAATAAGCTAAAAAGCAACGGCATCATGGACATAAAAATTAATCCCGTTATTACATTCGACTTAGTCTTCAGCGTTGCCATTGTTTTGGTTTTCTCAGCATATATTTCTTCCGTTGTGGCTTTTTTTTTCCCTTTTTTTTTATTGTTACTGTTGCTGCTGTTCCCATCAATCTTGCTTAGCAACCCATCTTCTTTCTCCTTCTGAACTTTTTCATACAATATTTTCAATTCTTCGTTCAACTTTATAAACTTCTCATTTCTGTAAACGAATACCCAACTTAAAAATTCGGAAAAAACTCCACACGCAATCGCAATTCCGATGATGATGAAAATGTCGGTCTTCCTTACAGTATCATCCATCTTCTTCGTTCGAAAAAAACTCTGCACATATATGTACCAAGCGGGAAAATAGTCTACTTGGCGCGAACGAATTGTGCAAAAAGATTACACACTAAAAGAAGCGCGTAACTTTGCTTAAACGACTGCTGCAAAGATGGATAACTTTCTCCTTTTTCGCTTTGCCAAATGGAACACAGTACAGAAAGGTGACACCTTTTTAACGTTTTTAAGGTTTTTAACGTTTTTAAGGTTTTTAACGTTTTTTTCTTTTTTTCCTTCTTCTTTTTTTTTTCCAATGTGCAAACACAAAAAAGGGGAAAAATGAAAAAGCGCCAGCGGTGAATCAACGGCGAGATGGCCCTCCAATCAAACTGCTACAAACGCGCAAATTATTTAACAACAATTCTGCGTGAGACTTTGCTTATTTTGCGTCCTATACTTTTTCGCCGTTATGTTTATGCCTTTTTACTTAAAAACTATTTGGTCATATATTTTAATTTGAATATGATCGTCTTCCTTGGTTTACGCAATGTGGCTTCCAACTTCGGCCTTTCGCAGGAAGATCCACAAATGGGGGACATACACATGTAAAGATATGTGTGTAAATACGTACGGGCGTGCTTGGAAATAATTCCTTCATACGATGCGCCGGTTTTTCCTCTTCTCCCGTGACCATCCCATATGTGTGTTCGCGGTCATTTAACTATATAACAATGGCTGGCAATTCGTGCAAACGGTAAACCTGCTCAAAGCAAATGCAGCAGCTCTATGCCGGAATATGGTGAGTACGGATGCAGGCGCATTTCCGCGTAGGTAGGTACGTGGCTCGCTAAATCCTTATCGCTGGAGTGTGCTACGTTATTCCCTTTTGCGCGCCGTCCGGGATAACGGAAAAAAATAACAAAATGACGATATGGCAAATGGCACTATGGTGCTGGTTATAAATCCACCCCCAGAAGGATTTTGACACTCTGAATTTTACAAAAAAACGAAAATCTTATTTTCTCAAACGGAAAACATCATTGGAGCATTTATGCATAGCGAAACCTTCTCTATTTCACCCAAAAGAGGGATGCGAACAAGGAGAAAAAAAAAAGAAAAAATTAAGATAAGTGGTTAGTAGTATGTAATATGAATTGCAAGCCACGTAATCGTAATATCCACACGCTAATGTTATTTCCAAATGGAAAAAAGAAAAATCCCTCTCGTATCGATATCACTTATCCCATAGCGCTGAATTTTTTGGCCAAATTGTGACGCGGTGAAAGATAAAAAAAAAAAAAAAAAAAAACACAGAATTGAAAGCAACTTTTGAAAAACAGAGCGCTCGTGTGAACATCCATTCCGAGGAGGAAAATATGCTAACCGTGCCGATGGCGTTTTCTTCATAAAATACAAAAATAGGCATACATATAATACGCGGTTACGCCCGCGAACACTATTAAAACGTACGCCAAGTCAAAATAAACCTTAGAAAATACATAAATGTAAAAAAAAGGAAAAAGGGAAGAAAGAAAAAAAAAGTACACCCTTGATTCAAAAAATAGGACGGAATTCATTCCCCACCCCTTTTGACACAACAAAGTGAACACAGAACAGACCCCCCAAAAAAGGGAAGTTTCTCACAAACTGAAATCAACTGACCCGTAGAAGCAAAGAAATATACCACTGGGAAAACCCTAAGAAGGAGGACACATCTCGTAAAAAGGACGCTTTCGTAAGCATACCAAAGACTCGCTATTTTTAATTATCTGTGAAAATTTTCACAACTATGCGTATCCTTGGCGATACATATACCTTCGAATCGTGGTACCTTAAAGAAGATTCCTTCGCGTCTAAGGAAAAGGGCTACAGTTTTTGCGTCCTCGCAACCTGCTTCGTAGCGACCGAGGGTTGAAAGGGGCACAGAAAAAATAAAATAGATATGTGTACACATCCCGTGTGCGCATCTGAACCACCACCCCCCACGTGTAGGCGGAACCCCCCACGCGCGCGCCAAGATGAAGCTTGAAGAAGTGAAGGACATTCAGAAAATTGAGAGGATTGGGGCCCACTCCCATATTAGGGGGCT